AGATGTTTGAATAAATTGCTTCTTTCTTATTTCTGATCCTGTTATTGCTGATTACCGTGTAAAGTTTTAATTCTATTTTTTAATGATATTAAGAATATATTTGAAATTATGTTTTGTTTCGTTTTTACTCCCAGAACACTGAAACTTGTATAGCATAGATTTGGAAACGGCACCCTTACATCTGTCAAAAGGTGCAATTCATCTATGCCATTCCATCCCATTGTTCCAAAAGAAAGGGGGGGCATTTTGGCATGCTTACAACACTGTAAAGTGAAAAAAAAAAGTTTTTATTAGAGTTCTGTGAATTCAGAGTTACCTGTTCTTTAATTACGCTGGGCAAGCTTCCAGGAAACTCCTCTAAAACAGAACACTTGAAAATTCTAATTTGGGCCACCCACAATGACACCCTTTTCCTGCCCTACATTAACTCTGCTTATTGATGGATATTTTATTTAATTTTTCTTTGGTGAGGGGGGTGAAGAGAGAGAGAAAGAGATCCATGTCCTGAATCACAGCTTTCCCCTTGTTCATTTTGCAGCCATCCAAGTGTTCAGTGCATTAAGACAGAAACTCGTGATATTTGGAAGCTGTCCAAAGGAATTTGCCCACTTTCTAGGATGTCTCTTTTGCTTTCTTGGCTTGGAATTCCCCTTTCTAGTGTGTGTGTTCATGTGTGTGTGTCTTTTTCTTTTTAAAAAATTGCTGGTGGTGACATTGGAAAAGCTAGTCATTTAATCTCTATTCAAATCCCAAGCATGAGCCATTAGCGATCAGTGAACAAGAACAGAATCTCAGAGAAGGTGCTGTGTGTTAGCCCTTAAGCACTCAGTATGGAGGTACAACCTTCATTCTTCCCAGGAATCCGGATCAGGCAGCAAAGCATGGAAAATACAATACAAGGATGTCAGCAGGATAGCTGGAACTTCATTCGCAGTGCCAGGACAGAGGATATCCTAGCAAACATAAATAAATGTGTAGAACTAATCAAATTAGGATGACCATGCTGTGCGGTACACAGCAATTCATGAAAGCAGAAAATTGCTATTTAATATTTGTAATCAAAGCATCTATTCGGGACCGGAGCAGTTTGAACACTCTGCGGAAATGTAAACACTGATCTCTCTTGATTTCACTGAGAGTTTGGGGTGCAAGATGGAATGTGAGTTCAAGGCCTTTGTTCCATCTTAACCAGATTATGAAGCTGTGCAAAATGAAATTATCGGGATAACAATAACAACAACAATAATAATATGAATACGCTGACAACTAATTCCACTGAGATTGCTTTTTATTGCTCAGAGCTTGCCAAGATTTGTAGGTCTCAGTCACAGAAATTGTAAGTTTTAGAGCTCTTTGGAGGAAATAACTCTACTCCTAAAACGATGTTTTGAGGCTTCTGCAGAATGTAGAATTTAATACAGAGACTGGGGAGATGATTGGAATTTTATTTTAGGAGTGTTCCTGGCTCACAAGGCACATAAATTAATGGAGGAACCATACCATTTCAAGCCATAGATGTTTGTTGTTACCTAGTCTGTTTCCATGTCAGCTGAAATGTAGTTATCAGTATGGCGTGGTAGACTTTGTCCAGAAATAATCGAGTTAGCCATAAGCAAAATCAGCCTTCATTGTGGGATGCTTTAAATGTTATCTTGGCTGTGTGAGAGCCGATTTTTCATGAACTGTTGCTCATCGTCATGGCTTTTGACCTGTGGGGATGCATAATGGTCCATTCTGTCTCCTATGCTATTCAACATCCATATGAAACCATGGGAAGCTGACAAATAGGGATATGGACCATGGTGACTTCAGTAGGCTAATGGCACAGAGTTCTATCTTTCCATTCTATCTGAATGAAGAGAATCTGTGTGGGTGGTGCCTGGAAGCAATGATAGGCTGGATGGGGGTCAGTAAAGTGAGGCTGAATCCAGATTTTAAAAAAGTACTGTGGGTGACCAGTCTCTGTGTCCAGGATTTAGGTGGACAACCTGTTACTGGAATGGTTTTATTTTCCTTGAAGGAAGATTTTTGCAGTCTGGAAGAACTCTTGACGTTCAGTCTGTCACTAGGGTCCCAAGTGGCTTCTGTGGCTAGGAGTGCTTATGTTTAGCTTAGGCTGGTTCACCAAATATGGCTGTTATTGGGCCGATTTTTTTAGTCTTAGTTATACATGTCCTGGAGACCTCCCAACCCAGACTATTGCAGTGAATTCTATGTGGGACTACCTTTGAAGATGATCAGGAAGCTTAAGCCAGTACAGAATTTGGTTCATTATCTTCAGTGAGTCTACTCTGAGTATGTCTAGCATTGCATACCATTCTATATGTCCCATTAATCTATAGTATCTTATCTTCTAATATTCAACATATTAACTATCCCAAATGGCAAGCACAGAACACAGAAGTTTCATGGTAGGAATTGATGGGAGCATCTCTGATTGATAAAAATGAGGAGACTAGAACTACCGCTTTCACCCGCATGAATTGGCATTGGAAAACGAGGCCAGAGTTGTCACATAACTGAGCACTCCCAAGTTATTTGCTTAGATATACTTAGTGGTTGCCAATGTGTTGCACAGTGAAGAATTTGCTCAAACAAAAGAAGCCAAAGCAAATAAGCTTATTTGTTCTGCATGCCTGTCAGTCCTGCTGATGTTAATATGAATTCTGCATGTGGGAAAAGACTGGAAGGCAAGAGGAACTCTTTATCGTTTAGTGCTGTGACATTGGTTTCTCAGGAGAAAGAGAGAGAAAAATACTTGTTTAAAGGGGTGCAACCTTTTTCTGGAGTATCTTAATACTTCGTACAGTACTTGCCCATGCAAGGTGAAAATAGATGACCAACAGACTTTGGACTACAATTTTCATCCTTGCAGCCATTGGGCAGATGGGAATTGGGGTCCATCAACAACAACAGGTTCCATGTCCCTGATCTAAGGAATTCTTTCCTACCCTGATATGGTTATGGTTCATAATTTATATGGGATTAGACAAATTCCGTGAGGATGGGCATTAAGCAAGAGAAGCGGCGCCTGCAGCAAAACATGCAGAACTCCAGTTCAAAGTTGTGGCCAGCCAGGCCCAATTCCAGGATATACCTTCCTACTTCCACTTGCCCCACCACTTTCCCCCACAGAAACCTGCTATCTACCACTGAATCGGAGCAAATGTCAGTCATGTTTTCTCCAGGCTGATGTTTACTCTGATTTAGCACTGAAAAGTGGGGTTTTCAGGGGAAAGCAGTGGGGCAAAGGCAAAACCGCTTGGACCTAGAAAGCACAAGACAAGCTTTTTAAACCCATATGAAGAAAGTTGCCCATGCAGAAGTTTCCATTGACCAGATGATTTTGCCACAGTAACTGCTTTTTTTTTCTTTTTTTTTTTTTTTACTAGGGAGGTTGCTCAGGCATTTATTTTGGAAATTGATACATTTTATCAAGAGCAGGGATTGGGGAGAAAGTGGATCTTGTTCACACTTTAATGAGAAATGATCTAATTCACGCTTCTCAGGACAATATGTGAATGAAACACAGCCAACCTTTTACGATGTGGTTATCCAACCAATATGTACAAAAATGCATATATTAGTGAAAATAACAACATGCAAAATGCATCATGTTAGGGGAAATGACCAGTAAAAATGTGTGTATTAGTAAAAATTGCATACAAAAATAAATTTATTAAGAGAAATTCTCATTTTAAAGTTGCCAAATTTTTATGAGTCCCTTCCTCTTTTAAACAAATTGAAATTTTATGTGAAAATGTAGAGAACTGACTTTATTATTGGAAAATGAGAAACGGAGATAAACTGAAACTGACAGATTTATCTGTACCTAGTTCTGCTTATTGTATTTAGAAAGTTATAATGTGCCTTCTCCAATTTTGTCAAGGCCACCCACAGTAAATAGCAATACCCATCACTCCCAGTGGACAGTTAGGAATGATAGGAGTAGTAGACCAACAACAATTTTGCCAGTGGAGGTTTTTATATCCAAGTCTGCATCTGTATTGGATTTGAAACGGTTTTATACATGACATTGTCCTAATTGTTTCTATATGTGAAATTGTTTTAACAGTTTTTATTGTTAGATCACTTCGAGAGGTTTCAAAGGAAGTGATCAACATTTATTTATTCATTTACTCCTTCCAACAATTGATATGCCATTTAATAACAATGGTCTCCAAGCGGTGTACAACTAACTCAATACAAATGCAGATAAAAGTCATTAGAATTATAAAGTCAGATTTCAGTTAACATTCCTGCTGGAATTCTTTCTTTCTTTCTTTAAGTATTCAGTAGGCACCATTCAGCAGGGAGGGTCTATCTGATTTCAACTGGAATTGAGTTCCACAAAACTAGGCCCATAAATAGAATTAAATAAATGATTTGGGTAGGCTGATGTCCCCCTTCCCTGCTACGGAAGGTTGGAAGGGAAAGAAACCATTCCAAGCTAAGGAAGTTATTTAATGTTTATGGACAGGAAACAATGCAGAGAAGTGAAATGTGCTTATTGGGCTGCATAATCACATTGCAAATAAACACCTTGCTTGTAAAAGGCAATTGGACATCTTCTCAGCTAAGTGTTTTTTGGTTCACAGCTATGTGAGACTGGAGCTGCCAAAATGGGCCCCTGGCCCCTTATTGTGAGGAAGAGCTCCCCTCACCCCACACATTTTCAAGTGTTCTATACCAGAACAGTTCAAACAAGGGAGTTTAATCTCAAGTGTCTCCCTTGAAACACAAGTGGCAAAAGCTACACCACCAAAAATAGATTTGGGTGGATTTTCCAAAGGTTAACCCCAAAAAGAAGCAAATCAAACTCTGCAATGAGTTTGGGTCTAATATCCAAATTTATGTGTGGATTTCTCTTGATATATATGTATTTCCACATGCAATTATATATATATATATATTTATAGTTGAAGAATTGCACCACAAATTCAAAAAGTGCAGATAGCCATAAATTTTTATTGAAACTTTCCATCATGCAATACAATTCAGTTTGTTTATGGGTTCAGAAAGTGCAAATTAATTTGGCTTGCATGAAAATGCAAAGTGAACACTTTTCTCCCCAAGTTTTTGACAAGTTCTGATGCCATCTCTTGCAGAAATCTGTGATTGGTAGGGAATGTAGTGGATGACGTTTGTCCAGATAGTGGTGACAAATTCCAGCGAGGGAAGTAGTGCTCATCTATTGCAATAAAAATGACTGCTAAAACTAAGCCAATTATTACAACATATGTTTTCGCGAGTTAGAAGCCACTTCATCCCATTCATGAATTTTAACATCTGTAGTGCGAGAAAAAATGTTTAATTAGGATAGGAAAACTAGGAAGACGGCACTGCCACCAATTATCACTCTGTTGTGAAGGTCGGTCACTCTTTCATTTCAGTTTTGCATGGAACAGGCACATACTGAGCAGTGATGGGGAACAGTGACAGGCAGGGATGAAGTGCTACCATAAACACAGAAGGGATGATGATGTCATCTCCTGGGCCATTATTTGCCAGTCCTCTGCATGACAAATAAATAAGCTTGGGGTCACACCGGATAGCTAGATGAAGATGTCATCCAGTGTGGGGCAGCTGTGAATAAAGGTAAATCACGGTTGAATGGTTGATGGTTTCCCATCCCAGAGTCATGCCTAGTGTTGAACTAGGACTCAAGTTCAAATTGCCACTCATCTATCAAACCCACTGGGCCAGACCCTTGCTACCTCAGGTGATTGTTGTGAGGATTAAATGGGTGGGAAAGCACCTTGTATGCTTTGCTGTGCTCCTTTGAACAAGTGTGGGATGCAAATGTAATAATAAGGTGTGCTTCCTGAATTGTCACTATTTCACAGGAAGGATTCAAGCACATTTAGGTTTGTGCAACATAAGTAGATCAAGTATACTGCCACCCTAGTACAACAAATCCACTCTAAAAAAAGAAAAGGGCATTTTGTGGCTAGAAAAGTGGTGGGGAAATGTATTGAATACTATGAAATGAATGAATGAATGAATGAATAACAGGAACACATATAAACCTACCACAAGCAAATCAGGATGAACGATCATTTTTTATATAACCTCTACACAAACAAATCAGAATGGATGCTCAATAAAGACTGGATATAATCTAACCTCTTCATAAGCTTTCTGCAAGCAAATCAAGATGCACGCTCATTAAATAAGTTGTTTGGAGTTCTAAATAAATGAAGTGTGGCAATGATGGAAAAATCTGCTAAATTAATGTTTATGACAAAGGCTCTAGTTAATCACTGTTTCTGCAACAATGAAGCTGCAGTCCTATTATACACTTATCTTGGAGAAGTCCTCCTAATTTCATCCAACAGAACACATGTCTGAGTATACATGCATAGACTTGTTGTCAATCTGCTTATCTTTAAGATGCCAATATACTATTAGGGTCCTTCTTGAGTGTTGCTGTTTTGTGAGAGGGAGTCAAGCTCATGCCAACAAATTCAGGTTGCACAATAAAAGTGGACAACAAAAATATCAGACTACAGTGGTACCTCGGGTTACATACGCTTCAGGTTACATACGCTTCAGGTTACATACGCTCCAGATTCTGCTAACCCAGAAATAGTGCTTCAGATTAAGAACTTTGCTTCAGGATGAGAACAGAAATTCTGCTCCGGCGGCACGGCGGCAGCAGGAGGCCCCATTAGCTAAAGTGGTGCTTCAGGTTAAGAACAGTTTCAGGTTAAGAACAGACCTCCGGAACGAATTAAGTACTTAACCCGAGGTACCACTGTATTTGCTGTGATGGAAAGTGCACACTGGAAAGTGTGACATAACAATTGCTTGTTATGATGTGTAACCCCTGCAAACAAACCAGGATGGATGCTCAATAAACAGGTTGTCTGGAAGTTGACCTTGAACTCATAGACCCTAGAAGCAGAGGGCAGGCAGAGGGAGCTAGAGCCTCTTAAGCTTGGCTGGGGGCACAGAAGGAATATTGAGCAAAAAAGAGACTGGCACTGCAGGCAAGGCTGGCTGATGTTCTAGAAATGTTCTGGGTTTGTTAGCTTTTACCTTGTTCTGTTACCATTTCTGAGATTCCTTTCTCTTTTTCCCCCAATCAAGCATAGCTATGGCAGGCCTACCTATCAACAATAGCCCAAGAAGGAAGCCAGTGTAAAAATCCTCACAGAAAAAGGCAACATCTTTCATGCCCTGACCAACTTTCCCCCCTCTCCAATACCCCTCTCTCTGGCTACAGTCCTGTTTACACTTGCCTGATAATGAGCCATGTTTGGAACATGCTTCTGAGTGAACCTGCTTAGAGTTGCTCTGCTATTTACTCCCTCTCCTCCTTCGCCAACGATGATGATCATTATGACCATGATTAGGAGCATAGGAACCTGCCTCAATGTCATGTGATTGGTCCACATTGTTCAGCACTGTCTACACCAGGGATGGTTGACCTGCTGCCTCCAAATGTTGCTGGATTTCAACTCGTATCAGTCCCAGCTAGCCTGGCCAACAATACCTAGAAGGACATAGCCACCTGATCTACACTGAGCTCTAGCAAAGTCTCAGGCAGGGGTTTTTAGGATTCTAAGTGATTTACAACCAATTACACAAGTTATGGTCATTCCTCCTTAACACAGACGGTGAAGCTAATAGTTTATATCCAATCTTAGTCCTAGTTAGAGCAGTGCCTCTGAAATCAGTGGCCATGCCTAACAGATCTATTAATTCCAATGGCTTTGCTCTGAGTAGCACTTAGATCACAGTAGCAGCACTTTGTATCCAAAGCTAGTTCCGCCGTCGAAGTTAATAGACACAACTAACTTAGCCTTGGTAACCAATGGGCCTACTGTGCATAGAGCTCGGCTGAATACCATGCAACAATAATAAGAAGAACAGTAAGATTCCAATGGCTGAAGAAGATCAAAGAAACAGAACCTAGGAAGGAGCAGCCCAGAGCAAGGGGAGCCTGCGAAGGGCCGATCCTTCTCTTCCCTCCCCGCGCCCGCCCCATCCCCGGTAGTTGAGAGCAGGCGCTGCTGCCAAAGCGCCCGGAGCCACCAAGCAGCCTCCTCGCTCCCCTCTCTCTCTGTCTCTCTCTCTCTCCCCCCCCCGATTGGTGCGCTCCATCGCTGCACCCCCTCCGAGCCGCTGCTCCCGCTCCCCGGGGGCTGCGGCGCGCAGCGAGTTAGCGAGCGAGCCGGGGCAGCTGCGCCTTGGGGCCGCCGCGTCCTGGTGGCGGAGCTGCAGCCGATTTCAAAAGCTGCGCGCTGGCCGCGGAGGAGGCGGGGAAGGCGGGCGGACGGGCAGCAGCAGCAGCAGCAGCAGCAGCAGCAGCAGCAGGGCTCCCCTCGGCGCTCCTTTCTGCATGGGCTGCCCTGCGCCCGCGGTGGGCGGTGCAGGCGGGGGATGCCAATCCCCATGACCATCTCCCCGAACATGTGGCGGAGGAGACGGGATCTCCCGCTGCACGTGTCTGCTGCTGCTGCTGGAGGCGGCAGCGGCGGTGGCCGCGACAGGTAAACCCACCACACCCCCACCCACCCCACACTCCTGGCCGCCCCCTTCCCAGATGTACCGAGGCGAGAGGAAGAATCCATGGATTGCCTCCTGCTTTTCCTGTGGACTTTACCCGTGGCGATCGGCGACGCCACCCCGATGCACTCGTTCACCATCCTCTGGCTCGGCAGCATTGCAAAGGTAAGTGGTGGTGGGAGCCAGCGGGGCCAGATCCGATTGAGGTTTCCCCACGTATCCCTGAGATACCCCTCTTCTTTCTCTTCTTTTTTGCAGAGTCTGCAGCTGTGCTGCCTCTGTTGCGTGTCCTTGGCGGCCGCGTTAACTGGTGACAGCGGCGGCATCGGCGGGTTTAACCACGGTTCGTATCCTTTTCGATTACAATGCGAATGAATGAGCCTCTTTCTCGCCTGTGCGGGAGCCCATGGGAGCAGGAGGCGGGAAACTGTTAATATTCTTTGGTTGGGAGTAGTTTCACCGGAGGCCACTGTGCAAACCATAGTTCAGCAGGGAAGGACTATAGCTTAGGGGCAGAGCACCTGCTTGGCAGGCAGAAGGTCCCAGGTTCAATCCCTGGCATCTCCCGGTAGCGTTAGGAATGGCCCCTTCTGAAGTCTTGCAGAGCTGCTGCCTGCCAGTGTGAATGCTCTTGAGCTAGATGTACCAATGCTTTGATTCGGTCAAAAGTAGCCATGACTCGACCATTGTGGTGGATTGAGCGCTGGAAGTTGGACTTAAGAGACCAGGTGTGTTCAAATCCAGATTTGGTTATGGAGTCCAATTGAGGGTGTGATGCTATACATACCTTCCTGAGAGTAAACTGTACGCAAATCAGTGGGATTTAATTCTGACTAGAGAGGTGTATAGGACTGCACTGTGCGGGGAGGATTGGGCAGGTGACTGCCTCAGTGTGGCTCATCTGTAAAATGGGACCGTTTGAGGGTTGTGACAAGTGAGCAATGCAATAATTGCAATGAACTATTTCTTTGCTGAGACAGAAATGAATAAGAGGCTAAACATTGTGATGGCCAGTTGTGTTAGTGGTTTGGTAAGAGTTGAACAATTTTGGGGAGAACGGCTTTGTTAATGGCTATTGCCCTTGATGTTTAAATAATAGAATCATAGAATTATAGAGTTGGAAGTGACTGAAAGGGTCATCTAGTCCAACAGAAAGTTAAAACGGCTATAGAATCAATAGACTATAGGAATAGTCTGGAGAAATTGGTAGAAGGATTACAGAACAGGTACCCTGATAGCTCAGACCCAATTTAGCTGTAATAAAAGTTCCATTTGTTTCAAGAAGGGCTTGCTTCTGTGTAAATGAAATAGAGGTGGAGATCATTCCTGATGACTGGTGAACAAAAACTGGTGAATATCAGTCTCTTTGCACAGCTCTTTCAGCAATATGGAAAGAAACCAGCCTGAAGTGCAAAAAGAAAGGAAGACAATAAAGAATACTGTATGTGCTTAAGGATTTGTAAGAAATAGATCAAGTCTCTCTCTCTCTTTGAAACATCTCAGTAGAAAGAATCTTTACACTTTCAAAGCACTTCCAGCCTTCTGCCCAAAATGAAAGAAAGAATGAAATGCTAATGTAATGTAGCAGTGTATTAAAACGTGTGTGAACAGGCAGGCAATGATTCCTAGATTTCAAAGGGAACAGGTGATTGCAGGCAATCATGGACTGAAGACGAAGCTCCCATTTTTAAAAAAAGATAAGTTAATGTTACAAACAATTGCATGGCATGCTTTAGCACTCCGGCTCATATTGCAGAAGAATACAAAAAAACCCTACTCATGTTCTGTATGGATATCAATATACAAATAGATTCAGCAGGATGTCCAGCTGTGAATGTTCTGTAGCTCAGGAAGATCGAAGCGTGATGCTCTTGCTAGCTGGGAGTGTTAACAAGTACAGTGCGCACAGGACTGGGAAAGGCAAATCCTGGTGTGCCTTGTGTCTGTTCGCTGGGGAATTCCTCCCTCTCGCAGCTGCTTGCATTTTTGGCTACCAGCCTGTTTAGCATCCTGAACTTCTGCCACTGATTAACACCACTGGAAAGTGAAAGGCTTGTGATATATCATTTCCACTGTCTAACACAAAGGCAACCTATTGCTGCTTACATTTAATGGAGGCATAGAGCTGTAGAGTTGGAAGAGACCCCAAGAGTCATCTAGTCTAACCCCCTGTAATGCAGGATGGGCTAGTTAGCAATTCTGCACCGCTTTAACTCTATCTCTAGCATTTGTCCTGCCATACAAATTTGGCAGAGAAAGGTGCTCTGCCAGTTGCTTTCCTTGTTCAGATTATCATTAAGGAAAAAAGAAAAGCAATGGATTGTATCCAACTCAATTTTATTCAAAGTAGATCCATTGACATTAATCAATCTTCACTAATTTTAACAGGCCTAGCTTTGGATATAGTCCATTATGATGATGGCATGTGGAAACAGATGTTGCTGAAGATCTAGAACTCCTAGGAAATCTGGGATTTTTAAAGAAATGCTTTAATTGGAAAGGCAGAATTTCCTACAGAGGCATACTTATTATGACAGATATTCTCCCACAATGTGCAACCACTGGGGAGCTGGGGGCATATTCCAGGAAATGTTCTCAGTTCATTTAGAACTAAAATCAAGCCTCTACAGAAACCTTTTTCATTCCTTCTGGGCAAACTTCTGAGGGCTCTAGTCTAGTGGTGAGCAGGACCAGAGGCAAAACTGAGCAAAGCAATTAATGTAAGATTTACCTTTGGACAGCAGGCTAGTTTACTCCAGGCAAGCAAGAGCCATGATCAGAGTTCAGGGATACATTCCACCCAAGCAAAAATGTAAAGGCAGGAGCAAAGCGGGGTGGGGGGTGAGGGGTGTGGCCTGGGAAGAGGGATAGTAGCTTGGGGAGAGTTCCAAGACCCAGCTAGAGAGACCTGCAGAGGTCACACACCCTGCTGGGCCTCCTCTCCCATTGACTGTTTTGACAGGTGAGCTAGTTCACTTACCTGCCAATCATCTGATGCTTTGCAGGTGCTGCTGATCAGCTGATTGCAATGCCTGCAAATTCTGCTTTTCGCAGGAAGTCCCATCTTTACTTGAGGCACACCTGCTGTCATATAAAATGTCAGGTGCAGGGCAGGTGGGCATGGCTTCTTGGACCCAGAGGCACTCCATTGCTGCACCAGCCCATCTCCTGATTTTCTTGGCTATCACTGCCTATGTTTGTCTGCTGTCCCCAAGCATGCAAGCCATGACATGAGTTGAAACCTTCCACTTGCATTATGTGTGCGCTCTCTCTCTCTCTCTCTCTGGTTGTGTGGATTGGGGCCAAAATGGGTGGGCAAGTGTGTGAGCCACAATGTCTTGGGGGGGGGGGCGGCTATAGAGAGAGGACCTGCCCCTCTGGAGTGCCTTGCCTCAATTTCAAAACCTGGAGCCAGTATTACATGCATATGTAATCCTTTCATGTTCATCCTGTCACCTTTAAATGCACATAGGATCATAATCAGGATGCCAGTGATCAGCAGTGCATAGCTGTCAACGTTTCCCTTTTTTAAAGGGAAATTCCCTTATTCCGAATAGGATTCCTCGCAAGAAAAGGGAAAAGTTGACAGCTATGCAGCAGTGCAGACCAGGTTTAGGAATTTTGTTCTAGGCATATTGCCTCACAATCTTTTCATTGTACTTCTTTGTTTATTTGATCATGAACAAGAAATCACACTGCAGCTGAATTAGCAGAAACAGGCAAAATTTGCAGGTTTGAGGTGATCTTTCTCAACAGGAGGTCAGCTACAACCTTAAAAACCAGACTAGCCAAGCTGCCATTGGTGGGGTTAGTGGAGGAGAACGCTGAATCCTTTGAGACACTAATAATTAAATCCTTTAATCCAGTTGAACAAATTGTGTGCAATTCCTCTTGGGACTGCAGTATTCTTTGCTCTGCTTTTGAGAGACAGGGAGATTGCGCGGGGGTGGGGAAGCCACCTTCCCATTTGTCATCATTCAATTGAAGGGACGAGGCAGGAAAAAACGACACCTTGGTGATGACAAATGTCTTTTCCAAAGTGACTGTGGGAAACTTCACAGCTACGCCAAGTCGTCTCTCCTGGCGGGAATGATCAGAGGGCAGAGGAAACTAGTCCAGTTTTATAATCCTTGTCATTTATGTGGGGCCGGCTGACATTGCTTTAGAAGTATTTATGCATGCATGGCTGTATCAACACAGACTGCAGACTCCCTGTGCCACTTTGCAAATGGTGATAACGAATGTGCCCTACTGAAAACCTGCTTTGCTGCATAAAAATGTCTTACAGAGGTTAATTTTTTAGGCAAGAAAGCCTAAAACTAACCAACTAATAAATGAACAGGCATGCCCTTGGCTCATGAAGGCTGATGGCTAATAAACCCTTTCCCTTTCCAGATTACATCTTTGTCACTCCTGTTGAAGTGGACTCCAGTGGATCGTACATCACGCATGATGTTTTGCGCAGTGCTAGAAGGAAACGATCAACCGTGAGCTCTAAGAGTTCCTTGCACTATAAATTTTCAGCATTTGGACAGGAACTTCTCTTGGACCTCCAGCTTTCGGCCTTTTTTGGCAATGGTTTCACTGTCCAGGTGCTTGGGGAAGATGGCATCATGCATTCTCAGGAACATGAAGTTGAACAGTGTTTCTATCAGGGATTTATAAGGAACTATAGTTCTTCTTCAGTAGCCATATCTACATGCGTAGGCTTGGTAAGTGTATGCTGACCCCTTAAATGTAACCTAGCCTCCAGTCCCTTTCCTTTATTGCCTTGGCTTATACCAAGAACTCCGTTAGGGAACAGTGGAATCCTAAACCTGTTAAAGAGAATGCAGGTGGGGTGGACTCATTTTGACACAGTTATTATGACCCTGCAACATTCAGTTTGACATACAATCCTTCTCCCAACTCCCCACCCCCATTACCTGTCTTGCCAATGTAATCATATTCAACAAGAGAGCTATAATTACAGATGATATCTTTCTGTGCTAAACTAGTGGTTATCTTAAGATTGGTTCCTGAAAAGACAAGCCTTCTGAAAGTACTTCTAAGGGCAATTATGTGCAGATGTTAATCCTTGGGAATTTCTTTTCTGCCCAAAATATTCACAGTGTATATATGTGTAACTGGTTGGAAAGGTTTGAGATCCTTCCTGTGTATGTATGTATAGTCTTTGCTCATACTTCTTCTGCTGTTAACTCTCATTTCCTCACATGAACCACAGTGAAGGGCAGGGAAGCATAGAGGTTGTTTTCACTGAAGGCTACTCATTTGATGGCCATCATGACTAACACTCTTACTAAGAACATAGGCTATCAAAAAAGGGTCCAAGTTTTTAATTGCTGCAGTTGGTGCCAACCAATTGTCTATTAGACTCCTAGACTGTGTTTCTAGTCTTTATGGATGTGAATAATTTTGGGGGGAGTGTGTGATGAAATCACGGAGGCTGGGAATGGAGATGGACAATGGATGCTACTGACTGGGGACTGCACTTTAGTAAACTGCAGAAAATTCTCACCCCAGAAGTCTGTTTTTTAAACTTCATAGTTGATGTTCACCAACTAACAGTGTCTCCAGCCTTCCACCTTCTATCATCCAATACACTCCCCAGCTGCCCCTTTCTGCTGGTATCTGTAAGATTCCAGCGCAGTGCAGGATCCCACAAAGAAGGTGGCAAAGTGAGAGGTGAGGAAAGGCAGGACCAGGCTGGAGGAAGGCAGAGCAGGAGGCAAGGCTGGGCAGAAGTTGCAGAGCTACAGAGAACTCTAGGGATTCAGAGGTTGTGGCAGTACCTTTCTAGATCATTGCCTTGGTATTTGCATTTTTGAGGGGAAAGTCTTTTAAAAATGTTATTAGTGTGGGCTGCTAGTGTCAGAATTCAGGGTCATTGAAGCTCTCTCTCAGTGGACTTGATAATATTGGGTACATCCTTGTCCCTTGCACACGTGTGTGTGTGTGTGTGTGTGTGTGAACTTTGAGGCATCTGTGCATGCAATTTTACATCCCTTTAATGCTCAGGGGTGTTTTTAACTGTACCCCATTATGTTTTGTTTTTCTGGTATGCTATTTTGGAGAAGACATAGGGTTGGATCCAGATGAGGGTCCCATTGATATCAATGCAAAGATTTAGTCACAGCTAACTTAGGTTCCACTGATTTCAGCAGAGCATCTGAAAGAGCAGCATGGAGCATCTTTCTGGTGGGGTCCCCAGATGCTGTGTACCCAAAAAATCATATACAAGGCTAAAATGTGTGTAAACATGCATATATTCATGAAAATAACATACAAAAATGCATTATATGAGTGGAAATTGCTTACAAAAATGTCAGAATCATTGGGTTGTATGCAATTAACTTTAGACAGAATAGGCCAGCTGAAATTAATGGACCTAAGTTAGTCCTGTCCATTAATGTCAACGAGTCTACTCTGAGTAGAGCTAACATTGGACCCAACTCATAAAAACAAACAAACAAAAACAAACAAACATTTAGAGCCTAGTTCTTATGATTATAACTGTTAAGGTTGTCTCCAGATTGTCATATTTTGTGGGAGGGATTCAAGCACACATTGGAAATTTAGGTATGTGCAACTGAAATGTATTAAAGTGTTTTTCGCTCCAGCACACCAGATCCACTTCAAAAAACACAACAGACTTTTTGTAGTTAGGAACGTGATGGAGAAATGCACTACAAAGTGTGGGAGGACTAGTGGGAAGACATATAAACATCATGCAAACATATTAAAGTGAATGAAAATGAGAAGACTGCATGTTGCAGAACTTTCCAGCATTCAAATCAGAATGAATAATCAGTAAAGACCAGGCATAGTATAACCTCTGTATAAGCTTTGTGCAAGCAAACCAAGATGAATGCTCAATAAACAGGTCATATGGCAGAGTCCCCATTTTTGTTTTGAAGTAAATTGGTACATATGCTAAAAAAATGTTCTAAACCTCAAATCCTAATTAATTACTTAGCAATAGGTTCATGTAGGGTAGCTGAGTGAAAAAGAGACTAGGGGTCCTGCATATGTAAAGTTACACTTGGTGAAATTCCCTTTCCTACTGAGTTCTTCAAAGCATGGGATCCCTGTTTCTTTTTTCAGCTGGCCACCTTCAATTACTATTCACTGTCTTTTAAGGTAACAATATCAGAATGAGATGCTATGTTAATTGCACACAACTATGGGTGTTATTGGAGGGACGCGGGTGGTGCTGTGGTCTAAACCACAGAGCCTAGGACTTGCTGATCAGAATCCCCGCAATGGCGTGAGCTCCCGTTTCTCGGTCCCTGCTCCTGCCAACCTAGCAGTTTGAAAGCACATCAAAGTGCAAGTAGATAAATAGGTACCACTCCGGTGGGATGGTAAACGGCGTTTCCGTGTGCTGCTCTGGTTTCGCCAGAAACGGCTTAGTCATGCTGGCCACATGACCCGGAAGCTGTACGCCGGCTCCCTTGGCCAGTAAAGCGAGAGGAGCGCAGCTCAGAGTCATCCACAACTGGACCTAACGGTCAGGGGTCCCTTTACCTTTATGGATGTTATTATATTACTTACATGCAACTAAAATTAGCTGTGGCCCTGGTGTGATTTCATCCAGGGTTATTCTCAGTAAGCATTGAATCCCTGGAGTGCAATGTTGGCAGCAGAGTGGATTTGAATGTTTTGTGGTTTCAGAAAAGACTGCAATGATTAAACTTTTAAAATAGCTTTTGAAATTTAGCTCAGAAGTGCAGACAAGAATGAGATACTGACAGTTACATTAAAGTAATGTGCCTGGCTCTTACTGATGAAAATGCATTGGGGAAAATCTAGCACTTTTTTCTTAGGTGAATAAATGAAGTTGCCCAATACTCTACAACTAAGTGTGAGATGGAGATGCAAGACATTCTTCAGAGTGATTTGTCAGAAAGGATTGGGGAGAAGGTTATAGCTTAGTGGTGAACAACATACTTTGTGCACAGAAAATCTTAGGTTTTGTTCCCTGTTTCATCTCTTAAAATTACCTCAGGTCTCAGGGCTGAATATTTTGAGAGCTGCATTTGGAGCCTCCCCAACCTGATGCCCTCTAGATGTTTTGGACTACATTTGTGATCACCCTCAGCCATCATGGTCACTGGTCAGGGATGTCTGGAATTGTTGTCCAACCAGGCTGGAATGGACAATGCTTTGATTAGATGGACCACTGGTTTGATGCTGTAGGACTCCTTGCCCCTGTGAGTGAGGAGTTGGACCACACCTGGTGGTCCTGCTCCTAATGTCAGCTGTTCCCAGTTCTTACATATTCAGGTCTGAATGAGATGCCTTCATTTACTCAGTGTTACCTGTTGCATGGAGAACATAAGTCAATAACCACTTTTCTATCAGTTTGCAATAACAATGCAATAACAATGATCAAGATTCTGTAAACAAGGAGTAGCTAATGTGATGCTTTTGTCCTCTGCACCAACCCTTGCTTAGAGGACAAACAGGCTTTTTGGCGCTGAAGTTCCACCTACTTAGTCCCACTCCTCTGCTTCTGGCAATTATGGTAGGTTCTACCTGTCTTAATAATGGGAAACCTGCCACCCTTCATATGTTGCTGGACTCCTGACTTCCATTATCCTTGACCATTGAGCATGTTGTCTGGGGCTGAAGGCAGTTGCGAGCCTAAAAACATCTGGAGAACTACAGGTTCTCCAGCTCTGACCTATCTCCTGGAATAAGAAGCAAAGCTCTTGATCAAGGGTGGGACCCTCCAGACATTGTACTCCATCAGCCCCCAGACAGCATAGCTGATTATCAGGGATGTTGGGGGTTGTAGTTCAACATGCTGTGGAGGACACCATTCTGACTGCAGGGGTGTAACCATATGCTTGGAATCCTGTGCTGTGATTGAGAGTCTCTTGTGGACAACCACCATTTGTGTCTCCACCCCCCTTCCCTTACTATGTTTTGTCACTTGGCTAGCCTTCTTTCCTATTTGCTTTGTTCACTGCAATTAAACCGAAAGTGGTGTTGCTTCTACATGGTTGGTAGCACTAATCTTTCCATTGTTCCTTTCATTAGCAGTAGCTTCTCCACAATAAAATGGCAGTGACCCATTCTTTTAAGCCTGGAACACCACAATGTGATTTGGAAGCAATTGTATTTCAATAGACTGCAGGGATTCTTTGATCTCACTTGTTTTTTGGTCTCTCTGTGTGTAGTGCGGGGAGCAGCATGCTGGGGAGCATTCTCTAATTCAGCAGTTCAGATGTCTACTTCGTGCTTTTGCCTGGATAGAAGATTATGAAGAGAGAAGAAAAGTCCCTCTATAAGCTAGCTGGGTGGGGGAGGACCGAGGACCTGGTGCTTTACTACAATTCTGCAATGAGGCTGACACTGAACTCCATGTGTCATTGATTGACATATCCATCATGCTCCGTTCTTAAAAAAAAGGGGGGTATAAGAAATTGGACTTTTGGCCTTTCTAGCTCTGTCTTGTCTACACTGGCTGGCAGAAGCTCTCCAGGATTCCAAATGAGAGACTTTCTGGTATTATAGGAGATGGAACCTGAAACAGTTGATCTAACAGTGAGCTATGTCCTCCACTCAAAGAAGAGCAGAGGAAGCGGACTTATCCTGAGTCAGACAATTGGTCCATCTAACTCAGTGTTGTCTGCACCAGGGGTGGACAACCTTTGGCCCTCAGGCCAAGTTTGGCTCAGCATGGCTCCCAGTTTGACCCATGACTGTTTCCCATAACTCATGGCCACTTGTCCCACATGCCAGTGATGCCAAGTGTGGGGCAGATAGAGATGCATCTGGGTCAGTTGCATGGCTGAGTTCTGCATGTGGGACTCACTTGTGAAGCCACTCCCTGCAGAATACAGACTTGAAGTCACTGAATACTGGCTGATGTACTATTTTTCAAGCCTGCTGCTTGCAAATCAGCTGCACTTCAAAGCACCATGCAGGGCTCTTTGCAAGGCCTTTGTAGTGCTTTGAAGTCTCAGCAATCATCACCTGACATCTTTGTGATGTCAAACCTGGCCCATGAGGGATAGGAAAGGTGAGGATCTGGCCCGCTATCCAGTTCAGTTTTCCAATCCTGGTCTATACTGACTGGGAGCAGATTTCCAGGATTCCAGATACAAGTCTTCCCCAGCCCTGCCTGGAGATGCTAGGCATAACAGTAATAAATAACTTCAATAAATAATCAGCATGTCAATAACAATAATACAGTTCAAACATTAGCATATACAAGTGAGGCCTGCAACAAAATGCTGCAGCATAGTGTGCTGATGTTTGGGATTCCAGCTACTTTACTCCATCCCCAACCCCCTTGTTTTCATTCCTCTTCCAACTGTCAATCAGCATTCTCTCTCTCTCTCTCTCTCTCTCTCTCTCTCTCTCACACACACACACACACAAAATTCATGTAGACTGGACTGGCCCAAGGCATTTTGCTTTCTGAGGTAAAGGACAAGATGATGCCACCTCTCCAAATCCACATATAGAAGCCAAATGGACTTGCACTTGAATCTTCCTTCAGCATTGATGATAGGGTAGCATCTTCCACAGTATCTGAGGGAAGCAGCCTAGGTTAGGGTTGCAGGGCAGATTGGGTGGCGCAGGCAGCTCTGTCTGCTCCACAGCCCCTGGCGTCTGCTGCCTATCTCACTCTGTCTAATGGTAGGGCCGGCCCTGCATGTAGACATGGTCTGAGTGTAGATTCCTTGGATAAGAAAGCCACTGATTATGTTGCTGTCTGCCTTTCTGATCCTATCGGTGGGGAAAGGGACTTTGCTGCTTTCTTGCCAAATTCTTTTTTGGCAGGTCTGCTATGAATTTAAAGTGCACAGCAGGCACTGTGCACTGATACGCTCTGACATTGAATTGACTGGCTATGGACTGATGAAAGCTAAATTAGTTTTGGTTTCAAACAGTAGGGAATAGACTAGAATGCTGTGTATATAAAATTATATATATGGTTAAAAAAATCAGTTTTACAAAGGTGGCAGTCATGTTGACAAGGAACATGTCAAATGGGAATTTCGTTCCAGTTTAAAACTGATAACAGGGGATGCCAAATTGCAGTTGCTGACAATGAAATCTTTAAAAAAAATATAAAAAATGCTGTCTTTAAATACGGAAACTTGTCAGTTCTTGAAAAATCTTGATATATGGGTTTGCCGATGATAGGAGTGTTGAGAAATAATATCAAGCAGATACTTCTTGGCTTCCTTCTCCATATTTTTTGGGGGAGGGATTTAACAGGTGCTGAAAAACAGTTAATGTGAGTTGTTGAAGGTCAATGCAGCTTAGCTGGAAAACCTTCCCAGAAATGGCCTGTACTACCGTTAGGCCAGATGTGGGGAACCTGTGGCCCTCCAGATATTGCCAAACTACAACTCCCATCAGCCCTAGCAAGCATGGCCAATGGTGAAGGATGATGGGAATTTATTTATTTCATAACATTTACACACCGCTTGATAGTAAAAAACCAAACCAAAGCAAACCCTCAAAAGTGGTTTACAGAAATATAAAACGATAAAATCAAGAAAAAATGACAACAGTACTTTAAAACATACAAACGTTTAAATATTAAAACTGATTAAAATTACCTCAGCTTTCTAAGAATCTAGGCAGGCTTGTCTAAACAAGAGTTTTTTAAGCAAGTGCGAAAAAGAAATGAATGCCTGCTTGATATCAGTAGGCAGGGAGTACCAAAGTGCAGGTGCTGCCACACAAACTGAATTCTTACTAATCAGAACCTGTATTATGCAACACCTGTATTAGCAGGGACACCATCTGGGGAGGGGCTGGGGGACTGAGGGCCTTCTTGGCAGTGGCACCTTCTCTGTGAAACGCTCTCCCATCAGATGTCAAGGAGACATCTGAAGGCAGCTGTGTATTGGGAAGTTTTAAACATTTGATGTTTTATTATGTTTTTATATGCACTGGAAGCTGCCCAGAGTGGCTGGGGAAACCCAGCCAGATGGGTGGGGTATTATTATTATTATTTATTACTTTATTAAGCTGGCTCTGGATGGATGTAATAACATTTGGGCACCCAATGTTGAAGAACACTGCCCTAGAAGTTACGTTACCAATCTTTTGCGACCGGTTTGCCCAAGCACTAGACAGCCTCGGCATTGTCTTGCTAGACATATGGCTAGATCTAGTCCTACTTAGCATCAGTAAGATAGTTTAGGTGTAAAAGCCTTTCTAAGGCTAACTCTCCTGGTGCATACTTTACATATGACAATCATGAAGAGTGAGGAATCTAGACTGAGCCTACTCTGTCCTGCTCTGGACCCTATTCACATGTAATTTGTACATACATATGAAAGATCTGTTCTGACCTTCAAAAAAGTTTTTTTTTTAATGCATGAACATCCGGAGTGGGGAATCCATATGCAATCCATATCCCCCTCCATATATTTGTGGAACATCTGTACAGGGCTACTGGTACCTCCAGGGTAGAATCTTGGAGCAGGGGTGGCCCAAGACATGTTGCTGCCTGATGGGAAGGGCAAGATGGAGTCCCATCTGCATTCCATGGACAGAAGCTGGCTGATCAGGCAAGTTGAATTTTACTTCAGTACTGGTGATGTGATAGTATCTGAGCACTGATCTCATGTCTAGTTTGGTCGTTAGAGGGACCACAGATGCACTTTCTGCTAAATTACCAGTGGCAAACCAACCGAATGTTCATGGAATAAATAGATCATCATAACCCTAGCATTAGAACCAGAACAGTCATCCCCACCCCCATCTCTCTCTGCAAATTTTTATACTTAATTTGAGGAAAAAACACATATGCATGGGAATGTACTTATAGGGGAAAATAAACTTAAGTTCTGTGCCACATTCCTAATTCTGCATTGATTTTTTTTTCTCCTTCAAAGAGGCTTAGGATGTAGGATGTTATTATCAATCCCATATGCTTTAAATTAGTCTAGTCCAAACCACAGGAAATGTTTAAAGTTAATATTGTAATTGAAAATGTTTCTTGTAGGTAGAAATATACATAAAAATAGTCAAAATTTAGAAAACCTGCCAGTAGTTGGAAACTGTGTCAGATGAGAAGGCTGGGAACAAATTTGAGTTAGGAAGGCAAGTTCTGAAGCATAGCACCTGTTGTGCTGAGAGGATTTCCTGGGGAAGGGTTCATGTGGCAGGTTATTTGTAGGCAGAGATTATTCATTGTAAAAAGATGTGCATATTAGAGCTTGAGATCTAGATGTTTGAGATTGGGTAGCATGCTTCCTAAATATATTTTACTTGGAATCAAGATTGTGCTCATTTGCCCCACACCGGCCAATTTTCAAAGCAGGAGTTGCTGATCTGTACTTTCAGTCTAGATACTGTTGGACACTAACTCCCATCAGCTGCAGCCAGGGATGATGGGAGCTGGAGTCCAGCAACACTGGGGGTGCCAGAGGTTTCCCAACCTTGACCTAGGTGCTCGAATCATAGGTCACCTGTTCTGCACCAGTTACACTTACTATCTGTCTGGTGTTCTGTCCCAACTCAAGGTTCTGGAATTAAAGTTTTAAGCACCAAATGTTTTCTAACCACACTATCTGAAGGATCTCCTATGCCCATGTAAACCACCTAAACTTTAAGGCTGGCAGCTGGGGCATCTTCTCTATTGTATCATGCAATGCCAGACACTTACCTTCTCGATGCCAGTCTTTAAATATTTTTGGCTGACAAAAGAAAATGAGCATTGAAATATCTGGACTGTTAGGATTTTATTAATTATTATTATTTTGATAAAAGTTCATCTGTGCAAGAGTCTATGTTAAGCTTTGTAAGATGTTTAGAACTTGAAAAGATTACAGACAGTGAACAAATGCACCCCAGATCAAGGGCAAATGACCCTCTTAGTATGGCAAGCTAGACTAAGACATTGGCAAGTGGATGGCGCAACCCAACTGTCATTCACTTGAAATCATTGACAGGTGGGTTGTCCTGCTTATCAGTCAAAGTCCTAAAAATCTTCATTGTGACAGCATGGTGGATCAGGGTCTCGGTTGCTTTGTTTTTTAGGAGGCACAGGGCAAGCCACACAACTCACACAGCTCTGTCCTCCATCTGTCATTGTCCTTCAGCATCTGCTTGAGATGGTCACTCACTCTTCCTAATGATAGAACCGGCCCTGTTCAGAGTATGGTGTGTGGCTTTCAACCCAACAGATGAACACCAAGGCACTATACCACATTGCTTCTCTTTTAAAAGAAGAACAAAAGAACTAATATCCTAGTAATGATAAATGTGATGAAGATATAGGTTTCTACCTCAGACTGTGGAACAAGTTTCTACAACCTTTTGGCATTTTTTATAAAATGAATATGCATTGCAAGGGGTTATTTGTGATATATATCTGCCAAAGTGGTGAGACTATGTTGTGATTTCAAACATAGTTAAATATAGCATAACACATTTTGTACTGTTGAAAATAAATCACAACTCTAAAGTGCAAATATAAGGGGGGAAATGTCTCACTTACTCCAAGGGCAGACTATGGGGAAGCAGCCCTGAAATGTCAAGGAGATGAATTAGATCTGTTTGAGATAAGTCTTTCCAATATATCATTGTATGTGTCTAGAACAAGCATGGTTACATTTTGCAGGTGGTTAAAAATATATGCTAGATATATGCAAGTAAAAGAAGATGGTCTTCTGCAAATCATTGCCTGATCCTAGATGGATAGTTCAGTTCTGGCTGCAATGCAAACAGTGTCACATGTCTTTGCTGCTGAACAAGGACTCTTTGTAGGAGTAGCATTTGATGTGACATGTAATCTTAACTTATGGTAGTTCACCTGTGATTACTCTTATAGGGTTGCCAAACGTCAACGGAAAGCTCAACAACTTTTCTGTCCAGATTGTCACTGTTTGAAATATGGCAACCCTACTTTCATGCATTCAAGCTGATTTGAACTTGCTTCGTGCATTATCCCTTTCAAGCAGGCTTAGGGCCAGCCCTACCATTAGACAGAGTTAGGCAACTGCCTCAGATAGTAGATGATGAGGAGTGGTGGTGAAGTGTTGTGGGACACAGTTGTGTGGGCTGCATTGCCTCTGCTATCCCCACAATGTTAGTTTGCTACTCTTCGGAGAAAGCTGTCCCTGTGTTGAAAAAAAGATTGTAGTCCAATCATTTACTGTATGTGGGATGGAGGATGATGCCACCTTCTTTCTCAAGTGGCAAAATGGCTTGGACAATGCAGAAGATCCTGTAGGGTCAGGCTGCTAGCCCTGCCCCAATATTGCATGCTTTCCTGCCTCCCATCCCTGACAAAGAGTTGTGTGTGGCTATCTGCATAGAGAAATCTGAAACCTTGATTGAACAAGGTTCCAGATCATGTGGAATCCCATGGACATAAAACTCTGCATGCATAGGCTTTCCCTGTTCATATGCCCATATGAGATGCACAGATGTTGGAGGACCAGAAAATTGTAGGATGTTGAAGGCTGTATGGGTCCACTGTCCCTTTTGTACATGGTGCTGGATAACATATGAATGGAGGCTTAGATGTTGTTTTCATCAAGTTGCATGGGGCTTCTCAAATCTGTGAAGACACACCATTCCAAAAATAGTTGATCACTCTAGAAAGCATCAGCAGTGCATACCACCTAGATAAAAAAATAGGGTAACTTCTGGCCAAGGAAATCCTCTGTTTGACCCCCAGGCCATAACCTCCCTGAGTGCTTCTGCTGGGCTTCAATGCATGAACTGTGATAGTGCCTCTTGCTTGCTTAGCAGAAGGCTGAAGAGATGTGATGTGTATGGAAACCTCTGGCTTTTGTATGGTTGGAATGCAGCCTACTGCACAAAGTTAACAGCCACATCCACTGCTTTGCATACTCTTGTGTCTGAACCTGCCCATCATGTGACCCTGGAAGGTTGCCCACAAGAGAATGCTGGCCTTGGATTGAAAAAAAGGTTCCCCACAAAATGACCACATCATTTTGTTTCAGAGCACTGGCTAGCTGTTCTTTAATTCTGCATAAGTGGTGTAAATCTGAGTCCTGGAACACCCCCAGAATTCAAAATATCTGAAGAGTCTGCCTTCTTCTTGACTAGGAGCACTTCTGCCTTGTCTGGATTAAGCCTCAATTTGTTAGCCCACATCCAACCAATTACTTCCTCCAGGCACTGATTCTAATTTCAATAGCTTCCTTTGTATTAATCATAATGAAGCGAAATTAAGACCAGGTCCATGCTAGTGCAGTCCTGTCCTCACTGCAGCCTTGTCACACCCTAGACCCACCTAGGTAATCAGCAGTGTCAAGTGGGTGGCTCTCTGGCTTTGTCCCACCTCATGGGTCACAACTGCAAGCAAGGCAATTCTTATATAGACCAATGATTTAAAATATCTGAAGCTTATTAATATTAGCAGCAGTTCATGCATATAAATATACTCACGCCTTGCCTACCATTCAGAAATTCTTCAGTTTGGGATTACAGTTCTTGGAGTAACAGCCTTTTAGGCTGAACTCAAAGGGCCAAGTGCATGTAGAAGCATCACAGTAGATTAACAAGAATAACATATTCCTGAAAGAAAGAGAAATTTGAGCCAATAAAGGGATTACTGACTGTCATCCATGAATAAATCTCCAATTTGATTCTGAAGAAATCCTGTGAAGTGCACCCAAGCACCGAATTTCTGAATATTGTTATTCTGCTAGTCTGCACAAATGCCCTGAATAATGAGAGACAAGTCTCTGCTCACTGTGCAGTGGTCTGGGTCAGTTGCAGTGAGGGTGTTCTCTTTAGCTCATGGAGCAATCATTATGAATGGGCTAATGAAACTCACCTGCTATTCAAATCAGCCACAGAGTTCTTGCAAATTTTTTCTTGGAAAGTTTGCAAGGCTAAATATGGTAGCATATTGTCGCTTGGAGAAAGTGAATGCTCCCAAACAACCTCTGTATAAAATGAAGGACAGAACAATGCTATTTCATGGTGTTATTTCCTATCTACCCAAGACCACCCTCACTGATGTAATGTGAGTTTCTTTTGTGGTGCTAATTTATCTGGTTTATGAAGATGGCTGATTTAAGAACTAGTTTCTTCTGCTACTCTGGATTGCTATTTTTCTGCGACATTGCTGTATTGTGGTACAATGAATTGTTTGTGTGCCCTTTGCGCTGAAAGGTGGGTTATAAATGTAATAATAATAATAACAATAATGGCAAGAGGTGCTTTCCTATGATGTCTGTTGCTGTTCCTATATTTCTGATGATCTGAATATACTAATGTGCATAAGGCAGTGATTCATGTATAAACGAGAGCAGTGTGGAGATTCTTGGTTTTGCAATCCCACAGTCCCTGGGAGGGTATTCTAGGGCCATAAGAAGCACCAGACAAGAGAGAGAGAGAGAGAGATTCAAACTTGAACAAGGAGGTCTGATATTGAATGCTTCCTTCTTCCACAGGCCTTACTCTACTATGTCAGAGCTCTGAGTTATTCCATCTAGGTCAGTATTGTTTACACTGACTGGCAGAGGTTTTCTAAAGTTTCAGACAGGGTTCTCTCCCAGCTGTACCTGGAGATACAGTGGTGCCCCGCAAGACGAATGCCTCGCAAGACGGAAAAACCGCTAGACGAAAGGGTTTTCCGTTTTGAAGTTGCTTCGCAGGACGAATTCCCCTATGGGCTTGCTTCGCAAGACGAAAATACCTTGCGAGTCTTGAGATTTTTTTTCCGCTTTTCCCCCTTTATCTAATCTGCTAAGCCTTTAATAGCCTTTAATAGCCTTTTAGCAGCTAATCCCCTAAGCCTTTAAGCCTTTAATAGCCGCTAAACAGCTGATAGCGCTAATAGCGCTAATCCGTCAATGGGCTTGCTTCGCAAGACGAAAAAACCGCTAGACGAAGACTCTTGCGGAACGGATTAATTTCGTCTTGCGAGGCACCACTGTACCAGGAATTGGACCTGCAAAGCAGATTCTCTGATACTAAGTTACAACTCTTCCACATATGATGTCAGTAGGGCTGAGAAGGCAGCATGGTGGGGGTGTACTGAAGGCATGCTAGAGCCAGAGCAGGGGGGTGGGGAGTGTTGGATCCAATGCCTCCACATTCCCCTGATATGCCCCCAAATCAGGGAAGTAATTATGTTGGCCCTAAAGCTGGAATAGTTTGTGTCATCATTTCAGTTAGGAGGAAAATGGTTATCACCACCACCACCACCACCATCATAGATGGAAAAAAATGGAGGAGCATGAGAATACCCTTCCACCCAACCAACATGAGGCTAGTAGGGTGTTCATTGGTGTGGTTCGATTCTCTTTCCTACCACCCATTTTAGGACTGTAGCCTTAGAAAGATGAAAGAAATTCTTTGGCTGCATCTGACTGAGAGCTCTCACTAAGCAGAGAAAGTAGGCTGGAAGTTCAACAGTCATACCCAGAGAACCAGCTGTTGCACATAATGTACTCCCAAGTCTGGCATCTGGAGATTACAGCTGCCAGATTTACTTCCCTGTGAGACGAGAGTGCATTGACTCTGCTGCCAGAGCGTAGTAGTAACTGCAAAAGAACAAAGAAATAAATGACTGAGATCCAGGCCGCTTCACTGCTGGACTCTCAGGCAAGGCACTAAGGGAGAACGCTTATTCCAATGGTGCTCCAGAAAGGAGCATCTTCAATACTTTGCCTCCATTTGTTCAACACTTTATTTTCTATTGTGCTCAACACCCATTTCATGAACTTGATATGTGATTTGCATGGGTGATTTATCACTATCACATGAGACAATAAATTTGAGCATGTGGGCCTGATCACAGTCATTTTTAATCATTCACACACCCAAAGGTTGTTGAATGGGAACTGCTGTTGTGAATTTTCCCATGAGTTAAGAACAAGCTAATGTTAAAGCAGCACTGGTCACATGTCCTGCATCAAAACAAGGCCTAATTGGGGTGTAGGACAAGTTAAGGTCCAAACACCCAACCCACTGGGTGGAGTGGAGTTGCTGCACTAGCCTCCTGGAGGGCCCTGATGCTTTCCAGAAGGGAGAGGGGGAGTGGCAAGCCAGCAGAGAGGTCAGTGTGGGGCAAATACACTGGCAAGACTGCCATATTAGCTCCAGCAGTGTGTTTTGAACCATGCTGACCTCCACCTGCTTCCCCTTTCTCCTGTTCCCTCCCAGTCAGTGACAGTGACTCACAGCTAGTGTAGTGGCTCTGCTTTACCCAGTAGCAACCACTCCCCCAGCCAGCCATCTCTGGACATTCCCCACAATTGTAGTACAGAGCTGGGTTTGCCATGTGACCTACCTGACTCCACCTGCAAACTAGTTCTGCTGCCTGCTCATCACCATGTTGAAACAATATTCAATTGCCTAGTCCAGTTGGCTTCTGTATACAGAATGTGGGGTAGGGATAGATGAATCTTTCACTTTTGGTTTCTCGGTTTCTCATTTTCCCAATCCTAAATTTGGTCCTCCACATTTTTTGCAGAAATCTGCATTTAAAAAAAAATATTAAACAGCCTCATGAAAATGTTTCAGCATTTTAGCGTAAAATTCTCCTAACGTATACATTTTTGCAAGCAGTGATTAAAATAAATCTTTTTTGCAAGCAATTTCCCCATATGTAATGCATTTTTAATGTTATTTTAACCAATGCACATACTTCTATGCACATTTTCCCTTAACAGATGCATTTTTGTCCACATTGCTTCTTTGGAGAACTACAGTGCAAAATTCAGAGAAGCTGAACTTGGACGGATAATTGTGGTTTGGTTTCAATACTGGTTTGAGAAGTGAAAAGTAGGTAGTTTTTCATTAAAATGCAAATAAAATCAACTTCTCCCCTCACCTCCTCAAAAGGGATGGGTACTATTTCTTTGCTGCATGCAGCAAAATGTCCTAGACTGCTCCTGCAGTTACATATTCTTTTTTCCAAGTCCCCCGAGAACAAATTCATTGATAATATAATACACAAGATATTATGCAACTATCTATCTGATCGATTGATTTTTTTTGTTCCCTTTTTACACACCTCTTTTAAGAGTCAACATATACCAGAAATGGATATTATTTCCCCTGGAGATATTCTATTTGCAATTAGGGTAGAAAGTTGTCCTAATTTGTATAGATACTCTGTCAATTATAAGCAAACACCACACTTTGTCAAGCCACCCCTTCATAGACTGTCCCTGGGGGCATTTCCACTCTGAAGGCAGGTGAAATTTGGCTGCTGTTAACAAAAGGCTTATTCATTCATATTGTGTACTTGGAATAGCTTGCTCAGGGTGGATATAGAGATATGTGTGTGAAGAGGAAGCCCACCAACAAAAGAAAAAGAATCTTGACTCAGTTGAGAAGTCGCTAAGTAGCCTAAAGCTAGCTACTGTCCCACAGTCTCCCACTTGTAATAAGAGGATAATATACATTACAGATCTTCTGAACAGAACTGTTATAGTGATGATTGAGATAATGAATGTGGGGTGCTTTGAACACTCTCCAGCAAGGACAGGAAACCTACGACCCTCCAGATGTTGTTAGGCTCCCATCAGTCCCAGCCAGCATAGCCAATGGTCGGGGTGATGGGATTTGTATTCCAGCAACATCTGGAGTACGTAGGTTCCTCACTTCTAAAGCATTGTGCTAATGCAGAAAATATTATTAAACCCACCATTAAGCCTCTTCTCGTGTCACTGATTTGCTGGTGGTCCCAAGGACCATCGTTTGAGAACATGCTGTTCTAGGTAGTAAAAATTGGAAACCCTCCACTTGGCAAAGGTTTGCATCAAGAAATGGTACTCGCAAGCTTTGAAACAAAAATTAATCTAATACATGTCTGCCATATGGTAAGAAAATGTTCAGAAATCTCTCCCCCCCTCCTCTGTCTACCCACCCCCAGACTTGTTTATAAACATCTGAAAAGAAAACAAAGTGGGGAAGGAGGGAAGGAGTATAGCTCCATGTAGCTTCTCTCATGTCACCCATTCCTCTCATCTTGGAATTTCTGTAGGGCAGCATGTGACTGATCATCTTCATGTATGAAAATAAGCAAATAGATGCTCCCGCATGGTTTAGGGCATATACAGCCATCCCAAGCAAACTGCAAAGGCATAGCATGTAACTGCTTTGTATGGGGTAGGGAAGTGCATAATGTTGCTGTGCTAAATGGAACATTTTTTAAAAAAATAATAATCTTGGGTTGTAATCCCCAAACAGGTTGTGCTGGAATGATACTAAGGCTCTTTAAGGATCTGCCTCCACATTTCCTTTCTGCACCAAAAACGTGAGGCATATAGCTGTCAGTGTCTTAGAGCACGTACAGAATGTGCCGGTGTGGTGTAGAGCCAGTGTGGTGTAGTGGTTAAGAGCGGTAGATTCGTAATCTGGTGAACTGGGTTCGATTCCCCACTCCTCCACCTGCAGCTGCTGGGTGACCTTGGGCCAGGCACACTTCTCTGAAGTCTCTCAGCCCCACTCACCTCACAGAGTGTTTGTTGTGGGGGAAGAAGGGAAAGGAGATTGTGAGCCGCTTTGAGACTCCTTAGGGTAGTGATAAAGCAGGATATCAAATCCAAACTCCTCCTCCGATACCACAGAGTGACTGTAGAAGATTCCCACCCACCTGGAATTGGGGAATGGGCTTTCAGAGGACAGGATGATGTTTCCAGGGATCTCTCTTCCTAGAAATTAAAGATTGCTAGTGAACACATTCCAGCCAGGCAAAAGCACTTGAGAAGGGCTTGGAACAAGACTGGTGACGGATGTGGCCTGGGGAAAGTATTGAGGGCTGAATAGAGAGGCTTGGAGACCTAAAGTTCCCCACTGTATAATTCCAGAGCAAACTATTTGTTCGTCTTTCCTAGTCTTGCCTACTCTGAGCAGCAGTGGTTTCCCAGGATATCAGGTGGAAGTGTTTCCCATCAGCTACGTACTTCCTGAGCCTTGTAACTGGAGATACCAGAAAATGAAGGTGGGATCTTCTGTGTACCAAACCACTATAAAATGGCTCTTCTTTTCATAGGTCCTTCATAATATTCAATGTGTTGGGGAGGTTTGTAAACTTGTGTCACTGTGTGCACTTGCATAGATTTCTAGTCACATTTGTTCCACAAATCCTGTGTTTGTATGCACAACTATAGTTTCGTTGAGTGCTATAAAGCCAGTTTTATGACACTGGGGTTTTGGCTCAAGAATGTGTCATTTTTAACAGACAGCATAATGATGATTCAGTTGTAGTTTAATAGGCATGCTTTGCACTCTGGGATCTGTTTGCTATTAAATCTGGAAGTTTGGGGATGTTTATCTGGTTTACTATATATCTAAGGTTACAGTTGTTATCTAGGTTTCTTATTGTTGCAGAACATCTTGAGGGAAAGAGCGAAGAGATGGGATCTTTAAACCTGTTGATCTTTAGCAGAAATACTTGCTGTTCTGGAATTCAGATTTAACACAGCCTGAACTGTAGCCAAACAGGAATAAAATTTACTACTTTATCACCCTTTAATATCAGAATGGGATTCAGATGGGCCAAGAATGTTTCTTTATTGTATATGGGCAATTTCTGGAAAACAAAATGGATGACATTTACTGTCCTTTCCCTGCTGATTCCCAAGGACAAGCCAAGTAAACTAGTATCATTCAGGGAAAAAATGATCACAGTGATCCTATGAACATTCCCATTGTGTTCAATACAAAAGGTACCTTTTGGGATTGTAAATGGAATAAATAAGGGAGAGTAGGCTGAGGAGCAATGTGAATACATGTAGGAAAATCATGGTCAGCTTTAGACCTTCATGCATTTCTCTGCATACCTAAACAGCAATAGGGCAGAGGAAAGGTGTGCACTGGCCACAAACTTTGGTTTGGACTAGGGAACATGGACAGATTCAATTTTGTTTGCATTTAAATGAGAAACTACCTAATTCTCACTTCTCAAACCAATAGGAGAACTGAAACACAGCTAGCCTTCAAAATTCACACTTCTCTGAATTTTGTGTTGCAGTCCCCTAACCCAACAGATGTATAAATTCAGAGAAAGTTTGCCATATATTGAATGTATAACATAAAACAATTATTTTTATTAGTGAAAAATGCATGCAAAAATATGTTTAGAGGAACTGAATTAAAGACTGGAAGAAAGAGAAACAAAACAAAATTGACAGATTTCAGATCACAATTAGGCACTCAGCCTTCAGTGGCTGTCCAATTTGGTTCAGGTGGAAAACTGAATTGCTAAAACATATCTATCTCTCCCTGAAGCTTCTTTTAGACAATAAATGCATCTGTTCAAAACATTTCACTTGCCCCTCTACAAAGGTCTGTTCCACAGAAGGATGTGGTATCTTATGTTTTACCATATTTGGTGTGTTGGGTCTGTGGACTTTTATGCAAGAGATTTGAGTGGATTGAGGTGGTGGCGGTTCCCATTCAGTACTTAAGGTGTCTAGTCAGGATGAGGCCTAGGGCCAAACGTGACTCTCTAGGCCTTCAGCACTATCCACAGTCCTGCTTCGCATCCAAGCGTTTTGCCTGTCTGCAATGTGTCTTTGTACTTTAAGAATGCCTCTTGCTTATCTGCATGGAGGGTAGAGAAGGGTGAGGGTTAGAGTTAGAGTTCGATAGCATAGGAAGGGGTGTGTGAATGTGTGTAGAAGCTAGCCCACTGTAAAAAGTTAAAATTTACATTTGTTCTTCTGCCTAGTTTTGCCTCTGGCCTCACCTACTGCAGGCATGTTGTTCTCAGTGCATTGCAGTGAAATAAATGCGGGACTTGGACTGAAGAAGGTTCCCTATTTCCTATGCTTAGTGGTTCAGCTTTAGGCTCATTTGGCATGTGAGCAAATGGAGACCAGATAGTGGATGAATGGAGAATGATTGTGGCAGATCATTTTGATAGATTTCTTTCGTGAGCTGTTAATCAGGATATCTCAACACTAGAAGTGGGGCAGGAAGTTCCATGGAGGGGGAGAAGATCTCACAGGAACCGGTGGTACATTCATTTTAGCAGCAGAGATTAAGTGCTAGCCATGGGATATGTGGCAAGGCAAGAACATCATGAGAACATCTGGCTAGCACTATTTTAATGTTCAGTGTCTTTTTGTGTTTTAATTTGTACATATTTGTGAAAGCATGCAAAATGAATTATATTCCAATAAATCACTTTGCAAAAATGTGTATATAAGGCAAAATTGCATACAAAAACGTTTATATTAAGAGAAATTCACACTAAATTGTTGATGAATTTTAATGAGGACTTTTTTTTAATGCAAACTGATGTGGAAGTGTGGACAACTGAAGAGTAAAAAAAATGAGAACGTGAAAGAAACTGAAATTGCCACATTCTCCCATCCCTAGCTGATACTGACCAGTTTGAGCCCAATTTCTCCCCACCTGGTTTCACTTAAGATTAAAGTTTTAGAGAGTGGCTTCCTGGTATTTGAACTAAACCTTACATTTATTTCGCAGAAAATAAATGATTTGTTGCTTTATTATCATCATTCTCTACAGGGATGCATTTGTTTCTGTTCTCTTTATGACAACTCTTTCTGTATCACTCACCTATATTTTCAACATTTCATCATTGGTTCTTGTTGGTGCATGAGAAACAGTTCAAACATATGAGAAATACTGCACTGTCTTCCTTTCACAACAAAACAAGTGAAGCATTAGGGAATTCAGAGCATAATCCCATGGCTTCCTGTTTGCTTTGCAATGCATTTTGGAACTGTCATTACTAATAAAATATCTAGATTTTTATCCTGTGCTCACAGCAGCCTTGCTTAAACAGTTCCCCTTGACATAATTGTCAAACCTATCTTAGGCCTGTTTCTCACTGCGGACCAGAACTGTTTGGAAATGCTATTTTAAAAGGGTAACATATACTTTTGATTTGAAATGTAATAGAGCAGGGGTGAGGAATCTGTGCTTCACCAGATATTACTGGTCTAGGAACATAGGAAGGTACCTTATAATTAGTCAGACCATTGGTCCTTCTAGCTCAATATTGTTTACATTGACTGGCAGTGGTTTTCCAGAGCTTCACACAGCTCCTTTATCAGTCCTTCCTGGAGATGCCATGGATTGAAATTGGAACCTTCTGCATGCAAAACAGATGCTCTATCACTGCGCCACAGCCCTTCCCAATACAGCTCCCATCATCCCTGACCCTTGGCCATGCTGGTTGGCATTGATGGGATTTCAACACCATCTGGAAGGCAGCAGATCTTTCTATGAAGGACCATGGAAAAGGGACAAAAGGGGATATTTAAGGGTGGATTTAATCATTTTTGTAGTATTTACATAATGCTCTAGAGGCAGGGAACCTGTGAACTCTAGATGTTGCTTAAATGCAGCTACCATCACATTGAGCCATTGGCCGTGCTGGCTTGGGCTGTTGGGCTACAGTTCCCCACCCCAAAGTATGCAAAGTATATGTGTAGCTGGCAAGCAAAGTCCTGCTTGCTACTTTAATTGGAGTGTCCCTAACCCCAGCTCTAAAATTGGGGTTAAATCTGATGCACATTGCAAAGAGGTGGGTCTAGGAATAGGGCAGTTTATATCTCTGCTCTCCCTTGCTACAGGCAGGCTTACACACTTTGAAGGTACATGCAAATAAAAATCCATCTGGCATCCATTAGAGTGTGGTTTTGCACTGCATTTAACAAGGCATATCTTATGGCTTGTAGTCAGCAAATGCGGATTTAGGATGGAGTTTGGATACAAGGAATTACAAAAAAGGAAGCAATGATTGCCAAAGATAAAGGGATGGAAGATGCTTCCACCACCTTCACAGCCATGAGCAGGAAGTGCTTTGCATATGTTGAATTGCACTGCCTGATGATGGCTTTGTGCTTGTGGTAAACATTTCTGCATCCTCCCATGGCACCCCAAAAATTGCTTGAAAGTTGAGTGACTAATGGAAATACTATGAGATATGGAACAAATTGCTGCAGTTCACGAAGAGAGACTGATGAGAATCGAGTGTTTTTTCCTTGATGAATGGAAGCTCTCATACCTGGTGAGGCCTGTACTTTCCTACATGCAGATTTAATTTGAAGCCTTACCTCATTCCTGGCCACTGACTTTGCCTTGAGTCTTCACTGGTCCCACATGAGCAACACGAGCAAGCACACTAGACAGGAAGTACAAATGTTTCCCCACAGGTCATAGCATTGGCTAAAGAGAGTACACTTCCCAGAAGACCGTGTAGTGTGATGCACAACAGGGTTTGGGAACCTGAAGCCCTCCAGATGTTTTTGGATGACAACTCTCATCACCCCACCCAACATTACCAATGCTCAGGGATGATGGGAGCTGGCGTCCAGTAACATCTGTAGGGTACCTGTTTTCAGATCTATATGGTGTATGATGAAGGCAAATGAAAGATAGGGGAGCTCCTATGGTGTACAAAAGTCACACTATTTATTCAGCCCAATGAGTTTCAAATAAACCTTACTGGGAACACTGGGAAAATAAAGCAACACTATTCCCTATGTGTCCCTCACCAAAGCATAAAGGAAATTAGTCTTGCTATGTTTCCCAGGGCCTCTGATGATGATGATTACTCAAAATGATTTTGTTTGAATAAACAGTGTGTTTTTCCACAAACTGTCTACACAACAGAATACTACAGAACAGCATACAGCATACTATGGCGAGGCAGGAGATATGAAACTATCATAAACAGGTCCCGTTTCAACAATTACTCCCTGCTTCATAAACCATGCTTTATGGTTAAACCATATTTCATGAACTGAGGATCAGGGCTGAGTGCTCCTACCTCATTCATCCCCTCATTCTACAGGCAATCCTTGTTTTGTGCAGGGGGTGCATTCTAGACCCCATTTTTGGCGGGACCCGTGTAAAGCATTCTGCCCTTTCCTTGACCTAAAGAAAGCCCAAGCTCTCAACGAAATAAGTCAACTAACCACAAAACAATTGTGCAGAGAGAATACCAGCAAGGGCTTAGGAGTATCTGCATGAGATTTCTCAAATAACTGAAAGATGAAATTACTTCTCTTCTGTGTAACTTGTCCCTAAGAACAGTTTGTATACCTGAGGGCAGGAAAGCAGCCAATATAACACCAGATTTAGGAAAGGGATGCTGGACATTTCAGGCCAGTTAGCTCAACATCTGTCCTCGGAAAGTTTTGTTAAAGATAAAATAATCAAGCACATCAAAGAACAAACCTTGCTGAAGTAGAGTGAACATGAAGCAGTGATGACTACCTACATGGGTTTCAGACAGGGGACAATTCCAGCACGGCTTGAAGATGCCCGGACTGAACTTGAGACCTTCTCCATGTAAAGCAGTTGCTCTATCACTGAGCAATGGCCCTTCTCCAGTAGTGCCAAATTAAGGATGGTGTGAGCTGTACCTCCACACAGGACACTGAGCTGAGGGGGTGCAAAATAATGATAATAATACCTATATTAAGCAGGTAACTGGCGTGTGTGTGCATGCCAAATTTTGCCCCCTCTTATGGAGCCAAATGACCAAAGTCTGCCCCTCCCCCAAGCATGATGTTAAGAATAGCCATGTCCTTTTTTGCCTTCACTTTGAATTCTACTCTTTGAATCTGTTGACTGTATGTGTGGGAAAAAAATGTTAAAGATTATGAAAGAAGAAACCACAGGATTACATATAAAGTGTAATTCCATCAGACATTCATTGATGTAGGGAGCAGGGGAATAGGAAGCAAGGCATCACTTTATTTTATATTTCAGCATTTCATTTTACAGAGAAAGCCAAATAATTTAAGTACAGAGGGAAACATTCTAAGATTGAATGTAGAGTATTTTACTTTGTACTTAAATTCTGTACTTTATAGTATGGAACAATGCATGATTTCTTAAAAAGCCCAGGAAATGGATTTAAATACTGCATCATTGCTACACAACGTTGGAAACGGATGTTTCGGAGATGTTTTTAAAAGATCCACTCAACTGCCAAAGCACAAAGGCACCATTCAGTGGAACCTCGTCTCTCTCTTTCTCTGTTCATATCTGAATAATTAGAAGGGAGACTAGTTTTCCTACCTTGTTTTTAACCATTGCTGAGCATTCAGAAATAGCGTTCATTCTTGTGGCACTAACTTGAACTGAGCGGTCTTCTAGCCAGAGAACAAAATGGTTGTTTGAAGGTTCAAGATCACTGAAGATCCTTTAATTTGTGGGGGAACTAAAATGCTATGTAGTTTAAGCCAGCTTAACATTTGAAGCTTAAAAATATAGAGTCTTCAAGAAAGCTATGTCATTATGCTGAATGCATCCACACACCCCTTTCATAGCAAAACTGAAGCCAGGCAGCTTGAAAGCATTCATCATTTAAAGTTTGTCAGGATTTTTGTTTTGTTTCTGCTCATCTTTTAGTCTTATTTTTAGCCCAAGTCCACTCCTCATCCTACAACACAAGTTGTTCAACACTTGTTACTTCATCTGACTATCTATCAATCATTTGGATCCTAAATTAACTTAAGGGATTTTTACTAGTTCTGTGACTTGTGTAATAAAATGTGTTGTTGTAACCAAAGGAAGTTAATGAAACATTTCCCCTCCTCTCCCCTGAAATGCCCTGAAAAGGCACTCTGGAGAGTATGGAACTCCCCTTGAACAATGTGGGGTGGAGTTCAGGAGGCTGTTAGGGCAGTGGGAATTACAATGTGTATCTGAAGAAGTGTGCATGCACATGAAAGCTTATACCAGAAAAACTTAGATGGTCTATAAGGTGCTACTGGACATTTTTTATTTTTATTTTTAGTTTTAATGAGAATAAGAATCATCATTGGCAAGGTAGAAACCCACTTTGAGTTTCTGTTTTGGATCTTATGGTACCTCTTCTTGGGCCTCATACTCAAACTGCCATTTCTTTCTCCTTTTTCTAACTTGTTCTATCTTGAAGTTTGATGGTTTTTCTAGCTACTTTGCAGTCTCAGTAGCATCTATCAAAACTTGTTGAAAGTCCCATCACACCTGCTGCCCACAAGGTAATTTTTGGTCACTTGCAGTTGGTTTGTAGCTGAATTTAAATCAGCTTCCCTATTTTGTAGTAGCTTGCTTGTAAAATTAACTTCAAAAAAGGATGTTGCACCATGTAAAAAGAGATACCACAAATTTGAATTTACAAATTGCATCAGCAAGGGCTTCAGCTTCAATTTGGGAAGTATTTCCAGATAAACTTTTAAGGCACGTGTCATCAAAGATCTCTATTAAAGCATCATATATTTCTCAGTGGTTTCAAAGCATCGATCCAACTTTCCATCTTGTTTTGCTCAGTGGGTTAACGGTTATACCTAAGTCTGATACATGGCTAGTTAGAATTTGCTAATGCCAAGTCAATGCAGAGAAATAATTACCGTATAAATCTGTTGAACCAAACTGAAGAAACCAGTTGCTTCTAGGCAACACGTAGTGGCATTATTGACTACTAAATTTAAAGAGTGTGCATTTCAGGGCAAAAAGAAAAGAAAAGATGTGTGTTTATGTCCAGGATTCTCTTTTATACTTAATTTTCTTTGCCTTTCATGTTATCATAACCTTGACCACACAGATATTCAATTCATAATCCCATTTGTTCAAGAGTTTCCATCATAAAGGCACTTGTAGCCTCCTTTAGTGGAACAAATCCCAATAAATGTTCTCAGGTTCAGACATCTCATTATCTGATAGTTTGATTACATCAACATAACATTCATTTGCTCAATATGACTAACATCAGGTATGCAGTCTGGAATAATTCAGTAGTATTTGGCTGAGTTTGCATGCGCTAAATTTTTCTGCTTTAGTATCTGCTGGAAGCTGTATAAGGTCACCCGGCACCCAGCTGATATCTGCCTTGCTTTGCCTCTGCACAGAACATTCTCCTCCCTGTGGTCATGGCTGACCATTTACTTTCCGCCTTCTTCTTGGCTCTGTCCACACAGCCAACCAGAGAGAGTGATGGATGCTGAAGAGAGAACCAATAAACAATGAGCAGCAGCAGCAAGGGGTGGGGGCTGAGCAGTTACCCCTCTGCAGTGGTATGGGTCATGACATGCATTCAACATCCAATGCTGCAGTGATCAAGTGTTGTCTGTGGAAGTGATACTTTGGCATGTTTGAATGCGCCAAGAGATATAAGATGCTACAGGTGAAACTTCAATATCAGCTCAGATTATGTCAGATGCAATCCTTTTCAACTGCGTCACTTTGCACGTTCAGCTGTGAGTCATCGAGTAATGAGTAATGAAGTGATATCTATATCTATATCAGAGTGTGAACCACTTCTAGCAGATGCATCATTAAAAAGCTTAATGTTTTCTGTCTGGAGGCTGGGCTCAAAACCACGGCCACCACCAGATTTTTATTCTCTCTAACCAGATGCAATGCAAACCACCATGACATAATAGCGATACAGCTATTGTTCAATTACATTTGAAGTTTTCCAGCATAAAATCTAAAAGAAAGAAGAGGGGAAATGCAAGTTGTACTATGTAAATCAAGGATAGCACACTGTGATCAGCTGCCAACCTGTTCCCTGCTGTCATCAGCACTGGCACGTCAGCAATAACAATCACACTAGACTGTGTTATGAAACCTATGGCTGAACCTATCTCTGGCCTTCTGGGTGCACAGATCTCATGGCTTGATAGTATATCAGCAATCTATTTTTTTTGTAGTTGGCATGGGGCAAAGACTAGGTCATGTTTTCAAGTTGTTGAAGTGGCAGCCTGATGTTCTGTGCATGCTTCCTAAACCTTTTAAAAATTATTTTAAAAATATTGTAAGATACCATGTTACAACACACACACACACACACACACACACACACATTCTCTCTCTCTCTCTCTCTCTCTCTCTCTCTCTCTCTCAACTTTTCCAGTTTGTTTAAACATTCAGGTATTATGCAGATTTATTTTGATGATTCAAATATAATTTCTACTTATGTTTAGTCTCAGTTGGGCCTTTTTTGGGTACATCATTGCCATACATAAGAAGACAATGGCTTCTAATGAGAGATTGGAACTAGTGATGTTGCTGAGCCTCACCATTATTACCTGGTTTGTTATATGAATTGGTCCAGCTGTCCAGTGAGCAGATATATTACAATAGAATAGACTGTGTGGTGGAGGCACTTAGCCAACATCCAGGCAAGTGAATTGCTGCTGGTTGTTGAGGAAGAGACAGGCAAGGTGCAGGAAGGGTGGTGCAGTACTGATAAACCAGAGGGAGTGTCGGATTGACTGTACTAGTTTCAAGGGCGCCAACCTAAATAAAATATTGGGTGGGGGCAAGTAAGCCCCACCCTGCATAATCAATCACGTGATGTGGTGCACACACACCATTTGAATGACAATGCCCATCAACTTTGCATGGGCCTGACCCCCTCAAATATTTTATGGGGGGGATGAAGGTACCTCGGCCCCTCGCCGTTGGCTCCTATGAGTGGTTTGATTGTGCCACAGTGCCCTCTCCTTCCCCTCCTGGTAAACAGTAATGACTCATCACACCATCCGCGACTAGTTATGGAATTATGGTAAGATTAATATATTATACTAGAATAAGGGAAGGAAGACAGGGCTAGAACAGATTTATGTACAGACAGAAATACGACACATCTCACTCTAATGAGGACGACTTTGACCAAAGGATCTGAATACCTGCTCAGTCTGCTGTTGATGGCCAAATTTAAGGCCCCTGGTCTCTGTCCTTAGGGTACTTTGTCTATAAATGGACCTTGGACTGAACAGCCCTACAAACAGAAGAAAGACTTCTGACAGCACTTCAAACAGAGAACTGTCCTCTGCGAAGGGGACAACCAATCAAACAATACGAACAATTTGAGTGTTTCACTGTTTTCAGTTAAAGTCATAGGCCTCAGTCATAGCTTCAGTTCACAGCTGATGAAATACTTTAAAATATGGCAATGTGAAAAGATGTAATGAACTTACAAGCCAACTTATGACTTTTTCAAGTCATAAACCTTACCCATTTTCTCCCACAATGTTGTGCAAAGGGAAGTTTACCCCTCACAACTTTGAACTGGACTGCGGGGTTTAATTGGCTTAATCAACTGATTAATCAACTAAAGCTTTGATTAATCAATGGGGAACAAATTTAATCAGGGAGGAATAGTTAAATTGGCAAGGCTCCAATTAAGGATACATTCCTGTTTGTTTGTTTTTTGATGTAGTTTTGGCATGTTACAGTAATAGGGAAAAAACCAAAACCAAAATATGAATAACAACATGTTGCTAAAATTATTCATTAAATTATTCTTACATTCTTTTCAGTATCTCAAAAAGGAACCCATTTCCAGCCTTCTGTAATATGCAGATTTATAATAAGGGATGGTGATCAATCATCTGAGCATTCTTTAATCAGCGGACAGTCCTAATAAGTTCCTTACACATCATTGGAATTCTCAGCCCACCAATGTGATGTCTGCAATGCAGTGCACATCACAAGCAGGTTCTTGAAAGGGAAACACAGACAATTCAAATCATATGGTTCAAATCATTTATGAAATGAATCCTCTAGGAATAATTTCAGATGTTGGAAACCTTTAGAATAGCAAAATAAAGAACAGATTTACTATGTTTTTCTGCCTCTCTCTTTCTCTCTCTCTGTAAAATCAGTTAGCAGATGCCCTGTTTCTCATGCAGAATACCAGAAGACTATGAGGTTCCCTTCCCCCCTTTTGCCCAGAACTTCGTATGAATGGTGTCATTTCTTAATAAATGATGACATAAATCTTAAGGATTAAAATATCAGTTCTGTCCCCTGTAGGGATCTGCTTCTCCATGCCCTAGTGTGGCTTGCCAGTTTGAAGATTACCAGCACACTGAGCAAAGCAAGCAAATGAATTAAGCCCTTGCCAAAGATGAACTTCTTTTGTATTTTCATTGACAGCAAAGGTTTTACTCCAAAGAAGATGTTAGATGAGGCTGGGCAGGCTTAGTTAATTTTTTTTGAAAAGAGGAAGGAACAAATAGCTCCTGGTGAAGTCTCTTTTCTTATTTTCATAGTGTAATAAACTGCAGCCACAGCTGCATGGGGTTTGAGGAGGCCCCTGAGCAAAGTGTCCTCTGCTGGGCCTCCTGCTCTGTCATTGGCTTTTCATAGGGGCTGCTATGACAGTGATCCAGGGAGCATCAAGCAGCCCTTTACATTTACAAGTATGCCCCAGGGGGACACAAGGTCAGGAGGCTAGAACTCTCATAATGCTAGAACTTAAGGCCATCCAATGAAGCTGAATGTTGGTAGAATCAGACTGAAAGAATGTCCTTCTTTACACAGCACATTCATGAAATGATGAGATTTTCTCCCTGAAGAGGTAGTGATGGCCACCACTTTGTATGGCTTTAAAAGCGTATTAGACAAATTCATGGAAGGTAGGAATATCAGTGGCTATTTGCCATGATGGTTATGTTCTGCTTCCACTAAGAGACAAGATAATAATAGTTATTTATTATTTATACCCTGCCCATCTGGCTGGTTTCCCCAGCCACTCTGGGCGGCTCACAGCGTATATCAGAACATACTAAAACATCAAATATTTAAAACTGCCTAATACAGGGCTGCCATCAGATGTCTTCTAGAAGTCAGATAGCTGCTTATTTCCTTGGCATCTGAAGGGAGGGGGTTCCACAGGGAGGGCGCCACTACCGAGATGACTCTCTGCCTGGTTCCCTGTAATTTTGCTTCTCACAGTGAGGGAACCAGCAGAAGACCCTTGGAGGAGGACCTCAGTGTCCAGGCTGAACGATGGGGAAGGAGATGCTCCTTCAGGTATACTGGGCTGAGGCCTTTTAGGGCTTTAAAGGTCTGCTCAGAAATGCACTGTGAGCCAATGAAGATCCTTTAGGATCAGTGTTATATGGTTCTGGAGGCCACTCCCAGTCATCAGTCTAGCTGCCACATTCTGGTTTAGTTGTGGTTTCTGGGTAACCTTCAAAGGTAGCCCCACGTAGAGCGCATTGCGGTACTCCAAGCAGGCGATAACCAGAGCATGCACTACTCTGGTGAGACAGCCTGCAGGCAGGTAGGTACTATGATACTTCTTGGTGTGCCAGACCAATAAATAAATAGATACATGGAAAGGGTGGGGGAGGCATCAGCAGTAGAAACTACTGGGCCATTGGAGCCCTTGCAGTTGCTCAAGGATACCAGGTGCTGATCGCAGCAATCATATCATGGCTCAGTGAAGTAATTTTTTTTAAAAAAACCCTTCTGGGTGACAGTGAAGGTCTATCCAGTCCAGCATCCTGTTTTGCACAGTGGTCAGTGGGATACTTTATGGAAACCTGCAGGCCAGCTGTGAAATTGTTGGCCAACTACAAGTGCATGATTTTCATATAAACATATAAAACTGCCTTCCACCAAGTTTAGACAGCACTGGTTCACCTAGGCCAGTATTTTGTTTTTTGTTTTTTAAACTGGCAGCAGCTCTCTGGGACTTTGGGCAAGTTAAAACAGCAACAACAAAAACTCCCGCTGCTTCATTTCCTTTAGCTGAAGATGCCTGGGACCATGTTCTTTCTCTCTGATCTGTGGTGCTGTGAATCTTTTCCAAACTAAGAATATGCTCATATTAAAACTTAATCTGCATTCAGTGTGCTCCCACTGCTAGATGTTGAAGCCACAGTCACGCATTAGCCACAATCCATATCAGTCCTGCAGTTTCTTGACAAATGTTTGATGCATTTTTTTTTCTCAAACCAGTTTCAATCTGACTAGAAAACTGGATGCAGAGTAGGCAGTAGTAGGGACATTTGAGAAAGCCATTGCACATGCAGAGATCCTTGTGCACACACAGATAACAGCTTCATGGAAATGAGTTCCATGGGAGTGGGGAAACCAATAATGTACCTTGGAGGAAGACATCTCTGCCCCTTCTCAGATGTGAACACTGTACAAATGAGGCTTGAAATGCAGATTGGGGATGGGGGATGACCTTGCTGTCTTTTAAGCTGCTAATGTGAAGATATCCTAATTTTCAACTAACAACATGAGATACAATCCATGTAGTAAGAAGGATAATAACCCAGGGTATCCTATTTGTGTGGAAACATTTTAGGTCACCTCTAGGCTGTCAGTACTTTGTGAAAGGGATTCAAGTGCATACTGGAAATTGAGGTTTATGCAATGAAAGTGGATTAAAGAGCTCAGTCACAACAGTGCAACAAATCCACTTAAAAACAACAACAACCTGCATTTTTGCAGTTAGGAAAGTCACAGAGTAATACATTGCAAAATGTGGGATGATCACTGATTAATGGGAAAACTTATAAACACTCCACAAGCAAATTAGAGTGTGTGCTCATTGTTGTATAATCTCCCCGCAAACAAATCAGGACAAATGTGCAATAAAGATCAGACATAGTCTAATCCCCACATCAAGTAAATCAGGATGAATGCTCAATGAACAGGCCATCTGAAGGAGTTCTTAGGATGTCATCATATACCCAGTAACCCAGGAGGAATTTAGGGTGGCCGCATATGTATAGTCAAAAAAGTGTTACTACGTTACCAAAAGGTCAGAAGAGGACACATATCTGCATGCTATTGTATTTCTACCACGGCATTTGACCTCATAGTATTTATCTGTGAAAAAAATCTATATACTGCTTTTAAATGTAAAATGGTCAGGGCAGCTCACAAGATACCATTAGAATACCATTACAACATGGTACCTTGCTTCTGAGTACACAGTCTTTGAGTAACCAAACTTATTTGCACATCTGGTTTTGATGAATCTGTTACACATATACTACAGAAGCTGACAAGTGGTTAACAAGGTTTGCAGCAGCACAGACCTCAAAGTCCATGTTGGCCCTTTAAACTAGAGCTGGATATATTAAGAACAATAATAAGGGAATGGGTTGTTTTTTGCATTTTCATTCCTAATTCAGGGGTGTGTGAAGGAGAGTGCACAACTTTGTGAGTCACAAAGCTTTGCCACCTTTCTGACTTGTGCACAGTTCTGTCAATATTTTAAGTACTTTAATACATAAGAAGTGAGACGTCAATAGGACTAGCAGATATTTACAAAGATATTTGTAAATGTTCACATGCCTAGCTGCCTGCAATTCCTTAAGAGACATGGCTGAATCTATCAATTTTGGTTTCTCTCAGTTTCCCAAATTTGCAGTCTTAAATTTGATCCTCCATATTTCCACATCAGTTTGTGTGTTTTTAATTGTGAAAACAGTAACACTTTCTCCCAAAGAATTCTGTGAGCTGTGGCTTTTAAGGGTGTTGAGGGTTGTTAGGAAACCCCCTATTTCCCGCCCAATTCTTAGAGTGGTTTACTAATTAACCCATCATCACAGGGAACTCTGGAAATGGTAGCTCTGGGAGGTGGATAGGGATCTTAGCACACTTAACAAACCATGGTTCCCAGAATCCTTTGGGGGGAAGCCATGATTGTTTAAGGATCTATCATAGTGCTTTCAATGTGTGGTGTGAATGTGACCATAGTGTGCTCAAATCTCATACAAGGCAACGGAGAAGGTTGGTGACCTGCTCTTAAGATTCCTTGTGGCTGCATTTGAGAAACTCTTTGCCTAGTGAACCTAAGTATAACCTTATCTTTTCTTTATATTTATCTCTTTAGTCAGGTTTGATAAGGACACGGGAGAATGACTTCCTTATATCTCCATTACCTCAACACCTAGCACAGGAACACCACTATACGCCACCTGCCGGACACCACCCTCATGTATTGTACAAACGGACTGCTGAAGAGAAGGTGCACAAAGTAGATTCCAATCCCCATCACTTCCCCCCTGGCCATCACAGAAATCACACTGCCCACAAGTCTCACATCCAAGCTCACGGTTACCACCACGGAAGGTTTCAAAAGCAGCATTTTTGTGGACGTCGCAAGAAATGTATGTAAGGAAACTTTCTATCTCTTTTCTTGACGTAGTAGTTCTTAGATTATTAGGTGTTTGTTTTTTGCAGTGGTCTGCAGGCATTGCTTTGGTGATTGCTGCATTTTTTTTAAAAAATGTCCAAATAAAAGAGAATGAGCAGTGCCTCCCCCAATCTGCACTATACATTTAAAGCCTTATCGTACCATTGTAAACAGTCCCTCCACCCAAGAATCCTGTGTACTGTAGTCTGAAGTGTGTTAAGGGTGCTGAGTGTTGTTAGGAGACCACCATTTCCCTTCCCAGAACTACAGTTTCTAGAGTTCCTGGGGAAGAGGAATTGTTAAATTACATGTAGAATTGGAGTGGAATTGTGGCTGGTCTGATGGGAATTACAGTCCAAAACATCTGGAAGGCACCAGGCTGGCAAAGACTGGCCTGCATACATAGCTTCCCAAATCCATAACTCTGGATAAACAGAGGCTCTGGGCATGTTGGCCTTAAGCATCTAGAGTTCAAGGGGCAAGAGGCAACCACAAATTCATTTCTCCTAGATTAATCCATGATTAGGACTGCTTTGGATAGCTTGTTTGCTTGCTTATCCTCATTATGAACACCAAACCTGGATGTATTTGGCAATCTTATTAGGAAAGCAAACCTGAGTTACAATGGGAATTGATTGCTGCAGCTTCGTCTGAGATTCCTTGTTTTTTCTGGATGTTAGTGTTCCCCATTAGAGACCTAGCTATTTATTTGTGTGCTTTTCATTTGCTTCAATTTGAAAGATGACTTTGTTGTAGTTTTTAAAAAGACTGTTTAGTTAAACCCACACTTGTAATAGATCAGCTTTAAAAAATAATAATGGGGAAAAGAAAACTTTAGCATTTACGGCATATGTGTAACATTTGCCCCTTTTAACTTTCTTTAATAATTGCACTCAACATGCAGCTTGTATAGAATCAGCATTAGTCAGCATTCTTTTCAAGCCACTTATCCCAAGATACATAATTACAGAGCAAGGCATGCCAAGTGGATCGTGTTTAGCAAGTCACGCTTTAGTAAAATTCTTCCTCCATTTTTTTGGTAACCCTTTTCTTCTTAATAGTAACAGCAAAGACAAGACTAATCTCAAGACAAGGTGGCCTGAGAAACTACTGTCTGCATGCACTAAACATATATATTATGTGAAGACCATATAATCTCATATTCCCAGCTAAACAAATGAAGTCATGTGCTTTGTGGCTTGACTTCAAAAGGCAAGGGGACGGAAGTTTACTCACACAACTGATCTTTCCCCATGTTCTTCCTGCTGTTGCTCCCTTAGCCCCAACCCCACCCCCCAAAGCCTCTGTGCAGGATTAGGGGAGGCAGTGGCAGCCTGAGGACCAGGCTATGGATCCCAGGACTGGGGTGCCTAAACAGCAGTGCTGCATCAATACCAGTCTTTTATCTTTCCTATCTTTCTAGATAGTCATGCTTGTTATGTTCATTTTTCAGAGTACTCTGTCTTTGGACCTTGTGATTTCCTCTGCCACTCTCACCACCTAGAAAGAGGAAGGGAACAAATGGATCCATTTGGGGGGGGGTGAGGAGAGAAAAGCACACCCATTTGTTCCTTTCCAGTCACTTGATGAGTGAAGGAGGGGAAAAAAGGAGACTGAGTTTGGTGTTTATGCACAGGCAGGTGCACTGGATTGGTCTGGTGCAGTTGTACTGCACTAACCTCCTCACTGCCTCACCCCTTTCCCTGCAGTAAACAGTAGTGACCCACATGCCAGAAAGATAGTGTAATTGCTTCACGCCACCCAGCAACCTGCTTCTGGCTGGAGCCCAGTTCTCAAATAAAGTATGACAAGATGAGGTGGGGGGGAGTATGACAAGATAGGGGAGTCATCATTAAATCTACAGACCACCCCCTGACTACTTAACTTAGCTAAACCTTGCTTCCCCAAGTCAACTTCCAAAATAGCAGCTAGCGGGGTAGTCAAATATGGTGAATGTCATCTTTGCCTCTCCAACCCTTTCCTGCTGCAGCTGCAGAACAGTAGCTTGTTGGCACAGCCAAAAGATTTGGCCAGCTAGCTACATTTGGAAAGAATTTTGACACAGTTGTGGCCGGTTTCCAAGGGGGAAGCCTATTTATATGGAGGCCGCAGTTGGTAGTGGGTTGCCACTGGTGGATGAGTTCCAAAGGGAAAATTCTGAAGGAGAGTAAGTTTCTTCCTTGAAATATGGCAAGAGTGAGGGACCTCTGGCATGGACTATTGCTTGTGGATGTGTTTGTTCCTAGGTGAAAGGCTGAAGCAGCCTCTCTCCCCTCCCCCCCTCTCTCTGTGATTGTCTCTCTCTGTGTTAGCCTGGTTTCCAAATGAAAAGTGACATGATTAATTGGCTGTACTCTTTACTGTACTTTTCTTTTGTATTAATATGTTGTTCACTGCACTGGAGGCCTTTGGACCAAAAAGTGGGATATAAATAAACCATAACATACCTTATGGTAGAGCTTTTCTCCCCAATGTGTCCATTTTCTCTATGCAGGTATTTTACATATTTGTGAGCACCGAAACATGTGGTTCCTACTTGCAGTTTGAATAGATAAGTATAGTCAAGCAAAAGCTTCGTCTGGTACTACTGCTGATCTCTACAGTACCTGATTTGACCAGTCTTGTAACCCACTTCTTTGTCTAGCACAGAATAGCTTGAGAATGCTCAAATGGCCCAAACATTCTCTTGCCACAGTTTTTTTTGCAGTAGAATACCATATGCATGATCAAGTGAATGAAAAGCACATTTTGTAGGGTTGTGCACTGGATTCAGCTGACGCAGAATGCCAAAATCAAATTGGGCCTATTTGGGTCAATCTGGGCTTTGGTCAAATTGGATTGATATAACCCTTGATTGCTTCAGGTTGGGTCAGCTCACTTGGAACTATCCAGAGCTGTCAAAAGGTGGGGCTGTCAGGCAAAACAGATGGGAAGAGTAGCTGAAGCCCATTTGTATAAGCTGTATGTACATTACCATAATTGCTCCTTTGTATCACTGTAGTACATGGAAGTTTCTACTCTAATCAAGACTAGTTCTATTCAGCAAGGCTCTGCACAGATACAGTAAAGAGACATGGTAAAGAGCTTATAGATACATCGAATTCCAGGGTTTGAAGGAAGCAAAACCAAAGTTCATTAAGGGTGGCCATCTGCTTTAAGGCATGGTCCTAGTCACACAGATCTCCCCACACAGTTCAGGGTGCTACAAGCAGAGATCAGGAACCATTTGACTTCTGAACGGATTGTATCAGATGACTCAAGCAACAGAGAAAAGTTATACAGAAGGGAAATAATAAGCAGCTAAAGCAGCTAAATGATGGGATGTCTGGATTTATAAAATAAAGTAGTATGATAGACACACATTTCTTAACTTAGGTGTAACAATAGTTATCTACCTGTCCCTATAATAAAACATTGGGCACAGAAATACTTTATCTGGTGAGAGAAGCTATGAAAAGTTCAAGGTGTTGAGTAAAAGGCTTTGGGTTGCATCCAGCTAAGTTCTACTCAGACTTGACCCACCGAAATTAATGAGCCTTAGTCATGTTCATTAATTTCAATGGGTCAACTTTGAGTTGAACTAACATTGGATACAATTCAATGTTTCCCCTGCTGTAGATACAAATCCCATGGTTGGCTCTGAGTCATTTCACAAATTATGCAGAGGCAAGGGAGCTGCAGCCAATCAGGATTCCTAGTAAGTGCATTTGCACAGTAGCTGTCCAAGCAGACATGTACAGGCATTCATACTTAACATTTTTAGGTGTGCTGTTAAAATAAATAATGTCTACCAAGGGATAGAGGAGAAATTCATTTCATTTCACATTGAAAGTTGAATCTAATTTGTAGTTTCAAAAACAGTATATGAACTACATAGCCACTTGTCAAAATTCACACTTCTCCAAATTTTGCAATACCGTAGGCCAGCCAAGCAGTGTGTACAAAAATGCATATACTAAGGTAAAGTGTGCATAAAATGTCTGTATTAATAACAACAACATGCAAAATGCATAATATGAGGGGAAACTGTTTTGTAAAAATGTGTATATTAGGGAAAATTGCACACAAGAGTGTTTATATTAATTTGTACTGCAACGCTGACACATTTTCATGAGGATTTTAAAAATAATCAAACAGATCAGAAACAGATGTGAAAATGTGCAGGACTGAATTTAAGATTGGAAAAAAATGAGAAAGTAGGAGAAAATAAAATTGACTGATTCACCCATCCTCAGATGTATCCTTGACATGTCATGAGTAAAGAGACCTGAGTGTAGGCTTCTGCAGCCCTTCAAAATCTCATGTGCCTAGAAGTGCAAGTACTGTATGATAAAGACACAGAATCATAGAATCATAGAGTTGGAAGGGATCACAGGGTCATCTAGTCCAACCCCCTGCTATGCAGGAAACTTGAACCCACAACCGTGAGATTAAGAGTCTCATGCTTTACCAGCTAAGCTAGCCAGTTCATCCACAAGCACATACAATTCATTATAGAAAGAATGGCTCATTGGTCATCACACCTTCAACTCTCTTAAAAATGCATGGTTTCAACCCTCATTTAGAATCCTTTATTTGATGGAGGGGTTGAAACTTTGTCTGTTAGGATAAATTAGCATGAACTATACACATCTGTTTTCATTTGGTCCAGAAGGCATTGTGCTTATGGTCAGCAGGTTTCCTGCAACTTTATTCCAAAGCAGTAACCATAATATTGCTTGCTGTTGCAACAATCCTAGCACAGTTTGCTTTGTGCATGTGCTCTTGGGGCTGCTGCTGCTCTGAAGATTGGTGTACAATGCAGCCTGGGGTGTGTGGAATCATCAGTGGGCCACACACACAGTATAGCTTTTTGAATTGTTCCCTAGATATACAGGAGAATGTGTGCGCGCACACGCACATGCCCCATAAGGAGATAACAAATAATTAGGTAGAAATTAGAAATGTTTCCCATATAAGCATGTGAAACTCATTCTTTTCGAGATAGATTTTTTTCCTCTCTGTGACATGTTGTATTAAGTGTCTTTAAAAAGAAAATTAACAAAGACGGACAAATCAGGACTTATTAATGTATTGAAAAGGACTCCCCAGCTAACAACCCATTTTAATCAGCATTTGGCATCTATCACAATATCCTAGATTCATTCAGGGTTCTAGTCCCTCAACACTTTAGGACTGAGCTAAACTGGTCATAAAGAAAGAAAAGTCAGTTCTGAGCAATTTCCAAATCTCTGCTCTGTTTCCTTTTAGACACACCTAAACCACCCACAGAGGACACATTCATCCTGTCTGATGAATATCGGAGCTTGGCAAGGCTGAAAAGATCCCCCATTAAAAGTCAGATGAGTGGAAGTTTGAATGTTGAAACTCTAGTTGTGGCAGACAGGAAAATGCTGGAGAAGCACAGCAAGGAGAATGTGACTACGTACATCTTGACAGTCATGAACATGGTAAGAAAGGGTAGTGCAGCTGATGAATCCTTTTTTACAGTACAAGAAGCCCTCAACTTGCACTTACTTTAGTTAGGCAGGTGGGGAAGTAAAATTAATAAATGGAGAGACAGGGAAACCTACTGCTCTCTGCTCTCCATTTCTTTATCCCCCCCCCCATCTGCGCACTCAGTGTGTTTTTCTCGTTTACTGGGAAGGGAGCTAGGAGGGTTCTGACAGCACCCCGGAACCCTTGCAACACCTTCTCAAAGCCTGGTAAGCTTGACAGCGCCTTCCTTACCAGCCTCTGCCACCTCACTTACTGGAACCACTTACCACAATGTACATTTTGAGATGAGCTTCCTAGAAAATTGTCATTAGCTGGCAATGCTACAAGCATCTACTCAAGCTCCTTACATACTGGGGCCAGTGTTAGGGGCTGGCATGTTTGCGTGTCTATTGAGCACCCACACCTTGGTACCAAGAGTCTCCTTGACCTGCTCATTCCCTTCATTGTTGCAACTTGCTTAAGCACTCTGGCCCCAACAGTGGTGGTGCTGATGATGATAAGGAAGAACAGTAGATGCTGCTGCCTGCAGTAGGCACTATTCCAATAACCTGTCCTGCTAATGCAAGATTTCAGCAAGATTTCAGCAAGAGCAGTGGGATTTTTCACCCTCTGTGCACCCTGCACCACCCCCAGATTTGCTTCATGTCATGAAGCCTATGAACACAGGGGTGGTCAGACGACAAGGTAGAGATTGGGGATTTGGAGGTGCCCAGCTTGGAAGAAGGTGCTGGAGGATTGGAGTATAGTAATCAAGAACCTGGAGAAGAATCTGACCTCAGGGAGGGCCAAAGTGGGGACCTGGACTGGGAGAAAGGGCCAAGCAGGTAGTCAGAAGAGCAACCCACCTTAATAATAATAATAATAATAATAATAATAATACCCCACCCATCTGGCTGGGTTTCCACAGACACTCTGGGCCACTTATAGTACATAAAAAACAGTAAAACATTAGACATTAAAAATTTTCTGATACAGGGTTGCCTTCAGATGTCTTCTAAAAGTCAGATAGTTGTTTATTTCCTTCACATCTGATGGGAGGGTGTTCCACAGGACAGTTGCCACTACTGAGAAGGCTCTCTGCCTGGTTCCCTGTAACTTTGCTTATTGCAGTGAGGGAACCAGCAGAAGACCCTTGGAGGAGGACCTCTGTCCAGGCTGAAGGATAGGGGAGGAGATGCTCCAGTTATACTGGGCTAAGGCCTTTTAGTTGTTTAGTTGTTTATTTCCTTGACATCTGATGGGAGGGCGTTCCACAGTGCAGCTGCCACTACCGAGAAGGCCCTGTAACTTCACTTTTCACAATGAGGGAACTGCTAGAAGGCCTTCGGAGCTGAACCAAAGTAATCAGATACCCTGAACACAATATCACTGCTGTTGGAGAGGGCCTTGGTGCCTCCCATTAGTGGGAAGGGACCATCCCTCTCAAGGGAGGCACCTAAGGATAGTTTTGATGGTGAGGTGCCCCAGTTGTCTCAGTGCCCCAGTTCACAAGGTCTCTGGCTTGAAGAGACCTTGTGAACTTTGTCTACTTGCAGGTATGGCTGCTTGCTTGTCCAGTCCCAGGTCTGGGGGAAATGACCACACAAATAACTGTGTCTCCCTGCTCTTAAAAGGGGGAGCTCAGGGTGTGTGTCAAGTGTTGGAACAATTTCTTTGTTTTTGCCTTGCCGTGTATTGTAGAGTCCTACCATGCCTTAGGAATCTGTAACCTTCAGTTCAACCTTTGTTGGGACCCTGTCCTATTTTTTGGAATAAAGTTTACACCCAAGCTGAGAGTCTGAGTTTTGAGTTGGCAGTTTAGGGGCTGTGTGGTGTTAGAGGGAGAGAACATTCTGTTGTGCAAGGAGAATTCCTTGCGCTGACAGAATGTTCGTCTTAGTGCTATGTTGAATACAACCCAATTATTCTAATTTTAATTGTAAACCAGTTTGGACAAGTATTTTTGTGTTGGAAACGTGTGCACGCATGTTATCTTTTTTCTTTTTTTAAAAAAAAACCCAACATAAATGTGCACAAGTGAATAGATACAGTTGTGGGGGAGGGGCAATAATGGAGGGTGGCAGCAAGAAGGAGGGCGTTGAAACAAGGTAAACTTTCAGCAAATGGAGTATTCCCTCACCACCCTGCCAGTATTTTTTTGGTTTGGCTGTGCTGACTATATGACTTCCAGAGCACAGATGGAAATGAGAGAATCCTTGGCAGAGCTTTGGTTCAAAGCTGCCTGATGGTCTTGTGTAGCAAAGATAGAATGAAATATATGTATGGAGATGTGCTTTTCTTTCTTAAATCATTTCCTTTTTCACAGCAGTGCTTGGCCTGGTCCACGTATGGCTTTTGTACTTGCAAGAAGCTGTGTCATTTTAAATTAAAGAACACAATGGACTCAAACCCAAGGCCTTGTTTGAGTGATTAAGCCTTGCTCCAGTGTGAGGAAGGAAAGAAGGTTATGAACTTGCTCCTTCCTTCCCCTTCTGACCTCTCCCCTTGCTTATGCTAGCAAGAGCATTGCTCAGAAGTCTGAATGCCTCCTTCTTTGGAAATCAGTCCAGTCACCCTTCATTAATGAGGGACAGGGTACAGATGGTTGGATCTGAAGCTAAGGGCAGAGGGGAAGGATGTGAAGGAATACCACACTTGCTTTTTGTACTAGCTCATAGTTTGTTTCCAGGCACAATTCTTGCCCTATGAAGTTCTAACCAGGGTCACAACAGTACTTTTTCACCTGCACTTGCTTCTAATTCATTTCCAGACCTAATTCAAGGTTCTGGTGTTGACCTTTAAAGCCCTGACACCTGGGTATGGAATAGAACAGCTTCTCCCATAAGTAACTACCCAGTGGTGTTTAACTGCACCTTGTGATGTCATTAAATTGACACAATATGCTTAATGTTAATTTTCACTTCAAATGATGGGTTATGAAGCTGGCTTGTTTTGCCAAACCATAGTTAGCTGTGGTCACTGTTTAGGGGTTGAATGCAACACTAAAGTGTGGTTAACAGAAAACAGAAGTGAAAGCTTCCTTTTGCCTCCTTATGTGGCTGTGCCAGAAGAGGGGGAAAAGAGGGGGGCACATGACCTTGGGGCTTGCTGTGGCTCATTCAATGTTCAGATGTGACCATTGGTAAGCAACTGGGCTGTGAACCTGGAAGAACCCCAGTTCAAATTTTGGCACTGAATCATCAGGCTATTGTATTGAAGACATTGGGCTGTCACTGCCATTAATGTTTGTCTGCAAAAATGTTTAAGACTGATGATCCAATTAATTTCATGTTGTGAATTGCATAGAAATATTTCCTGAAGGATCATGTCTTTGTAAATTAATATGTCACCCAGCACATCTGCATTTAATATAGTACTTGTGAAGGGATGGATTAAAAACTTATTTTCCTTTTGCTTACTGCTTGTTATTTTCCTTTCTCTTTTGTTTGTGCTAACCTTCACATAGGTATCAAGTCTTTTTAAGGATGGCACAATTGGAAGTGACATCAATATTGTAGTTGTGAGCCTTCTTCTTCTGGAACAGGAACCCGTAAGTGATGTTTCATCCGACTCAGAGAGGTTGTATACAAGCTCAGTTCCGCAGAGGGGATTCCATAGGGGAATTCTCATGATGTTGTAAATCATACATATGAACACGTGTCATTTTTGTACTATCAATGATTGAGGTTACAGTGTGCCCGGAAAGCAGGCACAGTGACAAGGCAGGCTTGTTGCCATCTCATTGCATCTCTCTCTGGCATGCACCCTCAGCTCAGCCCTACCACTCCTGCCTCACATTTGCTGAGTGACAACAGCAATCACCCACCCTGTTTCCAGGTTTAGAGGAGAAGGAGATGCAGCTCACTGGCCTTGGAGCCAATCCCTTTGGAAAAGTCTCTTCCCCCATTCCTGGCCAACTGGGATTTTGCTGCCCACCTAGCCTGCCACCCAGGTCATACACGCCCTTGCTCCCTTGATCTGGCCCTGTAGATCTTTCCTCATAAGACTTTCATTGCCTTTGAAGCATTCTTCCTTTTTCAGTTGCTAGTAGTAGATTTCTTTTTCTTGTCTGTAGGGTGGACTGATGATCAACCACCATGCAGACCAGTCATTAAACAGCTTTTGCCAGTGGCAATCAGCTCTGGTTGGAAAGAATGGGAAGCGTCATGACCACGCCATCTTGCTTACTGGATTTGATATATGCTCCTGGAAGAATGAACCATGTGACACTTTAGGTATGGGCATATTCTATGGCAGCCTCCCCCAACGTTGTGTCATCCACATGTTTCCAGCTATGGGGCTGATGGACATGATGGATGGTCTGGGAGGGGTGGCTTCCAAGGCAGGAAACCATTTGCTAGGATATATTATAGGGTATCACGGCTGAGAAATGAACATATCTCACGTTGTGGTAGATGCAATCCAGCTGCAAAGTTATGCCTGTTTTAAAAGCATTGAGAGTTCCAGAGAGTTAAGGAATCATTACAACAAGAAGCTTTTAAAATAAACTGAAAACAATGAAAGAAACTTGAGAGGGATAGCTTGGAATATGATCTTTGCTTTGGTCATGTTATAAGGAATCAAAGGAGGCACATTGCCCAGGCTGTCCAAAAAACACATATGAGTTTCCCAATTTTAATGCCCGCCCCTCAACAACATACTTACCTTCATTGCTAATCCAGTCCCAAAGGCAGCCCAGCACAAATGAGTCAATTTGAAAGTAGCAAGTTTATATGTCAGTCTTTCACAGTTTTCTACAGGATTATCTGATCTGCAGCATTTTGGACTCAGTGGTATTGAAATGAAGGAAAGGGTCTTCTGGAGGATGGGCACTGTGCCTGGGGAATCTTCAGTGCAGTCAGGTTGCTTTAGATTTTTGAAAATATCTCTGGCCAAGGGCACTCTCATTCTTTCTGGCTGACCTTCAGGAAAGAGCTGGCGCCCTTTTCCAGAATAGCTTTCCTAACTGACGGGACTGTTGTTGAGTCAGCAGAGAAAAGGAGCCTGTGTTAGTTTTGTAGGCTAACTGCTGCAGACAGAATGCATTTTTCTTGGATCGGGCCCAGCATTGCCATGTGCATGTGAGTTTGCCTTGTGCATTCTTCTACATGACAAAGCTTAAATGAGCACAAAATCTTCCTAACACAATCTATGTTCTGAATCTCTGTGATGTTATGCGGCAGAATAAAGATATAATGCCATTCAACCATCCTTTCCCTGGCAGGTTTTGCTCCAATCAGTGGAATGTGCAGTAAATACCGCAGTTGTACAATCAATGAGGACACGGGGCTTGGTTTGGCATTTACTATTGCCCATGAATCTGGACACAAGTAAGCTATTCCTCGTGAGTCTTTCCCTCCCTACAAGCTACTAAAAGACTGTTATTATTATTACTAAAGACACATACACACACTGCTTTGGCTGATATTTTATTATTATGTTTGATAGAAGATGATGACCTTGCTGATCCAGCAGTGTTCCATCATTACAACTGTTATCTAATGCAGTGCTAAGTACCATCAGTGAAAGGATTTCTGTTCCACAATGGGACTTTCTCCCCTCTTATCCAACTATGCACATCCCATGCCCTCCCCAAACCTGCTCTAGAGTGTTGGGGAAAACTTCAAAAGAGATTTAGGGCAGATTTCATATTGCAGCTGATCCCTAGTGGGATTTACAATCTGTGCTGATCAGCTGACTGGGACCTACAGAAAGCCCCTGTAGAGGAAGATCTTTTCCATCATGGCGTGAATTTAAACTGGCAACTCCAAAGGTAGAGCTGGGAGCAATTAGCATTTTTTAAAAATGCTAAAAATTCTTCAGCATTTCAGTGTAAATTTATTTTAAGAAATAGTTTTGTATGTGATTTTGACTGATGCACACATTTTTGCAAACAACTCCAAATATAAGGCATTTTTGTATGCTATTTTTGTTAGTTTTAATGCATATTTTTGCCTAAGATATGCATTTTTTGTACATTATTTGGCGTTTAGAGAACTGCATCACAAAATTTAGAGAATTGTGAATTTCAAAGGATATCTGTGTTTCAGTTCTCACACTGTTTCAGCTTTGAGAGATTCACCTTTAAAAGTGAAGTGAATTAAATTTCTCCCCCATCCCTAGCCTAAACCCGCTGGAGGGTTCAGGATCTGAGGTTTTGGGTGATTTAGTTACATTTGCATTTTAATCAACTATCTTACATTTGATCTTTAAAATCAACTATTTGCTACCTGAACTTTTGAGATGAGGGATTGATGAATGTTGCATATATATATATATATATATATATATATATATATATGTGAATGTTTGCTATGACATTGCGTTCCCAAGGTATCAGTTGCAGGCTAACCGTGGCTTTGAGCACGGAGGCAGAATTAAATCCAGAATTTCTTTTGTTCAGGAATCTGTATGAAAACACATCCTGCACAGAAGCTCCTCATTGTTGGCTTGACAGTTCCATTCAGCTTGTCCCCTTTTGTCAATGGGCATGCTGCTGTCATCCCATTCACTTGCTACATGGATCTCTGATTCTGCATGACTGCTTGGAGCTATTCAGTTCTCATTGTGTAAATATACTGTAGAGCATTGACTGTGACCTCATGGCTATATGAGTGGTCCTTTTGCAGGTCCATCTGAAAGGAAATGAGGAATTAAAGGCTAATCCTAAACCTAGTGGTAACTTTGTCAGGGATTTCACTGGGGGGAAACAGGAACAAATATCTGATGCAATTCAGAACTATATCTTTCAGGCTATGTATAGATGTACATAATTGTGCTGGTGGGATTGAGAAGGAAGCACATTGTTAGTGGTTCATAACCTTCTTCCTAGGATCAGGTTCCCCTGTTGGAAAAGTCTGTTTTGCTCATAACTGATTGGCTGGACATTGCGTCAGCCATGAAGAAATGTTACACCTCTTCTCAGAGCAGTACAACACATAGCACAGATTGGCTTGTCTTTCCATCCGTCACGAAATCTCCTTTCTCCCCAACATAGGTGCCATCTCACACTGAAGATTGTGGGTGCCTGCAACAAAGGGCTTCAACTTTGCCCATTGACTTTGTGGGGGCATAGAGGGAAATGTGGGTGGAGCCAGAAGCAAAAGCAAGTAGAGCAACAGATAGGAACACAGAAGCTTATACTGAGTCACACCATTGGTCTCTTTAGCCAAGTATTGTCAACCTTGACTGGCAGTGGCACTCCACAGTTTCAGACAGGGGCCCTTTCCAGACCTGTCTGGAGGTGCTGGGGATTTTCTGCATGCAAGGCAGATGCACTACCAGTAAACTTCATCTCTTCCTTTGTACATACCAGACATGCAAAAGTCAGAGGCTTCCATGCCCATCCACCATGCAAACAGTTTAAGGACATATTCCTACCAAGCAAAAGCACTCAAGGAGAGTACAGAAAGTGTTGGTGAGGGGTATGACCTGGGAAGAGAGAAAGAGACAGGCAGGGAAGGGGCCTGGGGAGAGTCCTAGGAGCCAGACAAAGAGGGAATGCTATACTTTCTCCTGAGGTTCCTGGCTTCTGCTGTATTGGAATTAACTCCTTAAGAGAATGCTGCTGTGATGCTCTCTTGTAGAAGCCCTATAGAAATTAAATAGGAGCAGTGCAAGAGGACACCTACTAGAACCTGATTGATTGTGCCCAGAGAAAATAAGTAGATAAAGCTGGGTAATAAGCACACATTTTTGCATCTTACATTCTTCTTCTATTTATCTTTAAGTAATATAGATCATTTGTCATTCCCTTTAGGAGTTGTTTCTTCTTCTTCTTCTTCTTCTTCTTCTTCTTCTTCTTCTTCTTCTTCTTCCTATTATAACCTTCCTTTTTCAGCTTGGCATATGAATGCTGATATCCGGACAGGAAGGATTTATGAAATGCCTTCCAAAAAAAGTATCTTGGAAAGACTGCAATTCTTTCATTTGGCAATAACTGCTAGAAATTTCTTCCATTGTCATTTGTCCAAGCGTGTGCCTTTTCAGCTGTATAATATAGGAAATTGGCAGCAATGGCCTTCGGATGCCTAGAGGCAGATGATCCTTAGAAGTGTTGCCTAATGATCCTATTAGCAGTCAGATAGTAATTATAGATGGGAGGGAACATTTCAAACAATTATAGGATTTTTTGTCAAATAAATCGTTTAAAGTTTGATGGAACTTCCTTCCCTACAAAATGAAGGATACCACAGCTTAGCTCAAGTTTAATTACAAAAGCCAGAGGCTTTAAAGCTGGAAATCTGGAGGAAACTAGACCTGACAGTTAAACTTCCACAACTTGAACATAAAGTCACATAAAAAGATACAACTGGTGCTTGATTCAAACACCACTTTTGCTTTTTAAATCAGATCCCATTTCCCCGTTTTGCATACATGGCCTGGTTTTGTGTTTAAAGATATGGGATTGAATCCAAAGGCTCCCTTTCTCTGACATATGGAGTCTTCTCCCCTCATAGAAGGAGACTTTCCATCAGATAGAGTCATTCCATCAGATGAAGACTCCTGCTTCCATTGACCCTTTGGAACCAACCTGTTCTACTTTTGGTTTCATACCTAGTTTGGCCCTTTGTGAAATGATGAGTGACACATCTACAATCTAAGGTTTACAGGCCCTTTATCATTTTGGTCGTCCTCCTCTGCACACATTCCAACTTATCAACCAACCAACCAACCAACCAACCAAACCAACTGCATTCTGTATCAATTGTCATTTCCAAGTGCTTACCCATGTGGAGCACTCATGATGTAGTCTAATAATTTGCATTACCACAACATTGCCATATCATTTGTCCTTACACATTGTGAAGGCCTCTGCTTTTGTTTTTGTTTTATCTTGGAACTTTCTAGTTTTGGCATGATTCATGATGGAGAAGGGAATCCTTGCAGAAAAGCTGAAGGTAACATTATGTCTCCCACCCTCACGGGAAACAATGGAGTGTTTTCGTGGTCAGTATGCAGCCGGCAGTATCTCAACAAATTTCTCAGGTAGGCTTCAGCTTGGAAGGGCATCTTTATGTTTTCTGATCCTGAGGAAGATAGCCTTGAAAAGTAAAACCCTACTGGAGCATAGTGAATCAAGTGATTAGCATCACATTGAGCAGGATAGTGGGGTCACAGCTACTAGCTGAATGTCGCAGTTGGTCCTATTCCTTACTGACATGGGCATAGCCCGGGGGGGGGGAGGGAGCAGCTGTCCCCCAATCAATAAAACAATAAAAATCAATACAAATCTGAGGTTCTGTCCCCCAACAAAAGCCTGCCCCCCCTAAGAAAAGCCTGCAGCCTAACAAAAATCCTGGCTACATGCCAGTGGTGGGTGGGGCCAGTTTTGTACAGGTAGCTAGTTTCTACATAAACTCACATGCTGTTCAGCCAAGCAAGTAAAAGGCATTAAATTAAATTATTAAATTAAAATAAAATAAAATAACACGGAAACTTATTTAGACAGGAATAATGAAATGTTTAAAAGTAAGTGGGACTTGCAAGTCTGTTGGAGTACATTATGATATATACTGCCCGCCCATATGTGAAAGTATTTGTTAAAACTCAACAATATATTGCTGTACTCATGATGCAATTTACTGCCCTCCCTACACAGTTTCCCCTCTCTCTTTTCTTTCTTCTTTTAATTTCTGTATCCCCCCTTTTCTTATAATTTTAAAACTTCAATCAAAATTATATGGAAAAATAAAGTAATATTTAGATACATATTCTTAGAGACGTAAATAAAAAATAATAAAACCAGACTAATACAGAAACAGACCAGAATAGAATTATGGGTGAAAACATGTGGACGTGATTTGAGCTAGAAATAATTAAGTCCCTTGATCTCCTTATCTAAGTCTCCCATTTCAATTACTGTGTTGTTTTAATTGGATTGCTTTATTGTATATTTAATTGCAAATATTTCTATTTTAATGTTTTAGTGGGACTGTCATTTTGTGAATTTTAATGATGGATCTCCATATTTTAATGTTTTTTTTAATTCTTGTAAACCGCTTAGACCACCACATGTGATAAAAAGACCCTAAGCAAATGTATTCTTAACAGATGCTTCCCTTCCTTCCCTTCAGTACTGCTCAAGCAGCTTGCCTGATAGATGAACCCAAACAAGCCGGACAATACAAATACCCCGATAAGCTCCCAGGACAGATCTATGATGCTGACACCCAGTGCAAATGGCAATTTGGAGCAAAAGCAAAACTCTGCAATCTGAGTTTTGTAAAGGTACGAGATTCGCATCTTCCAGACAGACGTTAGAACTTGCACTGAGGAATAGCAATGAATTATAAATGGGAAGATTATGAATGAGTGGAGGGGTTCCAATGAGCTCCAGGGTCTGCACTGTTTCTAAATCTTAAATAATTTGGCAAAGCCATTGCTTGCTTTGAAGGTGTTGGCTTGGATGGAAGTCAAGGTGGTCCAGCATAGCTGCAGGGAGAGATTGTGCTTACAGGATGCAGAATCTAATTGCAATGCACAGGGGGTGGGGGGTGGATAGAGGCACAAGGGGATGCCCAAGCTTCACTGTACTTTTAAGAATATTTTAGTGTGATTTCTTGCCTAAGATGGAACTAGGCCGATCAGTTTTTTAAGCAGTGCATAGTTGTAGCAGTGAAAGGGATGTTACAGATATGCTTGCAAACTGCATAGCGCAATCCAGGTCTAAAATGGCATTACCTGTTGTAGTAACGCTACTATTGCTACTAGAAGTGATAATAATTACATTTGTAAAGCACTTTCAAGTCTAGAAAGCTCTTCCCATGCAATAGCTAGATGACAAAAGAAAGTACTTTTCCATGCAGTGCATAAACTATGGCATTCACTCCTGCAAGAGGTAGCCACCTACTAGGATGGTTTTAAAAGAGGATTAGACAAATTTGTGGAAGATAAGGCTATTGGGGCTCCTAGCCACAATGGTTATATTCAAGCTCCATTGTTGTAGGCACTATGCTTCTGAATATAGTGGTACCTTGCGTTATGAACTTAATTTGCTCTGGAGGTCCATTCTTAACCAGAAACTGTTCTCACCACTTTAGCTAATGGGGCATCCCGCTGCCGCCATGTCACTGGCGCACAATTTCTGTTCTCATCCTGGGGCAAAGTTCTCAACCTGAGGTACTACTTCCGGGTTAGCAGAGTTTGTAACCCGAAGTGTTTGTAACCTGAAGCATTTGTAACCTGAGGTACCACTGTCCCAGTTTCTGGCAGAGCTTGGTCGAGCTCAGCTCCAGCTTTTGGGCTTCTCATAGGCATGGTCAGCTGCTGTGAGAACAGGATGCTGGACTAGATGGGTCATTGGCCTGATCCATCAAAGCTCATATGTTCTAATTCTTGCAAGAACCCTATATCAGAGATCGGGGACTGAGGGTGTGAGAGAGAGGGGCTTTGTCTCAAGGCCACCTAGTGATTTCATGGCAGAGATGGAATTTGAATCAGGAAATTCCTGATTCACAACTCAGTTTTTTAGCCACTATGCTACTCCCATGCTTAGGTTTGAGTTCTCATTTAATTAATAAAGCAGTCAATAAGATGCAAAAACCTTTAATTAAGCACAACTTCATTAAATTGATTAATCTTTTACATATACTTGGGTTTAGGAAAAAAAAGAGTTAAAAACTAGTTATGAGCAGAGGGGAACAGTTGCAGCCTCTTATTGCACCAGGATTCCAACATCTCTTTAGTTCCAGTTTAATTTTCTGTAAATCCATATTTAGTTTTCCCTTGAAAGAATTTCAAAAATATACCTCTGGATTCTGAACTTAATACCCATTCCACGATTTCAAGTTACTGCTTGGAAAACATGCTTGAAACAAGCAACATCTGCTGAGCAATTCTTGTTGAGGCAGATTCTAGAGCCTCAAGATTCTAGAGCCTCAAGTACAGTCATCAAGTACCGCTTGTGACACCTGTAAGCAAAGTTTATACGTATATAAGATAGCATCGTGACAATTCACAAATTAATTATTGGCAGTAACACGATATTGCTGGTTTTCCTATGCTAACACTGGTTGTTAGAGATTTAAAACCTTGGTCTCAATTGATTCCTAAATGAATAGAATCAAATCAAATCTAACAGCTGACACAGGCACTGAGAGGTGACCAGCAGTAGGTGGGAAAAGGAAGGCAATAAGAGCATACTAGGCAAAGTCAAAGACTGATATGAAAGAGTAAATGCATCTATGAAAGGAGAGGAAGAGAACACAGGATGCCAGGGGGCGGGGAGAGGCGTACAGTTTCATGCTTTTAGACAGAGTGGAGGAAATGGAGTGATAAAAGAGAGCTAGGGAAGAGGAGCATGCAGTATTTGAGGCAAGCCACAACAAGACGTAGGGGACAGAGTTTTGGCAGCTATAATGGGGAGGAAGGGGTGGATCTTGTTAATTTCAAGGAGGGAGAAGCAGAAGCCTTTGCTGCAGCTTGAATTGTTAAGAGGCAGGTGGGCAAAGGACAGGGTATGGAATCCAAAATAGCCATGAGGGGATTTGTTTAGGAAACCAGTTGGATAGTAATGTTGATGAAAGAGAAGCAGCAGAACAATAATAATATGAGTCAAGCATGCATTTGGATCAGACTGGTGCACAAGTTGGGGAAAGCTTTTCAGGAGAGCATAAGAATAAGCCTGTTAGATCAGACCAATGGCCCATCCAGTCCAGCATTCTGTTCTCATAGTGGTCAACAAGATGTGTATAGGAAGCACAAAAAGAAGACCTAAGCACGAGAGCACCACTGGAGCTTTCCAGACTAGAGCTTTCCAGATGAAGGGCTCCTTGGACCCATTCTTATACCCCAGTAGCAGAGTGAGTGCTCTTTCCTCAAGGCCTTCTGCCCCCAAATTATACCTTGATGGCACTACTGTAGAGGAGGAAAAGTTGGGAAAGTAAGTTCGTATACAATACAGGTTGGTTCACATATCCTTAGTGACAGCAGCAGCATGGGAAGACTTGAAGTTGACTAAATGAGTTATCAAAGATCTAAGACTACAGAAAGAACCTGTGACAATTACAATGCATTTCAAAGCAGACAGTTCAAAGAAAATGGACACAAACGATGATGCGTTGTGGGTGGGGGGGTAAGAGTCATCTGCATGTATGTGTGAATATTCTAGATTTCTCAAAGATTTGAGTTTGTTGATTTTATTGGGTTTTTGTTTGTTTGTTTGTTTGTTTTTTGTTATCTGTCATTAACATTGAATGGAGAAAAATGAAATGAAACTGTAATAACAAAACAGTACACAAGCACCTATATAAATCTCAGGCCTCTCATTCACATCAGAATAGACAAGTTGGATTTTTCCAGTCAGGAAAGACTGAGATTAATGGGAGTCTCTTCTTCTTCTTATAAATTTCAGGATATCTGTAAATCACTGTGGTGCCATAAAGTAGGCCATCGATGTGAGACAAAGTTTATGCCAGCCGCAGAAGGAACACCCTGTGGGATAGGCATGGTAAGTTACTAAGGCTGCAAAAGTGGGGGAAGGGCCAAAGCTCAGTGGTAGAGAACCTGCTTTGCATGCAGAAGGTCCCACCCAAGAATTTCCAAGCAGAGCCAGAGGAGCTCCTTCTCTGAAACCCTGGAGATCCGATGCCAGTCAATATAGACAGTACTGAGGCTGACCAACCAATTTAGCACGAGGCAGCTTCCTATGTTCTGAAAAGGCATATGCACATAAAATCCACTGTGTATTGTCCTCAACAGTGTTATAAACATCCCAGATGAGATCTAGGAATGGCACACACATTCTGCATCTAGGCACATTGAATTGTACGTGTGTGCCCACCCTAATGTATTATTATACCCAGTGACGGCTGGTACCCATTGCCACTGGTAGGGCAGAAAGCTGGGAGCCCAAATGGTAGGTGGAGCCAGAGCCAATGACAGGCAGAGTCAACTAATTCTAGCTTCGTCCCTATCCTCCCCCTTCCTGAGTTCTACAACAGGCAACACTGAGATTAAGGAGGAGGAAGTTGACTGCCAGAAACACCTCCTGGACTGGTTGTAGAAAGGAAGCAGGTGAGGGCCGGCTGAGGACAGACTGAGGCTGATGGAGCAATTATTTTAAATTTCTATATTGCCCTTCACCTGAGGATCACAGGCCAGTTTACAATGCCTCATTCTCCCAAAGCAGGGGTTGGCAAGGTTTACCAGCCATGGGCTGGATCACTCCCATAGAGATCGTCCGTGGGCCGGACTGGCACAGCGCGACACCAGAAATTGCTTCTGCGCATGCCCGCGGCTCCAAAAATTACTTCTGCACATGCCCAGATGCCAAAAATTGCGCCTGCACAGAAGCTATTTTCAGCATCTGGACATGCGCAGATGTGATTTCCGGTATCTGCACGTGCGCAAACGCTATTTCCCGTGCAGCCTGGTGAGTCCCTGCACCACACTGCGCCGGTTTAGCGTAGCACGCATGGAACCCACCGAGCTGGCGGCTTGGTCCGGTCGCAGCTCATGGGCTGGTAAAATGGTCTTCATGGGCCACATCTGGCTCATGGACCACACGTTGCCGACCCCTGTCCCAAAGGAACCAACCTCCATTGGTTATAGCTCACATGGGACTGTTTTGACCTTAAAGGTAGGATAGGGACAATGGTTGGGAAGGGAGAGGAGGTGCATTCACTCAGATCTCTGCCACTAATTCCAGTTCCCCCATTTTCTTGCCACCTACTCTTTGCCTTAGCTTCCTTTCCACTCTAGTGATTCATAACTGATTATAACTGGTTCTTTTTCCAACCTTACCCAGCCATCCTGGTAGATACTGACAAAGCATTGGTTTTCTACATTATCTCCTACAGTGGTGTCGAAGAGGTCAATGTGTACAATATGGAGACCATGGTCCCAAGCCTGTTAATGGCCAGTGGTCTATGTGGTCTGAGTGGTCCAGTTGCTCTCGGACCTGTGGGGGTGGAGTCACGTACCAAGAGAGACACTGCAATAATCCAAAGTAAGACATTGATATGAAAAGGTATTATTTTTTATCATTATTTGTATCCTAACCAGAAAGGTGGCAAAGTAAATATTTGTGTTCAGTTTACATACGCACACCCACACACCCCTTTATAATGTTTATGGACTGGATTCAACCAAATTTGAATGTTTTGAATGTTAAAATTTTTAAAGAGCATAGGGAAGGGAAGGCTCAGGAACATAGGAAACTGATTTATACGAAGCCCAGACTGTTTGTCTTTCTAGTTCAGTATTCCCATACTGACTGGCAGTGGCTCTCCACAGTTTCAGAGAGTGGTCCTTCCCTACCTGGAGACATCATTAGATTTACCACTGAGCTATGGCCTTCCCCAAAGGTATTAGGTTGAAAACATAGAATTCCCCCATCAGACCTTTCCAGTAAACATGGGAAATTGGGGTGAAGGGGGTGGTGCACATTTATAACACCTGACATCTGGAGGACCACAGATTCCTTCACATCAATTCCTTAGCAAAAGAATAATGTCAAGTGATTCATTTTTTTAAAAAATGACACAGCCTCACAAGATAATTCTGAAGAAGGTATCTCTTAACTGTGGAGTCTCAACTAAATTGAGTGTGTGACATATTTCATTCAGAGCTGAATGCTGTTTCTCATGCTGCGTCAGCTATGTATGGAGAGGATTGCAGTAGATTGCATTTCATTTATGGATTATGAGGGTTCTGGTATGAGCACCTGCTCCAATGTCTGATGTTGGTTGATCCCTCTTTCTAGTGATAATTCACCTAGAGCTGAAAGAAGTAGATCTTAAACCCTATCAGGATTATGGCATGTCCAGACAACTCTAATTTTGGCTAGTTAGTTATTTGTTTGCATGTTACACATATTCAGCTCTCTCTTCAAATTAGGCTTGCAGCCAGGCAATATAGAGGATTATATAAAGCTAAGATCTGCTTAGCTTTAGCTCTAGGATTGTAGGGCAGTTCTCACAACATATCCCCTACAATGCTCAAGTGGAGCCTAGAGAGAAGGAAGATCACCCCTGCTGTCCCATTGTTGATCTCTGCATATTGTAAGCTTGTTCAGGCATTATACTTATACAGGTACAAGCTGTATGTAATGCTGTGTGAAAGAGTGTACTCACATTGATTTGTACAGCTACACATGAACATAGTGCACTCATTGAATGTTACATGTATATAGCTCAACTATTTGTGTACACAAGTACACAGATTACACAGTCATTAAATGCAATGTGTGAACATACGTTAGCACAGGCTTCCTCAACCTCGGCCCTCTGGATATTTTGAGACTACAGTTCCCATCATCCCTGACCACTGCTCCTGCTAGCTAGGGATCATGGGAGTTGTAGGCCAAAAACATCTGTAGGGCCGAGGTTGAGGAAGCCTGCGTTAGCACATGCCACATGTTCAGAACACTGCATTCTGCAAGATCACTGATCAAACATTTTGCAGGATCTCTGAGCATACAGAGATGATCAAAACATGGTGTCTGGGGGACAGGGACACTGGACTCAATCTGGTTTCCTCCCTCCACATGTAGATCAGACATAGATATGTTATATGACCAGTGGACCCCTGCCATGGAATTATTGTGAAAAGCCAAATTCATGGTGGAAATATTTGTTGTGGACATGAAACTTCAGTATTATCTTGAATCATTGAATCTCAACCTCCTAATCATAAAATGAGTACAAAATGCATCAAGCTTTTGAAGTCAAATGCCACTGAGAGATAGAATCATCACTCCATTGAGTTATGGTGGTGGCAGAAAATTAATATTGCCATATACTTGGTAGGAACCTTTTAATCTTTTTTTGTGCCATAATGATTCATTAGCATTCGTGGAAGGCTCACCTGGCACCTCTGTTACTTATCTTTAGGTGTCAGGCAAAAATATTCCTATTCTCTCAGGCCTTTGGCTAATTAAAGAATCTATGGGCTTTTAAACTGTAAGCAGAGGAAGGGGGTATTGTTTTTGTTTGTTACTATGTAATGTCTTTTTGTGTTTCTATATTGTAAACTGCTCTATGATCCTCGGATGAAGGGTGGTATGGAAAAGTCCAAATAAATCAATAAATCTTATTATTCTGTTTTGTCCAGTTAGTACATACTATGGAGTTCATTGCATGTACAGTCAGACAATCCTAGTTCCATTGATTCCTACCACATGGTGACCACATGGCTCCTATTGTGGGGCTGTTGTCTAAGCCTACCATTTCTCATAACCTTTTGTGTTTAAAGTTATGATTCTAGCTTTTTTCCCCTGGCATAATCAGCAATTTTATCATTAGAATGTACAATATAAATGGAATGCGTTGAGCTTGTAAGAAAATTGGCCCTGGTATTCTGAACATCTCATGGCATTAGATACGACCTTACAGCACCAAACACCTTTGGAGGTCATCCACAGTACAACAGAACTATGCAGATTTGCTAAAATCATTATGTTTGTACAAGCTGCTGTAGTGTAAATTCGTGGATCTGTTTCCCATACATCATAACATTTTACAATCGAGATATTTTTCTCTGAGAAAGAAATAGATTACATAATTTAATAGCTTGGCTGTAAAGAACATGAAGAGAGCCCAGGAGACAAACGTTCATAGTAACTCATATATGTAGGATTGAGTCTTACCTGCTGCATAATAGTGTATTGTTCACAAAAATATTAGAATGCAATTTTAGATGTGCTTGTACTTTAAAAAAAAAATCTACCAAAGCAACAAAATAGCTTCAACATATGTACTTTTTATTTGCTGCATGCTGTAGCTTGATGAGTGATCAGGAGGGCTGCAAATGAAATTGGAGTGTACAACTAAAAACAGTAATTAGTCTAATACTGGAGGGATGGCGCAAGCATGGAATTCCATAAACCTTTGACTATACAGAAAATATAGAGCTTTAATAGTCCAGGCATGACCATGCTTACTTTGAAGAGGTGTGACTTTAATAGACCATAAGAATGTAAGCAGGGGCCTAGCGGGTGAAACCGAAGGCCCATCTAGTCTAGCATCTTGTTTCACACAGACTCCAGCCAAAAGCTTCTAGCAAGTTCTCAAGCAATGCAACACAATAGCAATAGGCTCCCCCCAATGTCTCTTTCCCTCCCCACATCATCAACTGGTATTCATAGATTTACTGATTGTGAACCTGGAGGAAGCTCCATTCACCTCTTGGAACTAAGAGGCACTGACAGATCTGTGCCCCTCTTTAGTTGTTAAAGTCCCATTTGAAGCCATCCTAAGTATAGGACTTTAACAAATACACAGAATTTAACAAATTCTAGACAGAATTTAGTTCCATTTAATTCAGTTGTGCTTGCTCCCAGCTAAATGTACGTAGGACTGCAGCCTAAGCTCCTATCTTGTTTATTAATTCAACTTACATTATTTCTAACATTTATATCCCGCCTTTCCAATGAGAAGATCAAAGTGGCACCCCTCTCCCCATTTTGTTTTCACAACAACACTGTGATATAGTTAGACATGTCAACCATGACTGGTCCAAGTTCACTCAATGAGCTGCATGGCTTAGTAGGGGTCCCTGGTTCCTAGTCCAATAGTGTAACCATGGGAGCCACCTCCTAAGGGCCACGATCCCTTCACCCACCCAATAAAATATTTGAGGGGCCACCAAAAGTTGATAGGCATGTGCTGTATCTTGTGTTCGATTATGTGAGGTGGGGCTTACCTGCCCCCTCCACCATATTTTATTCAAGTTAGCACCCTTGACTCTAACCATTATGCCACACCGATAATTACAAACTCCAAAAATTAAATGTTTCTGACTTCAGAATGTGAGCAGGTTGTAGTAAAAGCCAGACAGTCTGGTGGCATCTTAAAGGTTTGCAAATTTATTGCACCATAAAGTTTTAACAGATTTATTGCGGCATAAAGATTACTAGGACCTATTTGAATCTGATCAAGTGGGCACTGGACCATGAATACGCAGTATATACCATGATCAATCTGCTAGACGAAGATGCTTACTATTGCACAGTCTCAGATTCATAAAGAGGCTGTTTGGGGGGTGGGATCGGGGGTTGCAAGAATTTAGGCCAGAACCAAGAACTTCACATTTAATAAAAAATTAGATCCAATGTTAATCAATTGCCAGTGGTTGCAAGAGAATACCGTATTTTTCGTCCCATAGGATGCTCCGTCCCATAGGACGCACCTAGTTTTTTGGGGGGGAAATAAAGGAAAATTTATTTCCCCCCCAAAACCAGGTCGGGGAAACCGAACCAGGTCGAGGAACAGCGGGATGGTGGTGCTGCGCCTTCCTGCTGTCCCCCGAGCTTGTGGGGCTGGCCGATGTCTGCCCAGCGCGCGGGGCGCTCTGCTTCAGCACGCCCTGCCCGCCAGGCGGCAGGCTGCTATCTGCAGTGTGGGGAGCCCTGGGGGGAACTCCTGCAGGGCTCCCCACGCTGCGGATGTCTGCCCGGCGCGAGGGGCGCTCTGCTTCAGGGCGCCCCTCGTGCCGGGCAGCAGGCTGCTATCCGCAGCCTAGACAGCCCCGCGGGAACTCCCGCAGGGCTGCCTAGGCTGCGGGTATGTTCCCGAAGCGCCGGGCGCTCTGCTTTCAGCGCGCCCGGCGCTCCGGGAAGCAAGCTGCTATCCACAGCCTAGACAGCCCTGTGGGAACTCCCGCAGGGCTGCCTAGGCTGCGGATGTCTTCCTGAAGCCTGGAGAGCGAGAGGGGTCGGTGCGCACTGACCCCTCTCGCTCTCCAAGCTTCAGCGAAAGCCTGCATTCGCCCCATAGGACGCACCCAGATTTCCCCTTCATTTTGGAGGGGGAAAAGTGCGTCCTATAGGGCGAAAAATACGGTATTCTGAATCAGAATTCTAGCTTTCAAGGCACACAAACCATGGAAACACGTTCCAGCTTGTTTTGTAATAATACAAGAATTAGAATGCTAAGTCTGAGCAGAGGATATACATACATATATATATATCTATCTCACTCACACCTGGATTTCTGTCCAACATATGTTAACAATTTCCCCCCATGATGGATTCAACTGAATAGGATATTAAGAGATATGTATTTCTAATACCTCAAAATAGGGCCTCTGTTCTGTTGTATGTAACTGACTTAACATTCAGTGGTAACTATCTATACAGGGATTTGAGCACCACTGTTGAGTAAATATGGTGGGTTAATTTGGAAACATTTCTCCTTGTCATGTACCAGGGCAATTTAATATAATGTAAGGGGTCCTGTATCAGGTCAACCAAGATTAGCCCAGGGCTACATGTCATGTGTGTATTTAGAATACATGCTTGGGTGGTTGATGACATTTGAAGACAAAACAAAAAAACAAAAAAAAAACAACTGGAACAAAATTGATCTTGCTTGCTCAATGAATGCATTGCGTAATCAGACTTGTGGGAGAACCTTCTTTAGGTCAGTCGAGGAAAAGTTGCATGATGTGTAGAAGTTCAGTGACCAGTGGAGCCAAATTATTTCTGGCCAATTACAGCTACATAATAACCGTTATTTTATTTTATTTTATATTTTATATTATTTTAAAATGTCTTAGTTTTCCAGCAATGCCTTGTAGTCATGTGTGTGTGTTTCAGTAATATTCAGAGGCATGTGTGTTACACCTGAAGAGAGAAAGTATAAATCATCCCTCCCTGTGTATTGTGATCTTGGTAACAATCACCCAACAGCTGTAATGTGTTTGAGTTACACTCGAGATACAGCTGCATGCTGCATATCCTGGTCTCCCCACACACTTGTCCCTGACTCCCTCAGTAAGCTAAGGTGTCCAACAAGCCAGGAGGCTAGCATAGTGACTCTGCCCTAGATAAAGGTACCCCTGACCAACAGGTCCAGTCGTGACCGACTCTGGGGTTGCGCGCTCATCTCGCTCAAGAGGCCGGGAGCCGGCGCTTGTCCGAAGACAGCTGCCCTACCAGCAAACAAATTCTGGTTGAAACCATAGATAAAAGAAATAGGAGGGAGTTCATACCCCTCTACCACTGCTCCTCTTCCCAAAGCTATTTAAATGTAAAATAATAAATAAATGTTCAGTGATTGACTGGATTAGGAAATTTACTATGTTCACATGCTGACATCCATTGAAGGGAGAAAAGGAAGTACTTTTTCATGGAGTGCATAGTTAAACTATGGAACCCATAGGAGGCAGTGATGGCCAGCAACCTCGATGGCTTTAAAATAGGATTAGACAAATTCATGGAGGAGAGGGCTATTGATGACTATTAGGCTATTCGTGGCTACTAGGCATGATGGCTATGCTCTGCCTTCACAGTTGGAGGTGGGATTGCTTCTGAATACCAGTTGCTGGGAGCCATAAGTGGGATGAAAATGCTTTTGGCCACTTTGAGAACAGGATGCTGGACTAGATGGGCCATTGGTCTGATCCAGCAGACTTCTCTTATGTTCTTACCTCCTGGACATGGAAGATAAGTTGATCCAAAACAAGAGGGTGTTTCTTGATTTTATTTAGGATGCATTGACCTATCAGGTAACAAATCATTTTGTTGAACATATATTGGCTCTTACCGGATGGCATGTTCTAGCCTCATTGTTTTGATTAATGAAGCAAAACACAGGATCTGAAACAAATCTTCCTGGATTAGAATTTTTACTTTGATGTTGCTTACAATTGAAGTAGATATACAGTGGTACCTTGGTTTACAACCATAATCTGTTCCGGAGGTCCATTTGTAAACCAAAACAGGTTGTAACCCAAGGCGTGCTTTCGCCAATGGGGCCTCCCAAAAAAATTTGTTTGTAATCCCCCCAAAATGGGTTGTAATCCAAAAAAAGCTTGCAAACTGGGACACGCACTTCCGGGTTTGACGTGTTTGTAATCCAAAATGTATGCAAACCAAGACGTATGCAAACCAAGGTACCACTGTAATGATATGCATGTAAAAGTTGATCATCTGCTCTGCGTCTGGTCTTGCAAAAAGGTGTTTCTTTCTCCATAGGCCTCAGTACGGTGGCAAATTCTGTCAGGGCTCAAGTCGCATTTATCAACTTTGCAATGTTCAACCATGCATGTCTAGTAGCCCTGACTTCCGTGCCCAACAGTGTGCTGAATATAACAGCAAACCTTTCCGTGGATGGTACTATAAGTGGAAGCCCTACATGAAAGTGGAAGGTAAGCCAGGAACAGCATGCAAACAGTTTCTGATATGTCTTGCATTATTCATTCAAAATTCTAATACCCTGCCTTGCCATCATAACAGACCCTCAAGACACTTTCCAACAAATTACAGAAAATTGACAATAAAATCCTTAATAACAACAGTGGCAACAGTATAAGCTGTTGACAGCAACACAGAGAAATGTTGTTTATGAAAAGATCAGGCATCTAAAGCTTTACTTAATCTGACAGTCCATAAAGAGAGATGTAGCTGGAGGAGAATGACTGTAATGTAGTGGTTGAGAGACTGAGAGTTGCAGCTAATGCTAGTCATAATCAAAGCAGACATCAATAGTGTAAGTTCATTAATTTCCATGAGCCAACACTAAGTAGCATTTAGTTAGTTACAAACCAAAGCTGCAAATCAGGAAGCCCCTAGTTTGAATCTCACCTCTGCCATGAACCCACCAGGTGGTCCTAGGGAACCACTCCATTTCACCCTCAGTTTTCCCAGCAGGAATATGGGGGATGATAGTAATAATAATAATAATAATAATAATAATAATAATAATAATAATAATTTATTTATACCCCACCCATTATATTGTGTTATGCAACAGCAGAGGCAGTGAGCTTCAGGCCTCTATCTGTCTCTCAGGACTCTCCCAGGCCACACCTCCTCTCTAGTCACACAGCCTCTCCCCTGGCCACATACATCACTAGCCCAGCTTTGCATCCTTAAGTGTTTTTCCTGGCTGGAAAGTGTCCATGAACTTTGAGAGATATTAAGTGGACTAAGACCTGGGTAATCAGAGTTAAAATCACTACTCAGCCATGACGTTTACTGTGTGACCTCAAACCAGTCATTCTCTCTCAGCCTAACATAACCCTTGGGGTTGTTGTGAGGATAACATGGCAAGAAGAAGAAGAAGAAGAGTTTGGATTTGATATCCCGCTTTATCACTACCCTAAGGAGTCTCAAAGCGGCTCATAATCTCCTTTCCCTTCCTCCCTCTCAATAAACACTCTGTGAGGTGAGTGAGCCTGAGAGACTTCAAAGAAGTGTGACTGGCCCCAGGTCACCCAATGAATGCTATGTTGAAGGAATATAAATCTAATACTGATAAATAATGAATGATAAAAATCACAAATTCATCTCCAGCCTGCCTGTCCCTGATTTTGAATTGGGGGAGGGATGTGTCTTGGCGTGGCCAGGTGGTAAAATATATTCCAATTTGCTGACCATTCAGAAACAGTATGATTAATTACACAAATGTTCTGGCTACCTCTGTCCATTTTATTCCTTGTGCTGTCATCCATCTCCAGGATGGAATGGCAACACTGTTTAATAATTCTACTCCATAGTTTGCCCTTTTAATGTCTTTTCAGAGGAAGATCGCTGCAAACTATACTGCACTGCAGAAGACTTTGACTTTTTCTTTGCAATGTCCAACCGAGTAAAAGATGGAACCCCTTGCTCCCTGTACAGAGATGATGTGTGCATTGATGGGATTTGTGAAGTAAGGTTAAGCTAAAAGTTCTCTTTGCCACTTTGCTTTTTTACAGCTCAGTGGTAGAGTAAATGTTTTGCATGCACAAGGTCCCAGCTTCAATCCCTGGCACCCCCAGTTTAAAAAAAGAGTATGGTGGTAGCAGGCAATGGAAAATTATCTTTGTCTGAAAATTCAAGTAGTTTCAGCCAAGTGGCATACAGGACTGTATGAACCAATGGAACTGAGGCCTTTTCTGCATATACATTTAACATGCTATGATACCACTTTAAACACTCATGGTTTTCTCCAAAGAATTTTGGGAGCTGTAGCTTAAAGGTGCTGAAATTTGTTTGGAGATCCCTGTTCTCCTTATCTTGTAGTTCATTCTCTTACATGTATTTTTCTTCTTCTTCTTCAGACTTGTTTGACCTTTAAGCTGAAATAACATAACTGTTGGGGGAAATAACTGAAATAATTCACATTTCATGATGTGTTTACCCTCCCCCCTTAGCCTTAAGTATATTTTTGACTTCAGCACAGCAGCTTGTAACCTTCTGAATGCTGCAAAAAAAACAACCGAGAACCATTTAGATGAACTTGAATTGAACTGTGAACTGAACTGAATGTGAATTGAACTTGTTCATTTTGTTAAGCAACAAATGTAAACTAGAATTAATTCCTTTTTGGACATGTTGAATTAGAACTAGAACTTGTTTCTTTTAAAAATGAACTTTGCAAGCTTGGGCGGGGGGGAATAGCCTAACAGCCTAATGTACCCTTTTAGTCCCTCACTCAAGTTTTCTTTGTTGCAGCAAGTTGGGTGCGATCGTCAGCTTGGATCTAAAGCTGTTTTGGATGCATGTGGAGTTTGCAAAGGAGATAATTCAACATGCAAGTTCTTCTCTGGCCATTATTTGACCCAACATAGAACTAATGGTAAGAAAACTCATTGAGCTAGGACTTTGTGGTATATATTCCTATGCACTGTGATTTCTCATAGTTCAGGATTCCCGATGTGGAAAACTGAGATGAGATAAAAGGTGAGATAAAAGTTAGAAGTGTGTGTAGCAGCAAATCTGTACCTTCCACAGAGATAGAGTTGTCCTAAAAATGGACCCTTTCTTTGTTCCACAGGTAAACTCACCCTTCCACAGACAAAAGTAGATCATTCTACCAACCTTTTGCCCAGCCCCATCTCATCCCAAAGAGAGGCAATGGCAACTCTACAAATACATAGAGCCCTGAAAATTTACATGGTCGGACTTTAGTCATTTTGGATGATTGACCCCCATTCCACCACCCCTTCTTCCCTCAAAACTAGGTCATAAAGTTTTCTCTTCCACTCTTGCTAAGTGGATCGAGGCCTGCATCTCAAAGGCCTGTGGTGTCCAAAGGATATCTCTGCTCATTTTATGATTCAACTAAGCAAGTTTATTGTGTTAGCCAAAGGCCATGACAATCGCAATATACTAATAGCATAATAAACACCAATTTTATTAGCGTGGTGGCAACCTTCTCAATTAATGTCCCCTGTGAGATGTGTGCTGGGCATCCATGTAGACCAACACAAACACCTTCAGCCAGCACTACAAGAACCTGCCCAAAGGAAATTTTGCTCTGGTTCTTGCTTGTAATCCCAAAGCCTTGCCTGTCTATGGCCATATTGTAGCCAGAAAATTGTAAGTGGGGTTCTCTATTACCAGAAATTACTACCTGCCTGATAAGGTCCATGATCTGTGGATAATAGTCTTACCTTTTACAACAGAAAAAAGCCTGTGATATTCTGGTTTGATTAAAAGGAAATGCTTTCACGACTGGAATGAAATCCTACATTACAACTGGAATGAAATCCTACATTTTCTCCAACTTTTAGATTATTACCCCATTGTTACGATTCCAGCAGGAGCCCGCAGCATTGAAATCCAGGAAATGCAGATGTCTAGCAGCTACCTTGCAGTGCGCAACTTGAGCAAAAAATATTACCTAACGAAAGACTGGACAATTGATTGGCCTGGGAAATTCTATTTTGCTGGGACCATGTTCGAGTATCAGCGCTCGTTTAGCCATCCAGAGAGGCTTTCTGCAACTGGGCCAACTAATGAGACACTCATATTTGAGGTAAGCTTTCTTTTCCTCATTCTTTTCTTGATGCAGACAAACTGAGCTTGGTGCAGCATCTGTCCAACAGGTTAAATCACACAAAAGAACACAAAGCCATGTTCCTGTTTAGGATTGTTAGCATAGTCATGCTGGAAGGTTTAAAAGCATGGTTAACAGAGGTATGAGACAATAGTCTTGGGTGTTCTAGAGAATATTGTTCCTGCCGGTCAGGGTGAGGGGTGGGGGTGTTTGCCCTCATTCATCTATTGCCTAAAGACTTGGGTAACTTCAGATGCTCCAGTGGGGGGGGGGGAGATCATGTGACAGCCTGAAGGCCACCATTCACTTCAGCAGTTCATATTGATGTTGAAGATGTTCTGATAGCTGTTTGAAAGATTACTGAACTATAATTGACATGAATTACTTTCAACGCTAAAGGCACAACCCTGTGCATCTTAACTTGGAAGTAAGTTCAACTGTATTCAGTGGTGATGGTGATTACAGCTACTACTACAGCTTCTTTTTCCTCCTCCTCCTCCTCTTCCTCCTCTTGCTACTACTAGCAAAATAAGTATATGGATGTTTAAAGTAGGCAGAACATGGGGAGTCATTTTGCAATGCTTCTTGATGTCAAAAGAATGCATTATGTATAGCTTGCTGATTGTGAATTTACAGAAGCCCATAAAAACAGATACAACTAAAACACAGCATCTCTCTAGTGGATTCCAAACTTAATCCTGCAAAAATAGGCAGATTCTGACTGGAGGGTGGAAAATAGACCAAAATGGTAGACGTATGATAGGACAATGATCACCTGGTATTGTAAATCAATGCCAGCTTTTAGCACATGGTTTTGGTAATGTGGATGAGTTGCCTTAAGTGGAGACATGCATATATTTTTTTTAAAAAATGTGTAATCCAGTTAAACGTTTAACACTAAAACGTTTTGTTAAAATTCCAGCATAGGTAATTTAAGGTCATCTGGTTTCAATTTATAAAACTTGTTTAAAGACTTAGATGGGAGGTGGATTGGCTTTGGGCAAAGAAGACCCCATTCCTGGTTCATCATTGCTTGCACTGTAGCTTAGCCTTAAAACTCAAGCCTTTGAAAAAAGACAATGAAGCCATGATCAATCTTAGGTCTGACCATGGATTCATTTTTGGGTTCAATTTCTGTTTTCCAATTTTCTAATTCTATGTGTGTGAATTATGTATCTAGAGATGAGCAAATCTGTCACTTTCAGTTTCTCTGCTTCTCATTTTCTCCAGTCTTATATTCAGTTCCCCACATTTACCTGTCAGTGTGCCAGGGGTGGGGGTGGGGGTGATGGCCTTATGAAATTCATCAGCATTTTACTGTGATTTTCTCTTAGTATTTAATTTATTATGCAATTTTGCCTAATATACACATTTTTGCAGAAACCCCCCTAATATACTGTATTTGTGTATGCTCTCCTTTACAGGTGTGTGCATTTGTATGCACACTTTACTTAACTGAATTGCCTTGTTCAGCTTGAGAAGCAAGTACATATTACTTGGCTAGAGAGCTGCATTGCAAAATTCAGAAAATTGCAAATTTTAAAAGATTGCTGTGTTTTGTTTCACATATTGATTCAGAAAATGCAAATTAGGTTGGTTCACCTTTAAATGTGAGCTGAATCAAATTCTTCCCCATCCCACCTTAGGCCTAAACTACTTGCCAAGCAGCATTCTGTGAATCTTCCAACTATGTGTTTTGTTTTGTAAACCCAAAGGAAGAGGGGGAAGATTGCTCTGAAGTAGGAGAAAGGCAGACTGAGAGTGATTAAGTAAAGATGTAAAGACCAAGTATCTTTCCCCTTGTGGGAGCAAAAAGCAGTTTGGGGTGGGTGATTTTGAGTTGGAGAATTTTCTTCAGTTCACATTAAAGTGAACTAACCTAATTTACAGTTTCTGGATTTATATGCAGATTAGAATGCAGTTAACAATTGGATTGCAGACATCTCCAACCTTTGTGATACCATTTCTGTTTGAAAATGAATATGAAAATGTATATTTTATGGATGAAATGTGTACTCAAATGGATATTTTAGGCAGAATGCATAGGGAAGCATACAAAGTTACGTATTTTAAGGGTGAAATTCATGCAAAATGTGCACAAAGTGCCTATTGTAGAGAATAGTGTGTATTAAAATATGTGTAATTTAAGTGTGTGTGTGTGTCCAGAAAATGGGATGGAACAGACTCGGGACTGAACATTTGTAAAGTTGATATGGAACAGAAATAGACTGATAGGCCCATCCCTATTTTTGAGCTAAAAAATACCAGGAGGGGAAAGAGTTAAGCAGCCTCTCCCAATTTGCTTTGCTTCCACTAGGAGGAAGCTTGCTCCAGGCTGATTTGGATTATAAATAAAATCAAATTCTGAGCAAAGAGTCCCGAGCTTAATGCATAGTTTCAACCTCAGATTTCAAGTCTGATAGCTTGACCTATATCAGTTTCTCCAGGCACTCGAGCAACAATCAGTAATAACATTAATCTGATAACAAAACCACCTGCTTCCATCTTTTGAAATGGTCTGCCATGTGTGAAAACTTTAAGAAGGTTTAGGTTAAAAAAGAAGATTATGACCTGTCACAATATAAATGGGAATATGGCAACCTTCAACAAAACTGTCTCGTATTGAATGAGAGAATTACCAAACTGTCATAGAACTGGATAAGTTTATCTCCACTGCAACCTGTAAGAAAGGGATGGGACATTAAACAAAGTGGCAATCATTCACTCAGGGTGGAAAGAGAAAAGAGACAAGGCAAAAGGGAACCTACTATCAATACAGGAAAAGATGTCTAATTAAAATCGATAAATCATTTCTTCCCCTCTTTGGTGATGGGAAAATGAAAAAAAGGAAGCCAGGTGGAAGGACTTTGCTGATAATTTAGGTTAGCAGTCACTGGGTGAAAGCCAGCTTGGAGTTTGAAAGCCTTGCTTTTATTATTAGCTACTAGATGATAATTTAGCTCTGATTTCCCCTAAAGAGAGTGTGTGTTGGACAAAGCAAAGCCTGGCTTATGAGATACAGATGTAAATTCAATGTAAGGGATAAAAGGGTTCTGCTTAAGTGAAAAAGATTAGATGGGCTCTATCCTTTAAATGGGTGCCTTTTGCACATGATGTTTACAAAAGAAGAGGGAGCGAGAAATATATACCATGACAAATATAAGCCAGCTGAAGAAGAAATGAGATCATAGGAGGACCTTTCAAAGGCTACCTTTTCCTGTCAATGCCCTCAGTGGGCTTGTGTGAACTCTCCATTTTTCATGTCACTTTTAAGATTTGCTTTCTAAATGCCCTCTAGAAATAGCAAGGCACATAAAACTTCCCTATCTTCGATTTCAAGATTTTTCTCAGTACACGCAAGTTAGAGTTGCCCACCCTAAAGTCTCTCTGAGTGTGTTTTACAGTCATTCTGAAAAGACCCTCAGTAAGAAGTCTGCATTTTCTCCTGTGGACAAGATCCATTTGTAGCACTCTGGTTGCATAATGGACTTCCACTAGTGCAGCCCATCAGGGCTAGTAGCCATTGACAGCCTTATCCTCCTTCTGGAGTTTGTTCTAGGAAGGAGCTGATACACACACACACACACACACACACACACTTTCTGTTGCTCCAGAGTGTAGCTTCTGGATCAGTGTCCAGAAGAGGGTGACCAAGATAGTGAGTTCTCTAGAAACAAAATCCTATGAGAAATGGTTGAAAGAGTTGGGTATGTTTAACCTGGAGAAGAGGTTAAACATAATGATGAACATCCTGCTTGTATGAACTGTTTGACAGTGGAGCAGATTGGCTCAGGAGGTAATTTACTCAACTTCATTAGAGGATGTTAAGTAGAGGCTGGATAGCCACCTATCAGGATACTGTAGCATTAGACTTCCTGTATTAAATATTAGTGGCTGGTGCTCACTGGTACTGGTTAAAGCAAAAGGCAAGATGGCCAGTAGTAGATGGAGACAGAGTCAATGCTAGGCAGAAGCAACTAATTCTAGTTTTGTCCCCAGCCTCTTCCATGACTTTTGAGATCCATCCCAACTTTATGATTCTACTTTATGAATCTATAACCACAGTGTCACTTTAAGCAGACCCAAACAGTTGGTACATGATGCGGGTGGCGCTGTGGTCTAAACCACTGAGCCTCTTGGGCTTCCCAATCAAAAGGTTGGCAGTTTGAATCCCTGCAATGGGGTGAGCTCCCATTTCTCCTGCCAACCTAGCAGTTCAAAAGCACGCCAGTGCTAGTAGATAAATAGGTACTGCTGTGGTGGGAAGGTAAATGGCATTTCCATGCGCTCTGGTTTCCGTCACAGTGTTCGTTGTGCCAGAAGCGGTTTAGTTATGCTGACCACATGACCCAGAAAGCTGTCTGTGGACAAACGCCGGCTCCCTCGGCCTGAAAGTGAGATGAGTGCCACAGTCCCATAGTCGCATTTGACTAGACTTAACCATCCAGGGGTCCTTTACCTTTACCTTTTACGTGCCATTCCATATTTGCTAGCTGAGCAAATCTTTAAAACATCCATTGAGTATAATTCAAGGTAATTAATTGCAAGTAAGTACTAATTGCCAGATGCATGTTTACAGCCTAAAATCTCCCTAGGAAGTTTGATGACCTAAAGGAAGTGTTGATGTACATTTACAAGGAATTGCTTCAATGATCCACAAATGTACATAGTCATTTACACATCAGTAATAGCCAAGGGAAGGAAGGGAAACCAAGACAGAGAAATAGATGCACAGCTGGTTAAGAATATTTATTGTTTTTACTTTGAAATAAAAATTAACAGGAAAAGAAAAGGGCTGTTTGTGCAAGAGAGTTCAATTTGTCCATTGTTTCAATTTTTTTATGCCCTAAGCAAAAGTTTTGCTCTTCCGAATAGTTCTGGCAGATATTAGCCATTGAACTTGTGTTTTTTTCAACGTACAAAGTTGTAAATTTTATAACTCTGCGCCCTGCGGTCAAAGCTGCTGAGTGTTGTGTCTGAAGTCAGGTGGTTGGTGTGTTAAAGGTAGACATTAAACAGTTCTGTGGAAGACCTGGAAATGTTTAAGGAGGTTGTTTGCCAGCTGTAAATTTGGGAGCAAACGCCAATTGGCAGGGAAGTCTCTGGAATGTGTCCAGTTAAGTAGACTGAAGCACTGGAGGTCTTTCCAAATTTGTAGTTTTAATAATATGCTGCTGCTCACTGACTTCAGATATTGGATTCCCATGGAAAAGCTTTCTAAGTGAATGCTTGACACTATTCTAGGAAGAGATAATGTTTTATATTCTACAAGTTCTTGTCACTTTGAAAAATGACAAGCTGAGAATAGCTCTGCCTTGATAATGGAAAATAAATAGTATCCTTAAATAAATATTATATGGTATTGTAAGCTTAGACTATTTACTCTGCAGCTATGCAGTGCTTGATCCACTGTTAATATCAGAAATGGAGAGCCTGTGGCCCTCCAGATGTTGTCAGGATCTCACACCCAACAGCCCCAACAATCATGGCTGTAAGACTGTGTCTTAAGAGCATGCCATAAATTGAAGTCAGCCCTGATCAAGTGTAGCACTTGCACATTACCAGAGATATTGCAGAGAGCAGTAGGGGACATGTAATATACATTAATTTTGTATGTAAGGACATATGCTACCTATTTCTGTAGCCATTTTTTGTGCTTGTGTGCTGTGTGTGCAGGTGGGGCTCCTCTCCAAAATGTACACTTTTCTTGCATACCTCAAGGTTCTCACACTCATTTTAAGTTTATGCAGGATTTGCTGTTTCATTCATAGCACATTCACACATGCCTTACTTTTAAGAGGAGTGTAATTGTATTCTATTAGTGGCAGTGAATTCTTTCTTGCTGATTAGTGGAGGTAGTTTGGTGGCAGGAAATGTTCAGTTACTCAGAGGAGCAGTTTGCTATCTAGTTCTGTGAGGGAAATGAAAGTTGTCAGCTTGGATGGGATGGCTGAGGACTGGGAAGAGATAGTGGATGGGGAGGAAAGCTAAGGAAAGATGATCCAAAGGTAAGAGGATGAAGGAAGGATACACAGTTGGTAATGGACTCAGGAAGACATTGACAAAATGGAGTGGTGTCCAGAAGAGGGTGACTGGGATGGTCAGTGGTCTGTAAACTAAGTCCACTGAGAAATGGTTGAAAGAATTGGCTACATTTAGCCTGGAGAAGAGAAGAATAAGGAGGGGCGTGATAATGATACTCAAATATCAGAAGGACTTTCACACAGAAAATGGAGTAGGTATGTTCTGCTTGTTTTAAAGAGCAGGACTAGAACCAGTAGCTGGAAATTTCAGGGAAGCATATCTCAGCTAAACATTAGGAGAAACTTTCTAATAATAAGAACCATTAAACAACTGTCTGCCTCAGGAGGTGGTGAGCTCTCCTTTACTGGAGATATTTAAGCAGAATCTGGACAGCCATCTGTCAGGGATGCTGTAATTGCACCCTGTATTGCAGGTCCTGCATGGAGCAGGGGATTGCATTAGGTCTAAGGTCCCTTCCAATTCCGTGATAGTTGTATCTGTGTATCATTGCAACTTCTTACAATTTCTTCCCTTTCTCTCTCTCTTGCACATGTGCACAATGCGCATGTGCTTGCTGTCTGTCTGGGTGGTGCAAAAGGGAGGCTGATTATACCCCTGGTCTCCATAAAATCTCATACATTATTTTACATTTGCCTGATATTAGGTGTTTCCTCAACCCTGGGTCTTGCAATAAAGCAGAGAGCCAAGCTATTAGTTTTGCTGGATATATATATATCTGGAGTAAGCCATATATTTCCGGTTTGGATCTCTACCAGAATTTGTGGACTGAAATAGAATCTGGCTAATGGGACTGGAAAATATATCATCCTTTTCTCTGTCTCCTCTCCCTCCTCACAACAGGCACACTTTTCTATAACAGTAAATAATAGTGAGCTACCCAGATTTTTTACATGTTCGGTGTTAATGGACTGAATATGCAAATTTATTTTACTGTTTTTCACTATCATAACTCATTGCTTCTCTCCTTTACCTATTCCCCTAGGTGTACATTTTCTGAAGAGCTAATATCCACTTCTCTGCCTTGAAAAACATTAATTGTATATACTTGGGATTTTTAAAAATGTAACCTTTACTGCTGATTTTTCATAAGCCTTTCTCCACACCTGCTCCAATTTAGATTCCGTATCCATTCATAGATTTAATCCAAGCAGGACTGGTTTGATATTGGCAAGCCACTGCAATACCCTTCAGGCTTTGTTAAAATGGAGAAGTTACCCAAGATTCCAAAATACATGTGGAGCCTCCACAGATATATAATAACACATAGGGAATACACAGGGAAGGGCTGTAGCTCAGTGGTGGGGCATGTGCTTTGCATGCAGAAGGCCTCAGGTTCAATCCCCAGCATCTCCAGGTAGGGATGGTTGAGAACCCTGCCTGAAATACTGGAGAGCCATTGTCAGTCAATGTAGACAATAGATGGACACTGTAGATGGACCAGTGGTCTAACTTGGCATATAATGCACCTTTCTATGTTCCTAACATAGGGCACTGACTTATACTGAATCAGACTATTGGTCCACATAGATCAGTATTGTCTACTAAACTGCCAATTTCTCTCTCCATTGGGAATTTCAGCTGGGGCTGATGAGAATTGGGAGTTCAGTGTATGGAGGACACCACATTGGCTATCCTTGGGCTACATTGTCTAGCAGCAGCTCACCAGGGCTTCAGACAGGAATCCTTTCCTGCCATACCTGAAGATGTTGGAGATTGAATTTGGGCCACCCTGCATACTTGTAGAGACGTTGCAGTCCTAAACTACTCAGAAGTAAACCCCAATTGAGTTCAATGGGATTTACTCCTGGGTAAGTGAGGTAGGTTAGTCTACGAGATGGTGACTGGCCCAAGGTCACCCAGTGAGCTTCATGGCCAAGTGGGGATTTGAACCCTGCACTCCCAGGTCCTAGTCAAACACTCTAACCATTATGCCATGCTGACATAGGGATCTGCACATTCCTAGTTTGAATAAAAATAGAATTCGTTGTAAGCCTTTATGAACCTTGCTTTATTTATTCCATCTTTTGAATTAATGCAGCCAAAGTCTCAGAAACTGCTTCTGCAAGGTACAATAGAATTTACCTCCAACAGCAACCCTTCCTTGAGTTTGCAGTTATCTGAACTGAAGCAGATGGTTTTTAGTAATTGGCCATTGGCCTGTTCAGAATCAGCAACAGTGTAAAATTAAATGGCCCATGATGGAAAAGACAGACTTTTCTACACACACACACACACACATGCACACACACATTTTGACTGTACAGTATTGAGGACTTATGAGCTAGGGGACCTGAGTTTCTTTCTTTCTTATTCATGTCTTCTACCCTTCCTCCCAGGAGTCCAGAGCAATACACTGCATTATCTCCTTTTATTCATGCTAAATCCTCATGATGAGGGTTACATAAAGGTCGAGTTGTCACTGAGGTGGTAAACTGGACTGTTCCTTCTTCAACTGAAAGTTGGTGCTCATTCCCACTCTAGCAAATGGAAGAAGTCCTGGTGTGTGTGTACTTTTCTCTTTAGTGTGAAAGGAATCTCCTATGAAAATGATTAATATATGGGACTTACCTGGGTACCCTTTGCAGGTAAGGATCTTCAGATACACATTAGAACCACAGCAGATCAGGGTGATTCTGTTATATCTTTAACTGCATATTTTAGGCACAGTCTTAAAGGCATCTGCTTCCTGGTAAATCTTGTGGTATTCAGCTGGGCTTTCACCCAGGTAAGCTTCCCTGAGACTGCAGCCTTAACCTTTCTTTTCCCTTCATTCTTCATAATGTATTTCTCTCTCCATGCTGTCTAGATCCTTTTACAAGGCAACAATCCTGGCATTGCTTGGCAATATACCTTCTCTAAGATTATAAATGAGAACAAGATATTCACAAAAAGACACAGCTACTCATGGGTAACAGTGCAGTCAGATTGCTCAGCTACGTGTGGCGGGGGTGAGTAACTTACTCCAAAAGTCTGAATTCAATGAATATGTCAAAATGTCATGAAATATAGTTTCCAGCATTATTATTTTTTTAATATTGAATAATACATTTGAGTAGGGGCTTCTGATTTCAGGAATCCTGGTTGATAAACTGAATTTCAGTTGATTGAATGTGAACAATACATTATTGCTTCTGATTTCCCTTTCTTTAGTCTGTTGTCGTTTATAGGTCTTTGTGTTATTAATTTGTTGCTTTTATTTATATTTACATATATACTAGACTTTCCATACCTACTAAACACAAAATATCTTGCAATTTAAAATAAAGAGAGCATAAGGGGCTGGATTCAATTAAATAATTGTGCTTACAAGTGTCAGCATAACAGCATCCTTCTAGCTCAGTGGGGCTTTCCTCCTTCTCTCCCCCATATCTGTGCCCCCATGTTTCCTCCTTCTCTCCCCCATATCTGTGCCCCCATGACCCCCATCAGTTCTGAGGGTGAGAAAAAAAAAAAACCCTGGACAGAGAGGAGATAAGTTTGTATTAGTGCAATTCCACTGCATTATTAGGTCACATTTCATCAATTCTTAACTTCTTCTTCTTCTTCTTCTTCTTCTTCTTCTTTCATTTATCAGTCACATTTTTTTTCATACCAACTCAACAAACAAACAAACAAACAAACAAACAAAAAACTACATTAAAACATCCCAACCATGCAAAAAGGCCATAGATAGTTAAAAACCAAAGGCTTGGTTAAAAACAAACATTTTTGCCTGACACACAAAGGCAATGGTATAGGATAGCCATTGTTAATACAGCACTGCTCTGAGCACTATTGTAAAGGTTTCTGTTACTTATTCTCTATTATCTATCCCCAGTTTTCTTCATTGTCTTTGTTTTCCATGACTTTTTCATATTTTGTCTGCCATTTCATGGATCAATTTTCCCAATATTTTCCTTTTATATTCTCCATTATTTCTGGCCTTGTGCTATCTAGATTTTTAAACCCCATTCTTTCCTTTTGTCTCTGAATTTCCTTCTCTTTCTTGCCATCTCACGTTTCTTATCCGTCTTCTTACATTTCTGATCATATCTTTTCTTCAAAAAGATCTGAATTCATGCCTTAATTGTTTCCAAAGATAAACTTGCTTGAGATAGTGTCTCCTCCCTGTGACCCTATTCCCCTTCTTTTTCCTGCCATCTTCAAGAAAGCTACAGTACATTATTGTTTAGTCATTCCCCCCCACCTCCAACTTCAATGAATTAAATAATCCAACACAGGCTCCCCTTCTTTTTAACGAAACCTCAAAAACCTTATTCAGTGGTTCGATTCCTTCAAAATCTTCAAATTAATTGTAACTATGCAACATTTAAAATTATACTGAAAAATATCAACACACATTGTGAGAATTCCTCTGACTCATGTTTAAAAACCAGTAAGAATGCTTTGTAACATTAATAACACTAATGCTTGTATCCAACATTAAGACCTAAGCTAGTCATGCCAATTTATTTATTAGAGCTCAAGGTGGTGGCATTTTCATCTGAGGGTCACATTCCCTCATGGAGAACCTTCTGGGGGCTGCATGCCAGTGATGGGGAGGGGGAAGGTTGAGAGGCAAATTGCCTGATGAACTACAGTGCTATGTTCAGTTACTTTTTCATTTCTACAATAACTTCTTTCTCTCCTACATCTTTTTTTTATTTCTCTTGGTTTTCTCCATAGGGCACTTGATAGTGAAAGCTGTATGTTTACAAGATCATCGTGTCCGTGTCAATGCCTCTTTCTGTGGCCCAAGCACAAAGCCCTTGACAGAGACAAAGATATGCAATGCAAATCCTTGCCCAGCCTAGTATGTATTATGAATTTATCGTCCCTTCCCATTTCTTTTATGGGTCTTTGTGTTTGAGTCTAAATTCACAAATCTGTAGAATAAACCTATTTTGCTTCCTAGATAGATGATTCCAAACCCTCCTCTATAAAACTTGGAAGAGTTTGAATTGTATGGGACTAGGGATGGGGCAATAATTTGAACCCTTCCTCAAATTAGTGCAACAGGATCAAAGCAGACCCATTCCAGCTCAATTCTGCTTCCACCCCCAACCTGGAAAAAGCCTATGAGTGCAAATAGCAGGAGACAATAGGCTTGTTCACATGTTACACTGAACACAGATACAAGGTATCTCTACACATGTACATTGTGTGGAAGTGTTTAAGTTTGTTAATTGGTACACATACTATGCACTTGGTGACTGTTACATGTAAATAACTGTGTGAGTGTACATCTCAACTATTTGTGCACACAGGTATGTAGATTGTACGTACTCACTGAATGTAACATGTGAACACTGCTATGAACATCCCAGTGCCTTGAGGATGAATATGGTTTGAGTAAGGGATTGAGTATGGGATCCTCTAAGAGCTGCTGGGGGGACAACTACAATTGCGGGACAATAAGTGGGGAAGAACAGCCAGAATAATGGAGCCAAAACGTAATGTGAATGAAAGTAAGTGTGTTTAGCCTAGAGCAGTGCTCTTTAGCCTTGGATCTCCAGGTGTTGTTGGACTACAACTCTCATTATCCCCAGTCAGCTTAGCCAATATAGATGGATGATGGGAGTTGTAGTCCAATAACATCTGGAGACCCAAGGTTAAAGAACAAAGAAGATGAAAGACAGGTATGCTGTCTGATTTCAAATGTGAATCACATAAAAATTGTTTTAATGAAAAAAAAGTTCTACCAATTCTTCATCCTGTTTCCAACAGCAGCCAGCCAGATGCCTGTGGTAGCTCATATTTGTGCATGAATGTGATAAGCATCTTCTTTCTTTATTTTTTCTCAGCATCTGGTATTTAGAGAGATACTGCTTCTGTTAGTAAAGATTATATCTTCCCAATATTTAAGCCATTTATAGACTTACCTTCTTAGTGAAAGGGATATAAGAAAGAAAGGGAACCACAGATGGGGAAGCTCATCTGTTAACCAAATCTGTCCAATTCAGAGGAGCAAATGAATATATACTGCATTGGTATCCATAACAGCATCCATTAAAACATTATTAAAATGTCAATAAAAACTCATTGGTTTCTAGGCACTTCTGTATTCTTCTGTGCTATTAGAAATGTGGGCATTGCTATGGTTGTATGATGGTTGTGTCTTCAGAGCTGGGAAGGAATTTTCCCTGCTCTGCATGTTTTGCTTTTCCCATAGCAATTGTCACAACTTTGGCGGTTTAGGCCTTGGGTGGAATCCTTTAGTCTGACATCTGAAGTTGAGGTGAAGTGATGACTCACTCGCTTCCTGAGGCAGCGATAACAGGGTAACCCATTAGAGGAGCCTCTGTCCAAAGCACATGGCAGAAGTGCCATACAGCTCCCCTCAGCGATTTGGGGTGGGACCAGCTGGGCTAACAAGTGTTTTCTGTTGGTTCCACCTTCCCCTAACTGACCCTGACATGTCTCAGACCCCCAACAGGGAGCTGAGAGGGATACACACCCAGTGCCTGTGCCAAGGTTTACCTACACCTGAATTCAATAAAGTTGACATTATCATGTCTTTTCCTTTTATGAAGGCCTGGCCTCCAGGGCAGGGGTGCTGCATCTGGGTATGCAAATATGCACCTATTTGCTGTGCAATTCAATTTGTCCAGTGCACAATTTAATAAGTTTTACATAAACCATAATTTTTCACCCACGGAGTAAAATCTTATGAAGAAGTGTGTGGGTGTTTTCCTCCATGGTGATGATGATATATCACCACACAAATATACTGCATAAGATCGGAAAGGAAATTATAGCTGAACCACAAGAAGGCAGAGATAAAGTTTAATTGGAGTAACATAGCGTGTGACAGCTTCTGCAATTTCATTGCCTAGCCCTGAGCCCCAACATTGTCTGAAAACTAATTTGAAGTAACCTCCCCTCACCAAACAATCTGTTTTGCATGTGACTAATCTTCTGCCAAGTGTTATTTCTGTACCCATAGGCTCTACTTCTTGCAGACAGAAAAGTCTTCCATTACGTTTCCTTCAGCTTTCTCCGGTTTGTTTGTATTTGCCTTTTAATTGTGGCTGGCAACTTCTAAAACGTAGCATTTATTTTAATCGCCAGAAAAAGCCACACAAGTAGCTATCATCATTGCATGCCTCGACTCTGACGGGAAACTCTGTGTGCACTTTGAATATGGGTGTGTAGATCCTAAATGTTGAGTTTGCCTTTAGCTCTGGCTCCACCAATTCTTGATCACTTTGCCTTCCACGCTACCAGTTTCAATGTCTCAGACCATGTACCTGCTAGTCACAAAGAAAACAAAGCTCCCACAGCAGCCAATGGTAGCTTTCCTCCCATTGTGAGGAAATTCATCTGCTAGTTGGTAGCTTCTAAATCTTCCATACTCTAATTACAGGATGGTTTAATTTAGCAAGATATTTCTTTCTTCCTTTATTTGAAAGATGAGTTGAGATTGGTGAGAGCCTTTGTGGTATAGCGGCTGTTATGCTGGATTTAGACCCAGGGAGACTCATGTTTTTAATGTTCACTTGATGATACTCAAACACAGGTCAGCGATAGACTAGCCACAGTGACTCATGCATTTTGTCATTCAATGCATTCCTCAAGATTCAGTTAATGCAAAGTGCTCCACTCAAGGGTGGTTCGAAAGCTGCAGCTAATGCAGGATGTAGTGGTCAGGCTGCTAAGTGCAGCCGCCTACCATGAACATATAATATCATTTCCAAATGAATTGCAATGGCTACCAGTTGGCTACTGAACCAAATTTAAGATTTTGCTGTTTGGTCTGGGGAGGACCTGCCAATGCTAGGAGAATGAACAATGGCCAATGTTACGTTCAGATTTGTTCAAATTAGAGTAGATATAGCCTGTGAATAAGGAATTATACAAATGGGGTAAAATTCAAAGCAAAAGAGGAAGGAGGAGAAAGTGTGTGTGGCAGGAGGTGTGTGAAAAGCAGTAATATATGGAGAGAGAGATTGAGAGAGAGAGAGAGAGAGAGAGAGAGAGAGGGGTCAACCCCAATCTGATGGGAATTACCTCAAGTTTAATCAGAAATGTTAACTGCCCATTATGTTTTTGATAATCCTCCTACTGGGGGAGAAATATGACTACTTATAATACTCCAACTGAGGATCAGACTAAATATATGTATTTCTATCTTTCCTGCCATTATAGTTTTTCTCATAATGTTGTATATCAACATCCTTTGAGGCTGTAGCATCCCATTTAAGTACTCCAAACAATGAATGTATAGGGGATTGCTGCTACTTTCTGGTTCCTTGATGGAACATTTTAGTAGGTGTGTTCACTGAAGAAAGGTACAATCTGTCTCTACACATGTACAAGTGTTTATGTGAAAGAGTGTACACTTGTTGATTTGAGTACAAGTGTACTTGAGTACAGCTCCACTCTTGTGTTCACAGGTGCACAGATTATACATTCATTGAACATTACAAGTGAATAATTGTATAAGTATCCAGCTCAACTGTTTGTGTACACAAGTAGACAGATTGTACACTCATTGAATATAACATGTGAACCCCCTAGTAGCTGCAATCATAGCTGATATAGAAATGTCTCCTTTATTTTGAGCTCATTGTCTGATTCTTGGCTATCTAGTCAACACATGCATTCTTTCTTGAAGTTGGTCAGCAGGTGAATGGAGTGTTTGCAGCCAGTCTTGTGGTGGAGGGCAACAAAGTCGTCCAATCCAGTGTGTCCAGAAAAAGGCTTTTCAGAAGGAGGACATTGTGGCCCATGCTCTCTGCCCAGTAACCACACCAGCACAAATCCAGGCATGTAACCATCAAGACTGTCCACCAGAATGGAGTCCTGGTCCATGGTCTCAGGTAATGAAAAGAAAAGGCTAGCATTATTTTGCCCTGTATTTATTATAGGTAAGAACATAAGAAGAGCCCTGCTGGATCTCCATCTTCTTTAGCATCCTGTTTCTAACCGTGGCCAGGAAGATGCTTCCATGAAGCTCACCAGAAGAGCAATGAAGGCAGTAGCCCTCCCCACTGCTGTCCCATAGTAATTGGTATTCATTCACCATAAGGGAAGACCTAACATTAGTTTGTGGGGAACCTTTTATGGCTGGAGGCCAGACCTTTATTTCTTGACTCCTGCCAGGCCAAATTTGACAGATGGGTGAAGTCTGTGCATTTCAGTATCCTGATTGTTGGGACAGTGCTGGGATGTTCAAAATCCCTTTTGCAAACAGCATGGTGCTTTTTAAATATCTGAAACCTGGATCTTCAAAGAACAGCTGGGTGCTGCTTCTTTGACCCTCTGGTGGGCTTGTTTGCTTTCTCACCAAATCTCCCAAGACAGCACCAAAAGCAAGGTCTCTGAAAATTGATCTTAATTCCTGGACCAGCAAGCATGGAAGCATGTCTAGAGAAGCTATGAAGAAGTGCTCCTACATATGTGACCTGCTTTCATGTTGTCAGAGGTGGTTTTAGGATAGCCCAGCTGGTTTGGCTGCACTGGGTGCCACTCTGCAAGTGGCTCCACAATAATGATATAGAACAGAGCATGAGAGGTGGTGGGGTGCCGAATTTTAGCATCGCACAGGGCACCCCTGAAATGTGAGCATTCAGAGACTGCCACTGGTGATGTGGATGAGGTCAGCGCACATGCCAGTGGTGGGTGGGGCCAGAGGCAAAAGGGAGAGGAGCAACAAGTGCAAATATGCTTTTGTACTGTAGGCTTCTTTCTACACACTCTGTCACAGCCTCTCTATGCTCCATCCAGACAAGCAGGAGGCATTGTCAGAGTTCAATGACATATTCCAACCAGGGAGAAAAACAACACTCAGGGTGCAAAGCAAGACCATTGAGACATGTGGTCTTGTGAGAATACTGAGGTCTAGATAGAAGGATGGAGGGTTGCATTCAGCTCCTGATCCTCAAGTTGTCCACCTCTGGCTTAAGATGTTCAGTTGGAGTAGAGCGAAGACGCATTTAGGGAAAGATATTTCTTATCTCATCAATTTGCATACATTAACCCCCCACCCCCCACTAATCAGGCGTCCAGTGTAACATGTTTTTTGATAAACCCAGGATGACTGATGTCTTCTTCTTTTTGATAAGGTATCATTCCAAGCAGCTGAAAATCCTGGTACAGTTTTTTGTTGTTGTTTAAAAAGCCCTGCACTTAGAAGTAGAGTTGGTAGCTTAGGGCCTCGGGCAAATTCCAATATATGCAATATATGCACACACCCCTGCTTCAGAAAGATGTGGGGTGTCTGAGAGCTTTTATTCTGAAGTGAAACACATATACTTGTAATGTTGCCAAGGGAGACATATCACAATTTTTTATTTAAGTGAATGTGCTGGTGCAAAAGCATTCTAATCTAAAGATTACATTGTAGCTGCGAGAAAAAATACTTTTCTTTGTTCAACTCACATTATGGGAAATGGATGCATTTATTTTTTCCTAATCATGTTGCCTACCTAATAGTACTGGGTTGTAGTGGTAATACTACTAGTAGTAGTGTGATTGTGGAGGCCATCTAATGTATCCCCACCTTACTCAGTGCAGGATTCAGTTACATTCTTCCCTGGCACATGACTGTCCAGCCTTTGATTAAACATCTCTGGTGAAGGAGAGCCAAACAGCTTTTATCATTATTTTATCTCATAACATTTAGTCAAAATTTATGCAATTTACACTAATTAGTTTTACTCCTGCCTAATTAGAGAGAGCAATCTAGAATGGCATGTTACAGTTTCGCCCATTGAGAAATGGCTAGCAACAGCTGTTTCCTTTACTTTACTTTCCTACTTTGGATTGGGTTTAGGTTCCTGAAGGGTGAGGCCAGTGTCCCTTGGCACAGTGTCATCCAAATATGAGTCTCCTAAGGGTATGTTAGGACCTCTTGGGGGTTTGCCATAGTGGTGCTGGTGATTCTATATTGCAACCACTTTTCCCCCAAACAGAAGACAATGACCAACTTCTGAGACATTTCGGGGGGCAGGCAGGTAACAACCAATCCAAACCATGACTGGTAAGAGAGTTTGGTGGTGTTTTTATTTTTTTTAAGAAGAGAGTCAAGGGCAGGTGTCAGTGGTGAGATGTCACATGGCACTGGGGCCCTAGCCATTATCCAAATATGTTGGTTGCTGACATGCCCCGGAAGGTGACAATTAAATGAATTACCTGAGCATTGTCCAAAGGCACTTGATGCAGCCAACATACTATGGGATGGGCCACCACCAGCCTGGAACCTCATGAATACTGCCGTGAATTCCAGGATGGGGTTGAGAACCATTTTATTTGTTGTACTACTTTGGCATTTGTTGCTGTTTAGTTGTTTAGTCGTGTCCTACTCTTCGTGACCCCATGGGACATAGTAGTGTCTATTTAAAGTCTTTAACATCCAACTTTCTCAAATTCCCATAAAGTGTTCCAAAACTTGTGGAAGAGGACTTGCAAAACGAGATGTCGTCTGCAAAAGTGTAGGGACTTCCACACTGAAAATCCTGCCGGAGAATATGTGCAGCAGTCAAACAAAGCCAGAAATGCAGCAGACGTGTGTGTTGGAACGGTGCCCCAAAAACGATCGTCTACAATGGGTGATTTCTGCTTGGAGTGAGGTACAACAACCAACATGCTCTACAGGACTTAGATAGCCATAGGGTGATATTTGAAAATCAAATGATGTTATATTCAAAGGAGTGTCAGGCTTCATTGGTCAGACAATATCTGTTGTTAATAATGCAAAAGTTAATAATGCCCCTTTGTCACTGGACTTTATGAAGAGACGTTTGTCTCCTTGTTTGGAGCTGTGAGGGGAGATAGTTGATACAGGCCCACCCACTGTGGGGCATGTGGACCTATAGCAGGGATGTATAACCATTAATTTTTTTCAGCCGAAGGGCCACCTTCTGACATTCAAAATGCACAAAATGCTGAAAGAGGAAGTGGGAAAGAGTCACTCTTCCAACGTTTTCCTTCAGCTCTCTCTGTATATTTCAAGGGAGAAAAAGCTAGCCACACTCACCACCTCATGGCCAAGAGAATAGTGGGCTTAGTGGCTTTGTGGGCATCAGAGGAAGACCTGAAGGTTGCCATTGTGCCAATAGGCACTAATTTGATGGCTCCTAGCTTAACTCTCCGAATGAAACTCCATTATCCAATCAGTATCTTTTAAATAAATTTTCTGTGTGTACTTTGTTGTCCCCTGTTAGGAATAGTGGTGGTGGTGGGGCATTTGATTCAGTTTGTATTTAAAGGCAAAGTTTCCAAGTCCACATTTTCCAAAACAACATGCAAACCTAAACAAGACATCCTTCAAAATTCACACTTCTCCACATTTTGCAGTGCATTTATGCATCCAAGGAATGCACATGTTTACCTCAGAGATATTGTAGGTTCAGTTTCCGACCACAACAATAAAGTTAGTACTGCAATAAAGTGAGTCACACACACGCACACAGAAATTGTTTATTTCCCAGTGTGCATTAAAATTATGTTTAGATGATGCTGTGTGAAATACCATTATGTTGTTGTTGTTTTTAAAAATGTACATACCTTGATTAACACATACTTTATGGATAAAAAATCCTAACCATCACCTGAGCCTTCAGCTAGATGTAATCTTTTTGCTCACGGAAGGTCATGCCTCAGCGTCGATGGCTGCTGATGGATCAGGTGGTGGTTGCTGAAGGTTGGGGTGGCTGTGACAGTTTCTTAAAATAAGTAGCTTGATGGCTACCCTGAGAAAACACGCTTAGCCTTCCCCCAGGCCTCTCTGGCTACAGAAGTGGGTGGGCTTTACTCCTAGCCAGTTCCACTGCAATGGCCAGAAGAGGGGAAGCAGGGTGGGGAACTTCCTTCCCCTGGAAATGGTTGGGCTGCCTGTTGCTGCACTCACATTCTCGTAAGGAGCAGCTGGAGCACGTGGGGGATAGGGTCCTGCAGCCTCACCACCAACCCAGCAGCAGCAGCAGCAGCTGTTGTTCCTCCAGTCCTTAAATTTGTAAAAAATGCAATTATCTGCAAAGTGCAATAAAGTGAGGCATACCTGTATATAAAAATGCATATACTACTGTAATGTCTGCTTATAAATGAATATATTACATATAAAAATGCATTATATTAGGGGAAAGTGCTTGCAAAATATTAGGCAAAAGTGCCTACAGTAAAGTGTATATTAGAAGAATTTCATACTAAAACACTGATGAGTTTTATGAGGACGTTTTTATTTTCTAAAATGCAAATTGATGTGGAGAAAATTAGTCTGGAAAAATGAGAAAAGGAGAGGAACTGAAAGTGATATATTCTCCCTTTCCTACCCATAGTGCTCTGCCACCTGTGGCCCAGGTGTGAAGCGGCGAGAAATGCAGTGCAGTGAGAAAAGTATCAGTGGTAAACTGATCACTTTCCCACAGCGCCGTTGCCGAAACCTTATGAAGCCAAACATCGAACTGGAGGAAGGCTGCAATAGAGGAGCATGTCCTCTGCACCATTTATACCACAGGGTGCCAGGGTGGTATTCTTCACCTTGGCAACAGGTGAGAGAAGAGGCTCCATATGGAGATCTAAATCAGTCATTTCTACCATGTTTCATAATGTTTGTTATCACCAAGTGCTTCCCTTTCGCTAGTTTAGGGAAAGGGAACTTTTAAAGCCTGAGGGCCACATCTCCCTCTGGGCAACCTTCTGGAGGCCAAGTGACAATGGTGGGTGTGGCAGAGGCAAATTAGGCAAACAAAAAAATGCATATTTTGCCTTTGCACAGTAGACTAGTTTCTTCAGACTTGCACATCTCTTTCTATCCTCCATCCAAGCAAACAAGGAAGCATTCTCAGAGTAGAAGAGCATATGCCTGTCAGGCAAAAACACTCAAGCAAAGCAGGGCTGGTGTGGAATATGCCCCAGGAGAGTCCCAAGGGCCACAGATAAAGGTCTAGAGCAGGGGTAGGCAACCTAAGGCCCGGGGGCCGGATGCGGCCCAGTCGCCTTCTAAATCCAGCCCATGGACGGTCCGGGAACCAGCGTGTTTTTACATGAGTAGAATGTGTCCTTTTATTTAAAATGCATCTCTGGATTATTTGCGGGGCATAGAAATTCGTTCATATTTTTTTTCAAAATATAGTCCGGCCCACCACATGGTCTGAGGGACAGTAGACCGGCCCACGGCTGAAAAAGGTTGCTGACCCCTGGTCTAGAGGCTGCATTTGGCACCTAGACCTGTTCTTCTTCTTTGTTTTCCTGTCCATTGACAGTGTCACTGTGATTTGTACATCACTTAAGGAAGAAGAGGAGAATCAACAGCACCATTTTGGTATAAGTGATTCATTTGTCTGGAAACCCATAAGTGCTTTATATAACAATGTTTCTGCTGCTGCAGCTATGTTGCATTCCACCGTCTTTTCCATACCAATCTTCAGAGGGCTGCACTGTGGTTGAACCATTACAAATCTTTATGCACAATGTCCTTGGGGATCTGCAGAGATTGTCTGGAATTCCTTAAATAGTGTGATTGATTACTGGATCAGTCTGTGTTTGTTTCCACAGTCTCTCAAACAAGCTTCTGTATTTTGGAACTTGCTTACTTTGTCAGTCCCATATCCCTAAGACAAGCATTTATTTGATAGCATATACATGTACCTTTTGAACCTTAAGCTTCATAATCAGATGAAAGTGTCGTGGGGACATGATCTTCATGGATAGTGGGGTTTCTTGAAAATAAAATCAGTGTATTTCAACCACTCCCTTGAGAAGGATAGCAGGCAAATTCTTAATACCTCTTAGCCATCCTGAGGGATTATTCAAAGCCAAGTGGCAAGGGGTCTTGCACAGCATTTAATTAATGTTTTAAACCCTGATTAAACAAGCAGTCAGGAGTTGGGGAAGGAGAAGCTTGCAGACTGCCTACATATTTCCTTCTTCTCCCATTCTCCTCGCTGCCAGATTCTTCCCCACCTTTGACAGCCTTAGGTTGCTCGAGGGGGGGGGGGTTGACCCAGTATGACCTGAAGCAGCCTCAGCCCAACCCAGTTAAATCCCTGGTCAACCCCAGTTGGCCTGATTTATTTTGAGATCTGGGATTTAGGTGGATCCAGTGCACAGCCTGACTAGAAATACAGACTCAAATGTGTAGACCTATCCAGGGAGAAAGTTCTACAATGCAGGTTGTAACACTGAAAAGACCCTACTCCTTGCTACCACCCTTGGGTTTTCCCCTCAACCTTTCAGGGATCAAGCGTCAAATGCATATACTCCTTTGATGGCTTTGTATAGAAAGATTCATGTGGAAGAAGTGTAAATGGAAAGGAATTCAATGCTTGGAGCTCTGGAGGCGCTCATGGAAGTAAAATCTCATATCCTTTCTGTCACTTACAGTGCACGGTGACATGCGGTGGAGGAGTGCAGACACGGACTGTCCAGTGCCTTCGTCAGGGTCAACCAGCTGTGGGCTGCCTGCCTCAACAGAAGCCCGCAATGTCAAGAGCCTGCAATACTAATTTCTGCCTTGCCCCTGAGAAGAAAGGTAAAGACTGTCCCACTGTTTAAAGTAAATGTGTAGCAGACTAGATCTCCCAAGCTTTGCCCCTTTCTGAGAGCTGATACATAAAGGCCAGTGAGAACTGAATGACTGAAATGTTTGACAAGACAATTCTGCCTGAGTAGTTGGCAAAATACGGGTAAAAACATATGGAAGACCTGCAGAACTAGACATCACCTGTCCATGGTGGTCTATTCCATGCAGGCCTCATGGGAAGTTTCCTTATTCCTGATAAGACTGTCCACCTAACCCAGTGTCATCTACTCTGAGCAGCAACGACCAAGGGAGACATTAGCAAATGGGATACTGCTCCACCTGACGTCAGCCACCCTGCCCTGGCATCTGCCTGCTTACTTACATCCAGCCCAGGAGATGACACTGGCTGTCATCTTTCCCCTTCCTAGTCTCTGTACTGCCATTAAGTAGCTAGGAGGGTGGGGGCAAACCTAGAATTATTTGGCTCTGTCTGTCATTGGCTCTGGCTCTACATGCTGTTGGTCTCTCTGCCTTCCACCCCGCCACTCCCAATGGGCACCAACCGCCACTCACAGCAGAGCAGCTCTCCAAGGATGCAGACAGAGGTCTCTCCCAAGACCTGCTACCTTGTTATTTTAAATGGAGATGCAAAGGATTGAACCTGTGACCATCTGCACAAAAAGCCTGTGTCCTGTTACAGAGCTGGAGTCCCTCCACAAGTCAAATAGTGAGTCGTTTTCATCTGTGAGGTAGACCTAAATCATTAGAATCAACTGAATCTTGGATGGTCAAAATAGATGAACGAATAAATCCTAGCCTGAATTTACTGCTTCCTTATTTATTCCTACCATTTTTATATAAAAACCCACAAACATAACAACTTATTTTTGCTGAGTTCCAGAGGTTTTTTGGTGTGTGTGTAGATCTCCTCCCCTCCTTGAACTTCCAGGAATGGATCATTCCAAGAAGTTCCTGGGTCTAGTTTCATCCACCTTTATTTTTGCCCAATTAATACCAATAATAATATCCACTTTCTGTCCTGAGACGGTATTTTTTCCATTTCTCTTCCCCTAACTGGATTTATTGTCCAGTGTCTGTTACTCATTTCACTCCAGTCTCTTCCCTTCCCCCTCCCTGCAGCTGTAGAAGTCCTTCTGACTTTATTGTAACTAGGTCTTCAGGCTCTGGAGATCAATTATTTCTTCACCGTGCTGTAAGTCTCTGTCTCCACCAGTGAACACAGCCAGCTGTGCTGGAACTGTATTGAAGCCAATCACTCTCAATTACCCACCACATAGTTCCAGCCCTGTGAGTCATTGGGGAGAGATCATGAGAAAGAAATGAGCCTTTCAGGGAGAGTTAACATGCTTCCCTAGACAAGCTGGGTCTGCTCCTCTGTTCATTTCCCCCTCTCCTCATTTCCATCACTCAGCAGGGTACTGTAACTCAAAGCTCAGTGGTGGCTGAAAGGCAGAGAGGCCAACAGTAGGTGGAGCCAGAAACAGGTAGAGCTAACTAATTCTTGTTTTGCTCCGATCCTTCTTCCTACTTAATGGCAACACAGAAATGAGGGAGGCGGAAGCTGACAGCCAGTGGCACCTCTTGGGTCAGATGTATGTAAGAAGGCAGACTTACGTGAGTAAGACGGCTGGTAGATAGCAGGAAAACCTGTTCTTTACTGCTGAATCAGAACAAATAGCAATGCAGATTTTCGGCGGGTTGCTGTTTGTGCTGATTCAATGGTAAATAACGGGTTCTCTTGAGGAAAGTGCCAGCAGGGATTTGGGGGGGAGGGACAAAGGGGCTCAGACATGGAGTTTTAAACTACGGATCTATGCCTAGAAACATGGTACAAAAGGAAGTCTGGATGAGCCCTTAATGAAAACAGTTTTGGATAAGTAGAGATGTTGGATAATTCCAACAGACATAGAAATAGGAAACTACCTATTTTCACTTATTTGTTCCACGTCTGGAATGGAAATCAGTCCAGTGAATACAAACAGTATTTGCCTTCACTGTTGCTTTTAGACTGCAAATGATACATAACTGGTTACTGCCCCCCCTCCCAATCATTTGCAATGTGTTTACTTTGCAATGAAATGAATGGGGTGGAATAATGTAACAGCAATATGATTAATTATAAAAATTACATAAATTATGTAATTTTGCCACATCAGATGGTGAGATGAATAACATAGGTTTTGGAAGAAGAACTTCAGTGGAATGGAAGTGGTGTTTTGTGCAATGAATACAGGGCAAAACTGAAAAGGATGTATTCTTACATCCTTGTGGGCAAGACAATTGTTTGTTTTTGTCTCCAACACCTAGCCTTATAGGGCAGGCTCATGTGGTCCTTACTGGACCACATGATCCATCCATAATTTATGGATTATCCTGTGACCAAAGCCATGATGAGGGAAATCTGTAGTAGTCAAGCCTCTTTCTGCCACTGATCTATTCATGTCACAGGAGATCTTTGGGCCAATAGCGGACAGCCTGTGTATTATGTCAAGACGTGAGTGATTTATACAAATGAGAAGAGTCTCTTCTGTGCCATCAGTTTTAAGCCTTTCATCTGAAATAAAAAGGATGTAGATTAAAAGCCATGTCAATTTCCTGTACTATGAACTACTAGTTTTGAGGGCAAACTGGAAGGCTTTCCCATGTTCCAATAATAGCTGAACTCAGCAGTAAATCTTTCCCAAGTTTCACTTATGTTGCTTTAATGCTGCAATTTAAATTGTTAAGGAATGTATTTCTAGAGTAGCAACATGATTCATTGCTATTCACTTTTAGGTAAAGCATTAATCAGTTGCAGCCAAACTACAGAATGCTTCAGCTATGCAATATTTTAAACCAACTGATATTTGTTTTTTCAAAATGATAGTCTAAAAAAAGGGGGTGGTGTTTCTTTTTTGGAGAATTTGGGCCATACTTCCAGTGCATGGAAGGATTCTTTTCTCCTTCTCTTTCTCTACCCTCTCTTTCAACCAGGCACTCTGCAATGCACTTACTGATGTCTCAGTTTGCATATTTTCCTCCTCCTCCTCCTCCTCCTCCTCCTCCTCCTCCTCACTATTTCCTTTTGTGTCATGTCCTTTAGATTGGGAGCCAGAGGGGCAGGCCTTGGCTTGTTTTTCTTTTTATCTGTAAATTGCTCTAGGGGACTTTTGGCTCAAGAATAGAGTAAAAATAAATACATAATCTGAAATCCTCCTGCACCTCATAGACATTTGTCAGTTTGCTTCCCTCCCAGTGTGCTCCATGACATATGGACTACTCTAACAGATAGTATGCTGTGGCTGCATATTCCATGTTGAGAGAGGAGAAAGCCATTGAATACCGGTATATTGGTGTACAGGAGAACTTCATGTAACAAGCATAGCACAATGTGTCCAGCACATTAAGCAGCATATCTCTAAGCAAATGTTCTGTGGCTGGAGTAGGGACTATTTTTCACACTGAGAGCCACATTCCTTTTTAACCTTAGGGGTCAGGGCCCATTGAACTGAATCTGTAAAGTCAGTCATGACTTAAGTCCCACGGGAACTAAGTGCAACAGTCTCATTCTGGATCAAACTCAATACTATTACCAAAACTTAATTCACATATATGTGAAAGAGATTTCTTTGGCTGACTTTCTTGGGCATGGGATGTGCTGAACAAGAGATTCTCCTTACAGGTGTTTTCAGGTATCTGCATTTTGGTGGTTTGTGTTTGGGTTTTTTTTTGGTAAGAAACCCATCCCCTGCCCCACAGCTCTTGACATTCTCAGACAGAAAATGCATAAGTCCTTGGAGGCCGCTTACATGTATGAAACGAACCAGCTAATAGGAGCATTCAGCTCATATTTGCATGAGTTGTATTCCTTCTGAAAAGAAAGCTAGCAGAAATTTACAGGTAAGTATCCACGATCCAGGCATGCCATGAGTCTTGTATTCTGACTGAAGCTTTTCTGTAATCCCGAGTCTTCAGTGTTAATGCAGATCACATGAACAGAGCACTCCTGGGAGCAATTAAATGTCCATGTCATCAACCAGTCCAGGTGCATGAAGTGTCCCTGAGCTTCAGTGTTCCTGAGACATACTGCAAAATACTAAATATTCTTGTCTGTAATTTCACCATTGCAGATGATCCTTCTTGTGTGGACTTCTTCACTTGGTGCCATCTGGTCCCCCAGCATGGTGTCTGCAATCACAAATTTTACGGCAAGCAATGCTGCAAATCGTGCACACGGAAGAACTGATGTGAATGGAATCACTTCAGTGGCAAGAGCCTCCCTTGCAAGATAATGGCAAACTTTTCTAGAAGGTCTTCCAGAACTACGAATGACCAATGGAAGAGACTTGGGTACTGTAGAACAAGGTGTTCTATGGTACAGCTTTTAACCAAGGATTAGTACACAAGGACTGGACTTTTTCCAAACAGGGTATTTTTGAATGCTAGCAGGTGGAGGCAACTTTTAGCCTTCTTTCTATTTGTCATTAACCCTACTCTGTTAATGGTCATATCTGATCTCCAAAGTGGAGCAGCACAGTCAGTATGGTGCTCATATTCTGCTCAATGGTATGCACACAGAACCTGCAATGAGGCAATATCATTGTAATACGAAGAGATATGTTGGCTATTTCAATGTTAGTTAGCATAGCCCTTCAAAACAAGCAGAAAACAACTCCAGAGAAATTACGTTGGTGGCTGCTGAGATAATGTGTTGCTGTATATAACATGGGTATTATGTTATTCACAGTAAGCACAATCACTGCACTATCAAGATAAAAGGTGCTTTTCTATTTCACTTGCTGCTGGGAAAGCAAGGCTTATATCATGGTAGAATTTTAGTTTTATTTTGTTCCCCATTTCACTTTGATTAGTAACTCAGTCATGGTTTACTAACCACTTGAGAGGCAGGCACTCCTTAAGATGCCCATCCAAGAGAACAAAACAGGACTTTTCTTTAGAGCATCTTCATTTAGGGCATTGCTATGTAGTATGAGCAGACTAGCATTTTATTCTTCAAGTAACTCATGAAAACCACACATTTGCTGTTAGGCATCATCATCATCAGTGCTGAAACAAATGATCACCAGAAACCCAGAATCCCATCGGCATCCAAAATATGCTAATTTAGAGTTCAGTTTTGAACACTACAACTTTTGGAGAACTTGCAGAAACTAGGTCTTTCACCTGCAAAACTTGAGTTTCCAGACATTACACCTAGAAAGAAAACTCAGCTGTTGCCAGAAAAGTATAAATGGTCTGCATGAAATTCAAAAACCAGTTTCTGGAAACTTTGAAGTTGCAAAATTAATCTTGGTGAATTCAAACAGGGTTCTAAATTAATATGGTTGTTTTTAGATTATAAAGTCAATAGATAAGAACAAATTGCATGATTCAATTCACTGATTGATGTGCCAGTACAATACAATGCTTTTTGCAAATTGAGTCATTTATTTTCTCCTTGCCACCCCACCATTATTCCCTCATGTAAAATGCCACTCTGGAGGGTTTTCTGGCCTCCTGGAGCCAATGCACAGTTTGTAAATAGGGGAAAGCTATTGATGCCTTCTGCATGAACATGTGCCTTTGTTCATGTGGGACCCAAGCCTATGATCTGTGTTATTTGTTCTGGGTAGCTAGCCCAGAATAATCAAACACCAACACAATTTTTTTTGCAGTGGTGCTGACATTTGTACGCTCAGAATCCAATGGAATCAGGGCACACAATATCTTGGATGTACAAACTGCAAACATTTGGAGGACCAAGCTATCACCTCTCTCTCTTTACCAAAACTGAGACAACTAAAGAAAGATTGTAACCTAATGAATTTTTCTGAGGAATGGCTAAAAATGACATTTCCCTCTGTTTCCACCCAATTCCACAGTTTCATTTGATGAATGTAGTTCAGCTTCACTGATTCAAACTAAAAGTAGCCCCATCAGCACCAATGCAGACAGTGGTCAGTTAAAAATAGGAGTTGCTTTTGCAAATGCTTAAATGAAACAAAACAAAATACATGTTTTCTCTGTGATATGCTTAAGAAATGATTATTGGAACCATACCTTGAGTTCTAAATTTTCCATGTCTTGAATATTGAACGTTGTAAACTGATACTTTCTCGGGGACATTTTCCTCCCCCTGGCAAACTTTTGTTCTAAAAATGTGTCATTTTTTATTATTTGATGTAAAAATATTAATTTATTAATGCATAGCTCCCCCCTCTTTTTATTTTCTCACTTGCTTTCCAAGTAAGTGGCAGCAACAGCAAAATAGTGTTACATAGAAGTATGGATTATGGTGTAAAAAGAAAGAAGCGCAAAGTATAAAGTGTACTATTTAATTATTTTATAAGTTTTATAAGAAAAATACTCTAACTGTTTCATTATGTTTGGTACACATACACGTTTTGAATAAAACATGGAAGCTTGATGTACATTCAGAGCAATGTGAATGACATTTCTGTTTCTGCATGCTTTTACAACTGCTGACTTGAACATTCTCATGCTTGGCATATAATTTTGAAATCCTGGTTTACTGTAGCAATACACACCAACATTTAAAGGCTATGTTGATATATAGAAAGCTTCATTTTAGGCCTGATAGCTGCCTCACCTCATACCCTCCAACATATCTCTGATGAAAATAGGGATGTCCTATTCAACAACAACAACAACAACAACATTATTATACCCCACCCATCTGACTAGGTTGCATCTGGGTAGCTTCCAACATATATAAAAGCATAATAAAACATTAAACATTAAAAAAACTTCCCTATACAGAGCTGCCTTCTGATGTCTTCTAAAGGTTGTATAGTTACTTATCTCCTTGGCTTGGGGGTTGCTTAACTCCATACCCTCTGTCAGGGAACTGCCATCGGACGGAAGGGAGGTGAAAGGGCTCACACAGGTTGGGAGAGACGCAGCAGCTGAAGAGGGAACCAACAGGGAGGTGAAAGGGCTCACACAGGTTGGGAGAGACGCAGCAGCTGAAGAGGGAACCAGCAGGGGGAGAGGAGCTGAGCTGGAGGGATGGCTCAGAGACACTTCCAGCGAAAACAGTGGGGAGTTTCAGGACCTCCTGTAAGAACACCCACTCCTCGCCGGAAACTGTCACGCAGAGATTCCAGAAGACGGGTTTCCGTTAAGGAGCTTTTATGTTGGAAGCGATTACGAAAGCAACCACTGTCGGAATCTGCTAGTGACTAGAGTAGCCATGTCTGAGGGGCTCCGTCACAGACAGAGGTTTGTGGACTTGAACAAACTCTGAGGGGATACGATTTTACGCACAAGCAGCT